ATCCAGAGCCTGAGGATACTGTCAAAAACTAAAATGTGGCTTTGGCTCCTTTTATTATGGATATCTTATTCATTGGTTGTACAATCAGTAGGATTTTGTGAAAAATACTTTAGGAAGTTTAATACCAAAAACACCGGTTCATGACATGGTTTTCACTTTACGCATTGCATTAGGGGTGACACCTTATTTTACTAGGGAAGTATATGTATCATATACCTTGATTGCGGTTGCAATAGGGGGTGAGCAAAACAAATTATTATCTCAGTCATGGAGAGGGAAGGGAGACTAAGTTTTTAGTGTTGTTGAATTAACTGGCTGATATATATATAGGACATTTCAGTCCTTAAGATTACCACGTGCTGAATAACTTAACTGAATGACACGTACATGTGCCAAAACTTTAACACAAATTGCATCGACTATCGTTTAGGGTTCAGTAGTTAAGATAGGATCCACATTTCCTTTGTTTTGCCTTTAATTTTTTTTTATTATTTTCTTAGATATAACGATGAGGTATTATTATTTTACATCACTAATCTTATTTTACAATCTTACTGTTAAGGCCTGGTTTAAGTTTGTTTAAGAAATGATAACTATCGCGTTTAACAATAGATTGCCAGCTATTGCAAAATCCCCCCTCTTTGACCGATGTCTTAGACTGTTAATTCACCGTATTTTCATATAGTGTGATCACACTGTCAGGCTTCCCCTGTTGCACGCTGGAGTTCAATTGCCCTTGCGCCACTGCTAGATATTTTCTCCTGTTGTTTATACAAACGGGGGATTTTTCCCACAGCATAGTAATTTATTTTAAGTAATTTGTCTCATAACTATGACGGGACGGTTTTTTCTCGTTGTTGTTTAGAAATAGACGTAACATTAGTATGTCGAGGATATATGCTGAGCTCTTCTTGCGCAACAGACATCTAGATAACTCAAGGTTATACATATAGCGGTGTTTGATTGCCATGTACTGATTATAATGGCACACCTTGATGCGAAACAGTCTATCGTTTCTTCCACCTTGGGTCCCTTAAATTTAAGTACCATATTGTATTACTCATATTACCCATTTCATTTGACACTCTCTCTGTTTCTCTCCCTTCCACTCTCTCTTGTTAGGAGGGGAAATAATTAAGCACCCAAAATCTGCATCACCAATCTTCAGAAAAGAAATGAATCAATGAACCAGTGAGCTGGTCCACAACGTCCGACACAGCAAAATTAAATTAAATATCAGCTGGCACAATTTTAACTGCATTTAGCTAGTGTCACTAAAGATTTAATCCGCTGCGCGCTCGAAGCTGATGACAAAAAGATGGTTCGCTACGGGAGACCGTTTGTTTACATGAGTACTCTAAGGGGGCGTGCCTACCCAGTCGACCAGGGGATTAGGCCTGTCACTATATTCCGTCAACAATCGTTTAGCGACCCTATCATTATCATACTCCCTCTATTGTATTTTCTGTCGTTATAATCAGCGTCTAATCTTCAAATGGTACAGGGAGAAAATATACACAAACTTTATACTAGGACGGTACATGTGTCAAAATTCAACACAAATTGCATCGGCTATCGTTTAGGGTTCAGTAGTTTAGATAGGGTCCACATTTCCTTTTATTTTGCCTTTAATTTTTTGATTATTTTCTAAGATATAACGACGAGGTATCCGTCACAAGCGTAGAGTTTCAGTTGGTGTAAAATCTTTTTTTTTAATATAAGATCGATTACAACAGGTACGAGAGATGAATTGATTATCTATGCGGTTGGACCCTTAATAAAAGGAATTTGGGGAGGGGGGTCAGGGGGTCTTGACCGCCCCCCACCCCCTCCGGCTTCTGAAAAATTTATCACACTAATATTCCCCTCTTGAAGTTAGAATTTTGACAAGCTGAATCATAGCTCTAAACCGAAAGGGCACCATTTGCCCTCCAAAACACCCAAAAAATTTTGGGGCCCTTGAGCAGGCTCCGAACCCCACGCCAAGCGATGGTCGGCTTTGCATCCGAGGCCTATCGTTCAGGACCCCCCCCCCCTTCAAATAATACTGGATCCGCCCCTGTTTGTGCAATTTGGAATAGTGCTGTATGTGATATGGGGGACCCTTTCGTAAAAATGTTTTGTGGTTTATTACTCGCGTGACCAGTGATGGCTTTATCATCCATGTGCACTACAGTATAAAGGGTATGACCGAAGATGTAACGCCCTTCCGCCTGTCAGTTTGCTACTATGGTAAAAGTACGGGACCTCACAAATGAGGAAAGAAAAGACTTTGCTTCTCTGAGGTTGGAAAGTGTAAATGCACCCCATATAGCCACCAGACATGGCGTAACTAGTCAGACTGTATTAAACAGGGCTCCGTATCTCGAAAGGTTCGCTATGTTGCGCATGTGCGCAAGCGTCTCGATTCCATAACCGATTCTATTTCGAGTTACGGAGCCCAGGCCTACCCAACAGGCCTACCCAACTACCAGACACGGTACCGCTTGATCCCAAATTCACCGTTAGATCGGACCACACTACGCGTTTTCAAGGTGTGCGTCAGTACGCATTTCACAGTATCATACCCCGGAACAAATTTTGAGATGAGATGCACTACTTTACAACCCCGCCGAGAATCATCACCATCACATCGCGTACAGGCAAGAGCGGTGGCGCGTCTGATACCTCGAAGTGCGTACTTATACACACCTTGGAAACGGGTATTGTGGTCCGATCTACCGGCGAATTCAGGATCATTCTGTAAATCTGTAGTAAAGATACAAAGTTGGCATGACAATTTTTTTCTTTAAAATACTAATTGAATAGCCTAACAAATCCAGCTGTTATTCACCTTCAAACAAAGTATTGCAATACTTTTGCCACCCTCCCCTGTACAATGGGTCCAAGCAATGTGCGAACAAATCCACGAACTGTAGAAAGGGGAACATACTTTGTTTTTTGGGAAACGTTCACGGTGTAAAGAGTGTAACGTTGCTTTTACCTTTCCACTATGTTTTGATTATAAAAAAAAACAATAGAAAACGGCGAATCTACCTGAAATACCCGCACGCCCAAAATATCACAAGTGTTTCACGTGATATTGTATGTCAAGCGTAAAACAATGACATTTATGGGAAAATATTCCAAAACAAAATAAAAAATGTCTACATAAGGCACATTGTGTCAGGAAATATGGGTCTTAGACCTTGACTTGAACCCACATTGCTTTCTCTCTATACAAGAATATTATTCTGACAATAAAAATTTTGGTGCACTTCATTAATCTGCGGTCCTGGTATAGAGTGCCCATGAGTTCAGAGTCCCATAACCTGAATGACCAACGAGACAAGTCATGGCATTTGAGCATGTCTGGCTTAATTAGACAAGATAGGTTGCATGTCGTTTTGACCATTGAATATTAAGTGAGCGCAGAAACAATACATGACTGTGTGTGATTTTGAACTCAATCGTGCAAGTCAAACTTCTACATGTACATATACTTAAAAACCACCGCTACTGCCTGTGAGATTTTCACGTGTTAGAAATTACGATTGCCATTTCGGTAATCTGGATCCAAGCGTAAGCCCCTACACGTAGCCAAATGCAACTTTTGTTGCTTAATTCTTATTTCATTATGAAAATCTTATGTAGAACCTATACGTTTTTTTCTTTATTTATTGTTATTCCCCGTATGCGTTGGTCATTTAGGGTTTAAGTTGTTGCGGTGTGATCTCATGCCAAATTCTAAAAACAGTTAGATGATTTTTACATTAACTTAAGGGTCGTCAAGATATATGACATGAACGTATATCATGCAGGGAGTGTTTGACGGAGAATTATATTACTTAACAATATAGTCACCTTAAACATTAGTTAAAGTCATCTCTGCGCCCACACATATCGATCACTGTCAGCCCGTTATGGAGCAAAATAAAGATTAAAAGGTAAAAAATTTCAGTAAAGCAAAGATGTACAAACTCCTCATAGCATATGTAGCTAAAGCGTAGCGTACAATTTGATAGAAAGTAAGGGGGAGTGGTGACAACCTCAAATCAAATTACGATTGACTACATGTGTAGCTGCTCCAGCTTTCATTTGCCTTCGCGCTTTGCGCTTCTACGAATAGACAGTCTCTGAGACAAAAGCAATGAAGGGAGAGCTTGATGCTTTTCTATTTCCACGTACTGATTCCATTTTTCATAAAGTAAATTACCAATATTAACGTTTTTCAGTCTTCTTTCGACTTGCTTTCTCACTGCAGAAACATGGGCAATGGCGGCAACCTAATAGACCCATTGCATGACTAAAATGGTATGGGAAGAACTTTGCATGTGACATATTTATCATAAATGATATGACTGGACATACATGTACGTATATTACCCATATAAGGTGTCTTTACAATTAAGGACCTTTAGAGGAGATCGTCATTTAGAAAAAATATGGAGACACGGGATGACATTGTCATCAGCGGCCTCTCCTGCAGGTTACCAGAATCTGAAAATGTTCAGGAATTTCGAGAACACTTATTAAATGGAGATGACATGGTCACAGAAGATGACAGGCGCTGGGAGCCAGGTATTTTTATAAATTCATTAAAAACAAATATATTTGTAATGAATAAAACAACTACTTTAAGTTTTTTTTGACATCGTAAGTACTGCGAGTCCGGTTACATTACGTGCGGGTGCCGTGCCATTTTTCAGACAGGACAGGTCGCGTAGGGGAAATCAGTTTTTCGCGTGAAAAGTGATCGTACGAGGCCCCTTTCCGTACAGTTGCCGTACTTTTTCCGTGCGGCTTCCTTAAAAATCGATAAGTTGTCCGTGCAACCCCCTAGATATTTTTCACACGTAGTCAGAATAAGGAAATGCACATTTTCAAATTCATGCAAGTGAATTACACTGACTTATAAATTTAACATCTTTACTACTATTTTGCCTCCTCAAACCACCAAAGGTGGCACTGAAGGAGACCAACAGCAGGTTCAACAATTATAACGATCACTGCATGTCCATTGAATGCCGGTGTAACGTGACAGAGAGTCCGCTTCCAATCATTTGTGCAGGTAAGCCTCTTTCTAGATTTTGACCCACTTAGGTCAAGCTAACCTTAACCATTATAACTAAATGGAGGGAGGACTTTCTGTTACACGGACCCTCAGTTTCGTTACACCCATACGGGAATTGTGACATGCCATCTAAGATAGTGCTGGCTTAGGGCTCATAACTCCATAACAAAAAAATTAAAAACGAAAATGACGGCACGGGATTGTGACCCAAAAACTCGTGGTCAACTCTGCCAATTTACGCGATAAAATCTTGTTCAGGGATGAAGTTACGAGCCATGCCAATTGCTATCTCACCTCGAAATAGAAATGTGTTAAATTGACGATTAAAGCTTTGAGTTGCCTATGCTTATACATGGCAACGAGAAATATAGACGATATTTTATATTTTCGAGTTTTTTTTTTTATAAATCAGCACGTCGATAGATGCATTATTGAAAAATTGTATGCAGTAAAAACGTCATTTTTGGTATCTGGATGATAATAAATGGCTGCAATACCCTTAAACTTGCCATTAAGAAAGATATGGAGACAGATTCACGGAAAGGGATGGGCAGTTTACATGTTCGAGCATCGAACGGACATCGCATGAAAAAGAACAGAAAACAAGACGAATAAAATATGACACACTTGAAAATTGTAGATGTCACTGGATTCAAAGTATACTGCCCAAAGCAAATTACAATGGTTGTCGGTTGCGATGTGTAAATGTGATACATGAATTAAATCGTTGGATATATGTTTGTTGTTTATCATTACCAGACATCAGCGAGTATAATTGTACATTGTGCTTTGTTTGAAATCGGTCTGTTTTATTATTTTAAGGGCTGCACGGTTTACCAAGACGAAACGGTAAACTGAAGGAGCTCAGGAAATTTGACAGCACCTTCTTTGGTTTGAATCCCAAGCAGGCCAATGTCATGGATCCTCAATTAAGAATACTTCTGGAAGTGACGTACGAGGCTCTTGTAGATGCAGGTAAGTGTAAAATTATAACTTTCAGTCTTAAATCCACTTGAAATTTACTTCAACGAAAAAGTCAAGGGCAAAGCGACGCGAAAGTGTATTGTTTTACGTCGTGCTATTCTCAACTCTAAGTAATAAAGTGCTGAAAGTTGGCATACAACATTGGTCAAAAAGGTTGTCCCAACCCCAATTCTATGTGCTTTTATTTACAAATGATCACCTCATAGGCGTTAATTGTTATTAACAGTTCTCTTTATTCCAGATACCATATCTAGCAGGATTAATGGTTCAGAAAATACAAATAACGGTGAAAACATCCATATTTTATACCATTTATTCAAATCAAAACCAAGCACCCCCTCAAATCCAGCGTTACAATGTGATTTAAACAGAGGATAAGAAATATCCATCAAATTGAAAACACATCGCCAAATTTCACCAAATTTATACAAAATTAGCATTAGGATGTGCTCGTTAAAGGTCACGTGTCTAATAGCGTGTATATGGGTTATAATTCTGTTTTGTGAGATTATTTGGGGATTGTTACTCCTCTGCATTACGCTCACCAATTCATGCCACAGGTGCTCAGTAGGGAGTCTACTAGGGCTCAAAGATGGCGGTTCCATCCTCAGAACATTCTGCTTCTTCAACAAACCACTCCCCAGACGAAAGCTGTGAGCAAGTGCGTTGACACAATGAATCCAGTAGCATCCCCGAAGTCCCCTCTTGGAAACTGAGTGAGACATATGTTGAGAATGTTACAGAAGCATGCCCCAGTAACGTTCTGTTCCAGAGAGAATAATGTACTAATACCATGGGCTTGGGATGCTCTCCAAATGCGGACTGATCTGACACCTCAGGCGATATTTTCCTGCACCAACCCTTCCAAGAGGCATTCTGCAACATGTCTTATTTGGCCATCGATAGGGTACAAGAAATACCTTGATTATTCAGAAAAACCAGATTCCTTCCTCTTACCTGAGGGGTTTATATCCTAGTGAAGCCAGGTGCCTTTCTATTGAATTATTTAATCAGCATTTAATTCCGGTTATCCCAACTAGTGTAAAATACTGCATTCGAATGACTTGAGTGTATTTTGATCATTCAATATGAGGTCCATGTTATTCAATTTATTAAACCCTTGAGCCCTACGGCTCATCAGAGTGAAATGCAGTAAAAATATAAAGTCATAAAAACAACAACGATACAACTACTACTACCGGTACAACTACTAATAGTAATATAAAAACCCATCAGACTGACGTTGATCTTAACTCCGATGCACATTTTAAGTACTTTCCCTAGTTGTTTAATTGTGAAACATTCTTAAGTGATAACAATTTAATTAGCTTGAAAACACTTTGCTTTTTATAATAAAATTTGCGAAAAGTTTTGCGTACAGACGCAGAATTTGGATTTCAAATTATAAATCTTTTATATTATTTAATATTTCAGTTAAAATACACTTTAGAAACAAATTCTCAAAGCACACAAAGCAAATTTTATTTCGCGTAACGAATGAGGATTACGAATCATTTTATTACAGCAGTTCCCATTCTTTTTTCTTAAATATTACCGCTCTTATCGAGTTTTTTCTCAACCGCGTTTTCTTCCATGGAAGTAGTGCCTGGACATACGCATGCTTCAAGATACCCCGAGAGCGATCACTTTCATGAATGTTCGCGGCCGTGTTTGAACTCATTTGTTTAAATATCTATGTTAAACGTCTTTTTAAAATACCAATAACATTACCCATGAAATAAAAGAGATGTATATTGAAAAACTATTAAAACCCACTACACCAAGCATCTGACAGGTTCAGTTACCTGTTATTACTTGGCTTGGGAAGTGCGTCGGTGCGTAATTAATAAGTTTTATTGTTAATGAGCTCTTGGTCAAGTACCATGTATTCAAAATGCATCAGCAATCAGTAAGCTTGTCAACTGATGAGAGTTAATTTGAAAGACTGTCAGCTTTTGATATGAATTAAACCACTTGAGGCGTCCATAATCTCGAGCATCACATCTATTGTCACCGAAGTTAGTAAGAAAGTCACGGAAGACCGTCCGTCACAGACAAAGAAAGATTGTCAGCGAATGACAGATCCTTTGCTGCTTTTTGGTGCATCCCACGGCAACCAAGGCATAACGAAAATTGCCCTACTCCGTTCTCATAGACATTTATCGTCTATTTTGTCACAGTACCACGTGACCGAGATCTGTTGCTTCATTTTTGCATTTTGGGGTGAGGTTTACTAAAACGCTTTTTTCTACTAATAGATGGTTTTTAAACTCTTTAAAGGATGGGGGTCGATTCAAACATATCTCTAGTATAGGCCTATAGATTGAGTGCTGAATCATCAAAAATCGAGAAATGGATTTTTATGTGCCTCAAATCCTTTAACCCTACTGAGCACATGTAGCATGAATTGGAGTGTGCAATGCAGAGGAGAAACAACCCCCTAATAATATGGATCAACTCCTCGAAGCGCTCCAGGAAGAATGGGCCAATATAGAAAACCCTTGTTAAAGTGTAAACGTGCCACCTACAGGAGATAATTGCAGTGCAACGTAGACACACACGCTATTAGACACGCGACCTTTAACGCGCGCATCCTAATGCTAGTAGTGTGTAAATTTGGTGACACTTGGTGATTCCCTTTCAATTTAATGGACATTTCTTTACCTCTAGCGGAACCAAAGTGAAACATTGGACTTTAGAGGGTACATGTATTAAATTTGAATAAATGGCATAAAATATGGATATCGTCACCGCTATTTTGTATTTTTCTGAACCATTAATCCTGTCAGATATAATATCTGGAATAATAAAAAACACTGTTTTTAACAATTTACTCCTTTGATGTGATCCTTTGTAAATAAAAGCACATGGAATTTGGGATGGGACAACCTTTTTGACCAATGTTGTATTGGCGCTTATGTGCCATCGGCCAAGTCCCTCTCCATTGGTCACTGCAAGCAAACACAGAACTTTTTATATAGTTACTATAACGTTACCATTTTTTAAATGAAAGTTTAGGTAACGTTATGATAACATTATGTGTTTGCTATATATATAGGGTGAAGGTGCCAGCGTCTCCCCAGCAGGCATAGTCGCGTTGGATCAACGTTGAAAACAGGTTAATACGTTGAATTGCCGTTGATCTACCTAAATTCAACGTAAAATCAACGTTGATCCAGCCACGTCAAAACACCGTCATAATGTGACGTTGACTCAACGTTGTATTTTGGTCATTGACACAACCTTGCAGACATGGATTTTAATTTAAAATTATTGAAAACGTGATACTTTGTTTATCAATACTGTAACTAACTTTATCAAAATAATTTTTAAAAAAGTGTTTTAAAGTAAAAATGACAGTTGTTTGTGTCTTTAGTGAAATAGTGAATTTTCTTAACTTGTTATTCAGAAATACATTCCAATAAACTGAATTCCTTGCAAGGTCAGCTAACACTAGGATGAATAAGTTGCTGTAAATGCGATGGAGTGAAGTTAATAAAGTTGACAGTTCTTGGTACTCTGTTATAGATAGACAGGTTAAGGTGACTGTGACTTTGTTAAACACGCTTAGGAGCTAAATGCGTTGAAAAAATCAGACAAAGCAGGCACTTGGATGTTTTTACAGTGTACGTTATAATTGTGTACCTGTGTTCTGTACCAAAAATAAAAACATTTCAGGTCATTTTAATGTCTTTTCATGCAAGAATGTTGTCTAACAACTGGGGTTGATACAATGTTGTCATCTGACGTTGAGTCAACTTTCAAATCCAATGTTTATCCAACGTATTATCAACGTTATGGTTCAACGTTGTTTCAACGTTAAAACAACATAATTTGCCCGCTGGGTCAATTGCGCCTATGAAAAGTGGCTTTTGATAATTGCTTCACTTGAAAGCATTCTGGATGGCTTGAGACAGCGGCCAAGAATTTTAAAGGTTACCAAAAACTTCGTAATTGCCATGATTATGAATATGTGGAAGACCGGTGTCATGTACGGTGTTTTGTAACGGAGTACTAGCGCACCCTGTGGTAAGAGAGTACTTAAAGATACGTTTGAACAGAACGTGGATTCCCAGTACACGCATATTAACTACTTTTACTATTTTCTTATACGATCCAAATAAAGTCGACATGCCAAAGGATAAACCAAATTAATCACTCTATCAGGCATAAAAGAGTTTTAAAACGTACTGCACCTTCTTCAAATTTCTGGTCGTAAATTGACCCATTTATCTGCCCCCGGTAATTATATACAGCATAGAAAGTAAAGATATCCGTTCAAATATCATTTTGCAGATAATCTGAAACGATATCTAAGGGATACTATTTGAAGCTACAAGTATAATGGTGGCATTTGGTCAGCTTTTGTTATGTGGCAAAATCTAACTTCAAAGTCACACTATGCGTAACCTGTGAATCATATGTAGAACGAACTCTCTGTTCGGCTGAACCTTAATTTTTTACACCAGAACAAAACATTTTTTTTTCGTTTTTTTAAAAAAGGGCTTAGTATGCAAAGCTGTTGTTTTTAAGGCACTCGAGTGTGTAGTGCACACTAAGAACGTTTTTCAGTTATATCTGTTTCCAAGTTTAATCAGCATCGTTTGTTACCTATAAAAAAGTTCAGTTCAGTTATAGCCTAAACTGATGTTACTAAAAGTAAAATTTTTTATAAAATTTGTCACTAAAACTATATATGTAATAACTGAATATACATAACACTATGGCTTTCAAACTTTAAGGCATTAACATTTCCCAAGCTAAAGGCAGCAGGATAGGCGTCTTTGTTGGTTCAGCTGGCTCTGATGCTATGGAGGCGTGGTCTTCTGATCCTGAAACTCTGATTGGTTACAGTATGACAGGCTGTCAGCCGGCAATGCTTGCAAATCGACTGACTTTTTACTTTGATTTTAATGGTAAGTGTTAATCAAGAGAGGTGGTGTGGACGTTTTTTTCGTGTCCTTATACACATATTAAAAGATAATATTCCAATGAACGACAAATATGAGAAATGTCCGTAAATGTCTAGAAATAAGTAAAACAAACTTTACAGTAGTCAATGAAAACCTTTTATTTTAAAGAATTCTCTAACTGTTCAGTTATTTATTTACTATTCCTTATTCGCTTTAAAATGAGTGTTATTGTGTTTCATTCATATTCAATGTGTTCAACCAGCAAAACGTACTTTTTGCCCTGTCATTGCTCTCTCCATTTCTTTCAGGTCCAAGTATGGTCATAGATACAGCCTGCTCATCGAGCATTGTCGCCATGAATCAAGCTATAATGGCTATTCAGTCTGGCCAATGTGAATCTGCCATAGTGGCAGGTTCACATATATGTCTAAAGCCTTGTACCTCACTACAGTTCCAGAAACTAGAAATGCTATCTCCTGAAGGTGCCTGCAAATCGTTTGATGCGTCAGGTGAGGCATTTATTTCATTCAAATGCAGGCAAAGAACTAAAACGGTTGCCATCAGATGTTTACCATTAATTTTTGTGAAAACTATGGTGAAATACATAACAATCTATTGGTAGACTTTCCTGTATTTTGGAAAGCATTTTGTGCTTTTTTTCGATAATAGAACATCTTTTGAGTGTCTTACCTACTGGGAACACATAAAAAAGAAGAAAAGAAACACACCTTCGTGCCCAACATTGAATTTTCTTTTTCAATCAGATTTCTTTTTTCAGCAAGTCTAAAGATTTTAAATTTATGTTAAATGTTAAATTCAAACTAGTGCAACTGGAAATTTTATTCAAGGATGTAACATTGCTGTTTCATTTAAACAAGTTCATGTTTATTTATGATTGGGTTTTTGCAGGCAATGGATATTGCCGTAGTGAGGGCATTGTGGCTGTTTACCTACAAAAAGCTCCTGCAGCAAAACGCATATACTGTAAGATTCTAAACTCAAAGACTAATGCAGATGGAAGGAAAGAAAAAGGTCGGTTTTTGATATCTTGCAGACACTGTAAAATATCTTTTTGTGTGCCCACTCAGCAACCTTTTATTGCAAGCCATATTATATATATCTTTTCATTTTTCAAATGTTGGTGTATGTAAATATTTTGCATTATACTATACAATATAGATATAATTTTCCAGGAATCACATTCCCATCAGGAGAAATGCAAAAGGCTTTGTTGACTGAAACCTATGCAGAGGCCAAATTGAGCCCTTCAGAAGTTTCTTATGTGGAATGTCATGGCACTGGAACTCGAGCAGGAGACAGACAGGAAGTCAACGCAGTAACTGAGGTCTTCTGTCAAGAGAGAAGTGAGCCCTTGCTGATTGGATCTGTCAAATCCAACATGGGACATTCCGAAGCTACTTCTGGCAAGTTGAATATTTTATGTATTGTTTAGGACAAAAGGTATGACCGATGTAAACTTGGTGTTCTGCCTGGTTGAATGAGTGAACAGGCTGACTTCTTAATTTATGACACACAATTTCAAAGTAAATATATATATATATAATATGCATTCACTCTGCAATAATGACATGTGAATTAATTTTTTCTAATGAAAAAAACTTAAATCATGTAAAAATGCGTAAGTTGATTAGTAAAGTAAGCAGTATTAAGGAAAACCCATGATTTACATAAGGTCACTGCCTTTAACCAATAATTAATGAAGTGATTTGATATATCAGCTAATTGAAACTTGTTACATCCATTCTTTTGTAGGATTGGCAGCCCTCGCAAAAATCATCATATTCATGAAAGATGGTGTTATTCCACCAAATCTACACTACTCAGTGCCTAACCCAGATATTCCAGGATTATCGGATGGAAGACTCAAAGTAGTCACTGAGTGTACAAAATGGAATGGAGGACTTGTTGGGTTGAGTTCATTTGGGTTTGGGGGAACAAATGCCCATCTGATTCTCATGTCAAATGACCAAAAAGAAGAAGCAGAGAGTTTTTCAGCGGGGATAGAGCCAAAATTGTTTACTTTCTGTGGTCGGACAGAGGAAGGTAAATAAAAAAAAAAAGCTTTTAAACCATGTGTCCTAATTTTATATATGTATAACGAGCAGAAAATGGAAAACATTCTCTCTGCAAGTCTTGCGTAGATTAATATTAATAAACCTGTTAATACAGGTTTGGCTCTAATTTATTACATTTTTTTTCAAGGTGTACAACATGTTCTTAAAGAAGTAAAAAAGAACCCAAAAGACCTAAATCTCCAAGCCCTTTTGTATGAAAATGCTTTTGATGACCCTAAGATGCAACCATATAGAGGTTATACATTGCTCAGCACGAATGAGTTACAGGAAATACAGGTACTGTATTTAAGATGGATACATGAAATAAACTATATTTATTTCAGATCCCAAACTTGTGTATACAAAGAAAAGGCAAAAATTCATTTTAAATTTAGTTTAACAGTTTAATTTATTTAATGAATGAATCTTTATTTGATGCACCAAAATATATGTATCAAATGATAAGGCATTTTTGTTTCTCTAAGATCTGCCATATTGAGCCACGACCAGTGTGGTATGTATTCCCTGGTATGGGGACACAGTGGCATGGTATGGGGGAAGCACTGATGCAAATAGAAGTGTTCAAACAGTCCATCATGAGGTCACATGGCTACTTGCAATATGTGGGTTTCAACCTGATTGACCTGCTTCTAAACGGGACAGAAGAAACTTTAAAAAGCACAGTTAATTCTTTTGTGGGAATTGCAGCTATACAGGTTATTACGCATTGAATTATTTAGTCACAGACAAAAATCATCTTAATTTTATGCTGATAATTTTTTACAAACTATTATAAATGGTAATCATAATCAAAGCAAGAAGATATCTCTTGCTTAAGAGGCACCAAATCATTTATGTACTGTTGATATTACCTTTTTATACACCATATGTTTTAAACATACTGGTATATATGAATATATATATTGCAAAATATTAATATATTACAGGATATCTTTTATATATAGTGCATGCATTTTCTATGGTTGTTCATAAAATAAACTCTTGTTCAGGTGGCACTTGTAGACACATTGAAGCTACTTGGTATAAAGCCCGATGGAATTGTTGGACATTCTGTTGGTGAGCTTGCCTGTGGCTATGCTGATGACTCAATGACTGCAGAGGAGACTGTGCTAGCAGCATACTGGAGAGGAACATGTATTATGGAGGCAAACTTAGAAGAGGGGGCCATGGCTGCTGTTGGTATGTTTTCATACATGAAAACATTATCCCACAAATTCTTATTTTGATTTTAAAAACAAATGTTCTTGTTTTGGTGTTTTTTTTTAAACCTTAATTTATGTTAGTTTCATAATCAGTTAACATAATTACTACTTTTGAGTCATCATACATTAGCCAAATTTAAAATTTACTTTTGTCAGTTTAAAACCAAAACAACCTGTGAATGGCAAAAGAAAATCCAATTGCAATTGGAATTTATTGCAAGGTAGCCAAGGGACTGTTAGTAACAACCATGGTCCTGTTTTGCAAAGACAAATATTTCACAATATATAATATTTGTTTGATACTTCATGTCCCAGGTTTGAACTGGACAGAGAGCCAAGAAAGATGTCCAGAGGGGGTGGTTCCTGCCTGTCACAATGCTCTGGATTCAGTGACCATTTCTGGACCCAAAACTGCAGTGACTAAGTTTGTTCAGGAGCTACATGACCAAGGAGTGTTTGCAAGGGAGGTTCAAACATCTGGCGTTGCTTTTCACTCCTATTTCATGTCAAAAGTTTCACCCAAGTTGAAAGAGGCCATGGAAAAGGTATTTAATTGCACTTGCTAGTCCCAGAATAAGTACTGTTATACGCCTCTATTTAAAAAAAACTCACAATTTTGTAAAACTTCCATCTGTGGGTTGCAATTTTGTAAATAAATTTTTTTGGTAATTATTAATATGACACAAAAACACTCATTTATAATTTTTCCAAACAATTTAAAGTGAGTATTAGTGTGCAATTTCTTAAAAAGAAAGTAAAACAATCAAAATGTTATAACATGTTGGTTCATAGTAGTAATAACATCTTGGTTTATATATACAGGTCCTAAAAAGCCCCAAAACCAAGAAGCCCTAGATGGATCAGTTCTTCTATCCCAGAAACCAAATGGAACACCTCTCTTGCACAGATGTCATCTGCAGACTACTACGTCAACAACCTGGTCAGTCCTGTGCTGTTTCAGGAGGCACTGCAGCATGTCCCTAAGAATGCTATCATTGTAGAGGTAGCTCCACACTGTCTGCTGCAGTCCATCCTCAAGAGATCACTGGACTCACAATGCACCCTGCTTAGCCTGATGAAGAGAGGGCATCCAAACAATTTAGAGTATTTTTGGACCAATATAGGAAAGTATGTTCAAAATAAACAAACAGTTAATTTAAATCTATATGATGCTTCATAAAGGAACCTGAAAATGTTACTTTACAAGTAGCTTTAGCTTTTTTTTCCATTTGCAATAGGATATGATGGTATGACCTACATGTACCCCCTAAAAGGAAAACAAAAGTGAAAGTAATTTGTTTTCTGGAATGTCTCTACAGATTCAACAAACTTCCATTGTTTATATGTTGCCATTGTCATACAGGAAAAAAATAAAACATTTACTTTCAGGTTGTATATGAATGGTGCAAATCCACACCCTCTGAACATTTACCCGCCAGTTCATTTCCCAGTTCCCAGTGGCACCCCTATGATATCTCACCTGGTGAAGTGGGACCATTCCCAGGATTTTGCTGTGCCAACTCAGGATGACTTTCAGGCAAAGTCCAAGAGCAGTGGGAAAAGTGCAGACTATGTGTATGAGGTGGATGTATCTTCTGAGTCACCAGATCATTATCTAGTGGATCACATGTTAGATGGCAGAGTTCTTTTTCCTGCCACAGGTACTTTTAGTTTGTTTCTTTACTTGTATTATAATTTTTTCATCATTTTTTAAAATTTTCCTAATGTATTCATGCATATTATTTATATAGTACTTTAAATTTGGTCTGATTTACAGGATACTTGGTGCTAGCTTGGAGAGCCTTGGCAAAAATGAAAGGGCAGTTTTATCAACAGATACCAGTGAACTTTGAAAATTTTGCAATACATCAGGCAACAGTCTTATCAAAAGATGGTACGTAAGTCAGTATTGTTGTTCATAATACACTGATAATACTGATGTCATACATCAACTCGCCTACTTTCACACTTACTTCTAACTCTAACTATCAGACTAAAAATTAGTTTGAAAGGGGGTATCCCAGGAGTACTATTATTACAGTGTGTCTCATAAATTCATATCTTTTACTCGCAGCCAAGACATCACTTGAAATCAGAATACTGCAGACTACAGGAGGCTTTGAAATTTGTGAAAGTGGTAGTCTTGTAGCAAGTGGTGTGATCCATAGTCCTGCTGAACCAGGATTACAAACACCTGAGGAATGGGTGTCAGAAAATGGGAAAGATCCATCCCAAGAGTGGAAACAATTGACATCTGATGATTTCTACAAAGAGCTTAGGCTCAGAGGATATGATTATGGTGCAACATTCCGTGGCGTTTTGTCAACAAACAATATAGGTAGGTGAAATGGAATTTATAAAGAAGATATATTGCCACAAATAGAAAAGTTTATGCTTAAAGCTAATTGTCATTCTGAGTGACTGAAAAAACTGTAAACAATAGAATTTACTTGTAAGTAGGTCTTACAGAAGCAAAACTGATTTAATCTGAAAGGCCTTTTCATAGTCTCTGTACCATTCCACTGTATAAAGGAAAAGAAATTTAAAGGGCCTTCAATTTTTCAGGTGATCATGGTCAGCTATTGTGGAAGGACAATTGGATAACATTCCTAGACCACATGTTGCAGATGTATCAGTTTGGTTCAGAGAGGAGCAATCAAGTCAAGTTGCCCACTCGAATTCGTTCCATTTGTATTGATCCAACATTGCATTCCCAAAGGATGCTCAAAACTGATGACGACATTCATGGTAATGCGTACAGTATACGCATGTACACATAGACACACACCTTAAACACATCTTGTTTTAGCTTTTTCTGATAACAATAGTCCATGGAATTACCATTCCCCATATTCATAATATATATATATAGGCATGTGTGAGTCATTATGTTAAGAATGTTTCCAAACTGGTAGTGAAACTATATATGTATGAAGCTTGGTTTGTAATATAAGTATGAAGAGATTTGCATTTTGAAGTATTATATTTTGTTTTCCGTTGTATATATCCAGAAATATATTGTACTTAAATCGGCCGCTTAATCACCATAGCCATGTACTGTAATAATTAATTCAAACAAAAACTGTCTATGTATTTTTACTATTTTCAGTATTTGATGTCATGGTAAACAAGTGGGCTGAAACTTGCACAGCTGGTGGTGTTGCATTCTTAGGAATACATACCACAACAGCACCAAAAAGACAACAAAATCAGACATCGATTTGTGTTGAAGAATACCATTTTGTGCCTTATACAGAAACACAGTTGTCACCCATGCAGGATGGTTCAAAGTCAAAAGATGCTCTGTGTGATGCCGTTTTCCATTCAAGGACACTGAAGCCATGCCTCAGTGTGGTGATAGAAAATACTGGCACCCCAACATTGAAGGTTGTAGAAGTGTCTTCTGGAAACAGCCAGATTTACAAATCTTTATTTCAGCTGATTAAATCACGTGCAGTTATGCTCGACTATACAGTTCTTGGTGAGGAAATGGGAAAAGAGATGCAAGAGGAGCTGGAGTCCTTGGATGGTCAATTTATTAAATGGGATTTGTCATCACCACTCCCAAATGACATACAACTTGCAAATCTGGTTCTGGCCAAGGATTTGTTCAGCAAAGGGAATAACATCATAGCCACACTTTGCAAACTCAAAAGTTTGGTGGAAGATGGTGGTCTCTTGCTCATCAGTGAAAACACAGATGGCCAACAGACACACCAGATGACAGCTGAAAATAACAATAGCCATGGGACACCCATGAGTAAAGCAAGTTGGGAAGAAACATTTTCAGCAGAAGGTTTGCAGATTGTATCCCAGAAGGATGATGGTATCTCACGCATTTCTTTCCTCTGTAGGAAGTCCACTCTGGTGGGAACTGCTACCGTTCTACACATTGACGACAATGTCTCATTTGAGTGGGTGGATCAGTTGAAGAAAGCAATGGCTGATCACATAGACAAACCTAAAGATGCAACTATCTGGTTGGTGTCCAAAAATGAGCCTTGCAGCGGCATACTAGGACTTGTAAATTGCCTGATAAAGGAGCCTGGAGGTAACAGGATCAGGTAAGCAGTTTTATGTTCCCTTTAATGATGATTGCTTTTTAAAGAATGTAATGTCAAATGTATTATAAATTCATATGATGACACAAGTATAATCAATACAGTAATTTCAAATTGAGGGATGTGGTGCTCATAAATAGACTGAAACAATTCACAATTTCAGACTAGGTCCTTATGATATTTGTTGTTATTGTTTATTTAAATCTCAGCTGAAGTTTGCTCAAAATTTTGTGATATTCACATACTGCATTGTTGTGCTTTGTAGGTGCATATTCAATGCCAGCGAAGATCCTTTGCCTGATGTGACAGTGGGTAGCCAAATGTTCAAGATTCTCAGACAGAAGAATCTTTTGATGAATGTGTACAAAAATGGTCAATGGGGGTCCTTCAGACATTTGTCTTCAAATCAGGGTAAGTACCAGTATAAACTTATAATACAAGACCACATTCAATTAGTCATCATGCTTGTGTATGCCCCTCAGACATTATGGATCTGTCCACTATATATCTAATTTTTATAGATGTGCAAGAGCCTTATGCTGAAGTGGAGCATGCATTTGTGAATGTGCTGACCAGAGGTGACCTGTCCAGTTTACGTTGGATTGAGTCTCCCCTGAAGTATTTTGATCCAGACCAGAACCCCAGTAGAGAGCTGTGTAGTGTGTACTATGCTGCTCTTAACTTCAGAGACGTCATGCTGGCCACAGGGAAACTGCCGCCTGATGCCATACCAGGTAATAATTGATTGAATGGCCAAAAAAAATTAGATGCTCTTCAAAATAAATTAATTTAAATTCACACAGTTACATGTATTTCTAGTGCATGTATATAAATGCAACTCTTTTTGGAAAATCTTCAAGGATTTGGTTAAATCCTTTTATTGCAAGTTTTTATAAACAATTACAGCATGCTTAGGTACATTATTTATTTTTCATTTTGCAATGTCACTTCAACATTTGAAACATCACAATATTTATATTATATATATTTACAAATCTTCAGGTTTTCTTGACTCACAAGAATGTCTGCTGGGGATGGAGTTTTCTGGAAGAGACAACAGTGGAAGGAGAATAATGGGAATGGTACCTGCTAAAGTAAGACATTTTATTTTTAAACCATTCACACCAAGTGTCCAAAAAGTTGGACAAAGTATGTATGTTAGGTTACAATAAACATGAGTTGTTTGTGCATTTGCCTGCCCTCTACATACATTTCAAGCTCTTTTTATTGCTTGTATATGCACTGTGTAACTAGTTGATCTTTTTTTAAATTAGTCATCCAAAGCGTATTATTTTGTGATATAGTCTTCAGTCCAGAGTAATCCAAAAACTCTGAGATAAATGACAAACACAACACAAACATGTAGGTTTATTGATATTTGGACAGTGCTCTTTTATATACCAACCCATTATCCATTTTTATGATATAGTATACTAGCATAAAATCTGTTGAATTAACAATTAACAAGCAAATGATTTATTCAAAAAGGGCATGGCTACCACAGTGAATGCTGACAAGAGGTTCCTATGGGAAGTTCCAGCTACATGGACACTGGCAGAGGCTGCCTCGATCCCAGTAGTCTATTCTACAGTGTACTATGCCCTGGTGGTCAGAGGAGAGATCAGGAAAGGAGAGAGCATCCTCATTCATGCTGGTGCAGGAGGTGGGTCAATAGATGTTAAATTTTTTTTATTAAAAGTGCTGTTTTTTTTAGTGTCAGTATTTTGAAAACTTTGATAACATTGTAGGAGCATGCACTGATATTTTTGGAATGTTACACATAAGAATTTATTATTGTTATTATAATTATTATTATTATTATTGCATGTCACTGTCAGGAGTTGGCCAGGCAGCTATATCAGTGGCCCTCCACTGTGGTTGTGAAGTGTACACAACTGTGAGTTCAGAAAAGAAGAAACAGTTCCTTATGGAACAGTTTCCACAGCTGAAAGACAAAAACTTTTCCAACTCACGGGACACATCATTTGAAATGGACATTTTAAAGGCAACCAAGGGAAAGGGTAAGCATTAATATTAAATCATCTTTATGTCATACACTTTCCTTGAAATATTTCCATGTGAGCGACTTAAGGAAGAAAAATTCAAAAAGGTACCTGAAATGTGTAATTTTGTCATCTGTTCTGAATAAGGTATACTATGGAGGTGAAGAGAAAATGTTGAAATTACCAATTCTTTACAGGTGTGGATTTAGTTTTAAATTCTCTGTCTGAAGAGAAACTTCAAGCCAGCATCAGAACACTGTCAAACCATGGAAGGTTCCTTGAAATTGGAAAAGTTGATCTATCAAATGACTCTGCCCTGGGTGAGATATATTTGCAATAATTACTGTGATTTGGTTTGGAAATACTAATATGAAACAATTAAAGTTGACTTCACTTCTACAGAAGTTCAGTAGAAAATTCTTTTGGCATTTTCAAAAAACCAATTTGGAATTTAGGGAAAAAAAGTCACTACTATGGAATAAAAAATCAATCAATCAATCACAAATTGTTGTTTCTCTGCTTTAGGTATGTCAGTGTTTTTAAAAGATGTAGCATTCCATGGAATTTTACTGGATAAGTTCTTTGAAGATGAAAGTTACATGGATAAATGGCAAATTGTGGCAGATCATGTGACCCAAGGTATCCAGTCAGGAGCTGTGCGTCCATTGAAAACTAGCATATTTGATAAGGAAAAGGTAGAAGAAGCTTTCAGGTTTATGTCCCAGGGAAAACACATAGGGAAAGTGGTGATCAAGGTAATAAATTAAAACAAACTTATTCACTATACACCACATCAGATGATAACAATATACAGCAGGTTATAAAACACTATTTAATATATTTGTTCATTTTTAGCCAATAGTTATTTAGGAAGAGCCAAAACTGAAACCTGTCTCTATAGTCTGTTAAAACAAGCCAGAGCCAGCATTTTCAATTTTTTTTTTCTGTAAAATGTCAGCACCTAGCTTTGATATGCGTCTGATGTGTTGATAGAACAAACACATATAAGGGGTCAAAATAAACAACCCATGGTTAATTGATATACCTTTTATGAGCTTTTATCCAATTTAGAATAAAGAATTTTTTTGTGACTCAGATTAGAGAAGAAGAACCCGAGACAGTAACCCCACCACGCTTATTCAAACTCCCTGCAAAAGCCAGATCCTACTGTGACCCCAAACTTGTCTACATCATCACAGGAGGCTTGGGAGGGTTTGGTCTGGAGTTGACACAGTGGTTGATTGAACGCGGGGGAAGACATTTTCTTCTCACGTCTCGTTCAGGGATCAGGACTGGTTACCAGTCAAGGTGTGTCAGACAGTGGAGGGATCTTGGAGTGGATGTCAGGATTTCAACAAGAAACATTTCCACAGCAAAAGGGGTGCAGGGTCTCATTCAGGAGGCAATGGAGACAGGACCTGTTGGGGGAGTCTTTCACCTAGCTATGGTGCGTAAGGGTTCATACGGAAGAAGCATATGGAAGAAACTGAAATAATGTCACTGAAAAAAAAGAAAAGAAAAAAATAATTGTATCAATTTTGAAACAGCAAAAAAGGTTGACACATAAGGATCTATTTCTTTATCTGCTTACATAATGCAGTAAAGAAACATTGTCATGCCATGAGATAATGCTGTCACATCAAGACATATTGGGGTGAATTTGCTGATTTTGAAACAGCAAAAAAGGTATTTTGACCAATTTAGGCCATTTTTACATATCGATCCACCTTAATAATTCTTACTTATTGCTACTATTCACAGGTGCTGAAAGATGCTCTTTTTACAAACCAGACAAAGGAGACCTTTAAGGAAGTATCTGAACCCAAAGTACTGGGTTCTGTGTACTTAGACCAGTACACTCGGCAGATGTGTGCAGATACATTGCACTGGTTTGTTGTCTTTTCCTCTGCCTGTGGAAGTGTTCTTGGAAATGCTGGACAGACAAACTACGGCTTTGCAAACACTGCTATGGAGAGACTTTGTGAGAAAAGATGCTGGGATAAACTACCGGGTTTGGCCATTCAGTGGGGGCCTATAGGTAATTAGGGGATAGAAAATGAGGGAATGGAATGATACACACAATGCCCATCTAGTTGAATCTTAATAATAATATGATCTGTTCTCTGAGCTTTCATATTTCTTCCCAAAAAACAAAACTGAGATCAGTAAATTTATCACATCCAGTGATATGCGTCATCTTCTTTTTTCTTGACTGTAGTCTCAGATAGAACAAGATTGTGTAAAATGCCAAAATGATACTGTATGCACTAGTTCAAATTTAAGCAAGGTTTGAATAATTTTACACATTGTAACTTTTGCATCTTCAGGTGATGTAGGAGTTGTAATTGATGGTATGTTAGGAAACAATGATACAGTTGTAGCTGGTGGCTCTCCACAGAGGATTGCTTCCTGCCTAACCACACTAGACCACTTACTTAACCATAATTTCCCAGTGATGTCCAGCTACATAGTAGCAAACAAGGAGAGGGCTAAAACATCGAATGACACTGAGGGCAAAAAATCCCTTTTTAAATCTGTTGGAAACATTCTAGGTGGGTACAATCATATTGTATTATATACAGATGTTGATTTTGGGATGTGTTCCTGAAATGGATTTTTATTCAAATGGCTTCAATATAAATTGATCTCCATAGCTTCTCATCAGTCTGTCCTGCCAAAGTATGTATTGGCCAATATTTTAAGCAGAACTTGTTAACACTAGTGTTGATGATATATGTGTTTGTTTGATATTTATGTCATTTGAGCAATTAAACTTTTTCCATTAATCCATTTATCATAATTTTTTGCTAAATTCAAAAACCTTTCAATTTTAAATGTAACATAATAATAAATTTTTTCTTTCCATTAATAGGTATAAAAAATCTTGAAACCCTGGACCCAGACACAACTTTACTGGATCTTGGGCTCGATTCTCTCATGAGCGTGGAAGTCAGGCAGATAATGGGCAACCATGATGTTGTGGTATCACTGGCAGACATACCAGCAATGACAATTGGGAGAATAATGAAATTAGACTAGATGGATACTCTCATGGTTTTGATGTTATTCACCTACTTGATAGGCCTTTTCTTGTACTGATTTGAGTTTTTTTAGTTTAGGTCAAGTGAGTTATAGTTAAGTCCCTAGTAAATTATAAGAAAAAAAATCAGCAGTTTCAAGCATTTTTGGGCACATGGTACCTTTTCACCTATTTGGGAAAGGCAGAGCAGGATCCACCTATGTTTTGAAAAAGGGGAAGATCTGGGTTAAAGGGTTAACCCCCTAGACCTAACTTGCACAATGTAAAGGTCACACTAAAAAGGATAAAGGCCAGAATCTTATTCCCCTTTCTCTCTCCCCCCTCCCCACCCCCAACCCAGCTCAAGCTCCCAATCAGTCAACAGTAGGGTGTTGTGATCACACACTAAGAAGTCATTACGATTATAAATGGTATGTTTTCCAAATTTTTCTTTTATAAGTTTTGTACTCAATTCCCAGATATTATCCTTAAATCTAACATACTATTAATGAATCAACATTTTAGATTATTTTAGAAGTTTTTTTAGCATGAGATATTTATGGCAATTTATAGCAACAGAAATGTTATTTATAAAGGTTAACATCTTAGAATATCTTTCTAAAGGGTGAGGGGTTTATATTTAAATATATTTTGAAAAATGATTTATACAGGAGGTAGAGGTGCAATTTTTAAAAAAAATCTTATGTACCACTCAAAAGGATTAAAATACACAATAACTGTTTGCTTTATATATACCATGGATGAAATAATCAGTTTTTTTTTTGTTTGNTGCATCTTTATTTTCTGTTCTTTGTCTGTACATTTGACAGCTTTGCTGCCTTGTTATGAAATAGTATACTAGCATAAAATCTGTTGAATTAACAATTAACAAGCAAATGATTTATTCAAAAAGGGCATGGCTACCACAGTGGATGCTGACAAGAGGTTCCTATGGGAAGTTCCAGATACATGGACACTGGCAGAGGCTGCCTCAGTCCCAGTAGTCTATTCTACAGTGTATTATGCCCTGGTGGTCAGAGGAGAGATCAGGAAAGGAGAGAGCATCCTCATTCATGCTGGTGCAGGAGGTGGGTCAATAGATGTTAAATTTTTTATTCATAGTGCTGCGTTTTTTTAGTGTCAGTATTTTGAAATCTTCAATAACTTTGTAGGAGCATGCACTGATATTTTTGGAATGTTACACATAACTTTATTATAATTATTTATTGAGTTATTTATTATTATTATTATTATTATTATTATTATTATTATTATTACATGATTTTATGTCACTGTCAGGAGTTGGCCAGGCAGCTATATCAGTGGCCCTCCACTGTGGTTGTGAAGTGTACACAACTGTGAGTTCAGAAAAGAAGAAACAGTTCCTTATGGAACAGTTTCCACAGCTGAAAGACAAACACTTTTCCAACTCACGAGACACATCATTTGAAATGGACATTCTAAAGGCAACCAAGGGAAAGGGTGAGCGTTAAAGCATATAAAATCATCATGATGTCATACACTTTCCTTGAAATATTTCTACGTCTATTATGAGAGAGACTTCAGGGTGAAAAATTCAAAAAGGTACCTGAAATGTGTAATTTTGTCATCTGTTCTGAATAAGGTATACTATGGAGGTGATGAAAAAATGTTGAAATTTCCAATCCCTTGCAGGTGTGGATTTAGTTTTAAATTCTCTGTCTGAGGAGAAACTTCAAGCCAGCATCAGAACACTGTCAAACCATGGAAGGTTCCTTGAAATCGGAAAAGTTGACCTATCAAATGACTCTGCCCTAGGTGAGATTTATTAACAATAATTACTGTGATTTGGTTTGGAAATACTAATATGAAACAATTAAAGTTGACTTCACTTCTACAGGAGTTAAGTAAAAAATTCTTTTGGCATTTTCAAAAAACCAATTTCTATGGAATGGAAAATCGATTATCAATCAAAAATTGTTGTTTCTCTGCTTTAGGTATGTCAGTGTTTTTAAAAGATGTAGCATTCCATGGAATTTTACTTGATAAGTTCTTTGAAGATGAAAGTTACATGGATAAATGGCAAATTGTGGCAGATCATGTGACCCAAGGTATCCAATCAGGAGCTGTACGTCCGCTGAAAACTAGCGTATTTGATAAGGAAAAGGTAGAAGAAGCTTTCAGGTTTATGTCCCAGGGAAAACACATAGGGAAAGTGGTGATCAAGGTAATAAATTAAAATAAACTTATTCACTATACACCCCATCAGGTGATAACAATATACAGCAGGTTAAAAAACACTATTTAATATATTCGTTCATTTTTAGCCAATAGTTATTTAGGAAGAGCCAAAACTGAAACCTGTCTCTATAATCTGTTAAAACAAGCCAGAGCCAGCATTTTCAATTTTTTTTTCTGTAAAATGTCAGCACCTAGCTTTGATATGCGTCTGATGTGTTGATAGAACAAACACATATAAGGGGGTCAAAATAAACAACCCATGGTTAATTGATATACCTTTTATGAGCTTTTATCTAATTTAGAATAAAGAATTTTTTTGTGACTCAGATTAGAGAAGAAGAACCCGAGACAGTAACCCCACCACGCTTATTCAAACTCCCTGCAAAAGCCAGATCCTACTGTGACCCCAAACTTGTCTACATCATCACAGGAGGCTTGGGAGGGTTTGGTCTGGAGTTGACACAGTGGTTGATTGAACGTGGAGGAAGACATTTTCTTCTTGTGTCTCGTTCAGGGATCAGGACTGGTTACCAGTCAAGGTGTGTCAGACAGTGGAGGGATCTTGGAGTGGATGTCAGGATTTCGACAAGAAACATTGCAACAGCAAAAGGGGTGCAGGGTCTCATTCAGGAGGCAATGGAGAAAGGACCTGTTGGGGGAGTCTTTCACCTAGCTATGGTATGTAAGGATTCATTTTTAAAAAGTGAGCATACAGAAGAAACTGAAATATTGTCACTGAAAAAAAGAAAGGAAAAAAGAAAATAATAATTGTATCAATTTTGAAACATCAGAAAACTTAAGGTATGTCAATACATAAGGATCTATTTCTTTATCTGCTTAGATAATGCAGTAAAGAAACATTGTCAGGCTATGAGATAACGCTGTCACATCAAGACACATTGGGGTGAATTTGCTGATTTGAGCAAACAGGAGAGTTTTTGTGGTGAAAATTGTGTTTTCAATTTAAAGTGGATCTCTTTCACCTGAGCAGCTACATGTATCAACATCGTTTTAAGGCCTTCTCTTATCCCAACTATAGGTAGTACAAACTGGTGCAAGGGAATCTTTTTTGAGGGGTTTACTTTTTATTTTATCAGTAAAGAGCTGAGATAATGCCTCAGTTTGATGGAATATCATAATTAGGGGCTCATATCTCGTATATAAAAAAAAATAATTGTAGCACCAGATTGTAGTTCACTACTTCATTGTCTATGATTTTGATCATGATAACATCTTACTTAATAGGCTGGAGTTAAGACGCAATCCGATCTTATGCCAACATACAAATCAGTATAAATGACAATAAATGGGGGCTGAGCTTAAAGCAGAAACAAGTAGCAAATGAAACAACAAAAAGGGAAAGTTTTGCTCTAAAAATGTTTACATAAAAGAAAGGGGGATAAGGCATTTTAACCAATTTAGGCCTTTTTTTACATGTAGATCCACCTTAATAATTCTTACTTATTGCTACTATTCACAGGTGCTGAAAGATGCTCTTTTTACAAACCAGACAAAGGAGACCTTTAAGGAAGTATCTGAACCCAAAGTACTGGGTTCAGTGTACTTAGACCAGTACACACGGCAGATGTGTGCAGATACATTGCACTGGTTTGTTGTCTTCTCCTCTGCCTGTGGAAGTGTTCTTGGAAATGCTGGACAGACAAACTACGGCTTTGCAAACACTGCTATGGAGAGACTTTGTGAGAAAAGATGCTGGGATAAACTACCTGGTTTGGCCATTCAGTGGGGGCCGATAGGTAATTAAGGGATAGAAAATGAGGGAATGGAATGATACACACAATGCCCATCTAGTTGAATCTTAATAATAATATGATCTGTTCTCTGAGCTTTCATATTTCTTCCCAAAAAACAAAACTGAGATCAGTAAATTTATCACATCCAGTGATATGCGTCATCTTCTTTTTTCTTGACTGTAGTCTGAGCTAGAACAAGATTGTGTAAAATGCCAAAATGCTACTGTATGCACTAGTTCAAATTTAAGCAAGGTTTGAATAATTGACACATTGTAACTTTTGCATCTTCAGGTGATGTAGGAGTTGTAATTGATGGTATGTTAGGAAACAATGATACAGTTGTAGCTGGTGGCTCTCCACAGAGGATTGCTTCCTGCCTAACCACACTAGACCACTTACTTAACCATAATTTCCCAGTGATGTCCAGCTACATAGTAGCAAACAAGGAGAGAGCTAAATCATCGAATGACACTGAGGGCAAAAAATCTCTTTTTAAATCTGTTGGAAACATTCTAGGTGGGTACAATCATATTGTATTATATACAGATGTTGATTTGGGGATGTGTTCCTGAAATGGATTTTTATTCAAATGGCTTCAATATAAATTGACCTCCATAGCTTCTCATCAGTCTGTCCTGCCAAAGTATGTATTGGCCAATATCTTAAGCAGAACTTGTTAACACTAGTGTTGATGATATATGTTTGTTTGATATTTATGTCATTTGAGCAATTAAACTTTTTCCATTAATCCATTTATCATAGTTTTCTTAACTTTTTGCTAAATTCAAAAACCTTTCAATTTTAAATGTAACATAATAATAAATTTTTTCTTTCCATTAATAGGTATAAAAAATCTTGAAAGCCTGGACCCAGACACAACTTTACTGGATCTTGGGCTCGATTCTCTCATGAGCGTAGAAGTCAGGCAGATAATGGGCAACCATGATGTTGTGGTATCACTGGCAGACATACCAGCAATGACAATTGGGAGAATAATGAAATTAGACTAGATGGATACTTTCATGGTTTTGATGTTATTCACCTACTTGATAGGCCTTTTCTTGTACTGATTTGAGTTTTTTTAGTTTAGGTCAAGTGAGTTATAGTTAAGTCCCTAGTAAATCATAAGAAAAAAAAATCAGCAGTTTCAAGCATTTTTGGGCACATGGTACCTTTTCACCTATTTGGGAAAGGCAGAGCAGGATCCACCTATGTTTTGAAAAAGGGGAAGATCTGGGTTAAAGGGTTAACCCCCTAGACCTAACTTGCACAATGTAAAGGTCACACTAAAAAGGATAAAGGCCAGAATCTTATTCCCCTTTCTCTCTCCCCCCTCCCCACCCCCAACCCAGCTCAAGCTCCCAATCAGTCAACAGTAGGGTGTTGTGATCACACACTAAGAAGTCATTACGATTATAAATGGTATGTTTTCCAAATTTTTCTTTTATAAGTTTTGTACTCAATTCCCAGATATTATCCTTAAATCTAACATACTATTAATGAATCAACATTTTAGATTATTTTAGAAGTTTTTTTAGCATGAGATATTTATGGCAATTTATAGCAACAGAAATGTTATTTATAAAGGTTAACATCTTAGAATATCTTTCTAAAGGGTGAGGGGTTTATATTTAAATATATTTTGAAAAATGATTTATACAGGAGGTAGAGGTGCAATTTTTAAAAAAAATCTTATTAAACATATTAAATGTACTTGGGTCATGTTTTACTTTTCTAGTGTTTTAGAATGTCATAACTGTCATCCAATGATGTATCAAAGGTTGGTTTTCACTATGTACCACTCAAAAGGATTAAAATACACAATAACTGTTTGCTTTATATATACCATGGATGAAATAATCAGTTTTTTTTTTGTTTGTTTGTTTGTTTATGTACGTACACATGAAAACAGTAAGCCGAAAAGACAGCAACTGGAAAAGACAGGTCTAGATGATCTGCATCTGCTTGTTTTAGGCCCCTATTTCACACAGACCACGAATCCCACGAATGGCCATGAATTGACAAATTCCACGATTCATGGTTGAATCGTAATCAGTTTGTGAAGTTCTTAACAGATTCGTATAAATTCCTAGTCAATTCTTGCACTTCTTGACCAACAGGAATTGGTGGCAAAAACTTTGATGCCCCTATTTCACACAGACCACGAATCCCACGAATCGCCAGGAATTGAAAATTTTAGGATTCATGGTTGAATCGTAATCAGTTCGTGAAGTTCTTAACAGATTCGTATATAATCGTAGTCAGTTCTTGCAATTCTTGATCCATCGGGAATTCGTGGCAAAAATTTTGAGCTGTTCGAAGTTTTGACCACGAACTCCCGATTGCAAAAAATAGTAGTGAATTTCTGGACAATATTCGTGCGATTCCAGCCGAATCCCACGGATATTCGTAACACTATCGCACCTGTATCATAACTGAATCGTAGAGCGTGTCGAATTAGACCAAAAAATTGGCAAAATTTCACGATTCCAGCCGAACCCCACGAATATTCGTAACACTATCGTACCTGTATCGTAACTGAACCGTGAGCGTGTCGAATAAGACCAGAAAATTGGCAAAATCTCACGAATCCTCACGAATCCTGAAATTTGTCAATTCCTGGCGATTCGTGGTCTGTGTGAAATAGGGGCCTTAGGAAGCATTCACCCAGGTAGTTGTGGGATAACATGACTGTGCAAGGCAATAATAAAAGCAGTAGCTGTTTCCATAGCAAATTTATTATGCTAAAAGAAATCTAACCTAAAATATGGAACTTTAAACTGTTAGTTAAAATGTGAAAGTCAACAATGAATCAGCCAAACGTGACGTAGGTCTATTGTCCTCTGGAGTAAGACAATGAAGATTGTACAATGCACAAAGTTAATATAAGGACTATATCCAGGCTTGTCCACCAGTGTTGGAAATAAATATCCAGACAGGATTTCATATCTAGGATTTTCAACTTTGTTTATAAGTGGATGTTATTACTTGAAGATCTATAGAAGCTACCAAATACTATTAGTCAACTGATGAATGATCAATTGCACTCCATTATTTTGACCCCCATTTATCACTGGAGTCGCATTTACATTAAAGTTGCTTATTGTTAGAACCCTTCTCTGTGGAGCAGCTTGATTGGGGCAAGCTCACCAGAACAATGATAGCATTCCAATTGTTCTCTGATACTACTTGCATGCAGTACCCAGAGGCTGGGATGGCAATAACCAGTGGTACCAGAGAATGAAAACTGCTGAAAGTGGCCATCTTCATCATACCTATGACCCATTTAGGCTAATAATCAGACAGCCCACAGAGAAGGGTTGTACCAAAAACGGTCCAAAATGTAAACACAACTTTCTGCTGGAATGTTGCAAGGTTAAGTGTACTGTGTTAATAAGGCACTGCATGTAGTTGTCTATGTTATTGGGGAAAAATATTCCCCCCGATATGTCATTAAAACCTTGTTATATTGTTCATAAATGACTAATATTACCAGAACTATTTAGGGGACCTATGATAATTTGAGATTTATACTAAGAAGTATACATATAGCCACTAAAATAAAACATTGCTGAACAAAGCACTGAGTAATGTTATTTTGTACAAAGACATGAAATAAGTCTACTATTGGGAACAATGCAACCGTAGCTTTCCAGTTAGTGAAAAGAAACCTTCCCTGTCTTGCTCAACAATGATTCAGCTGTCAGATACAATGCTATTTCCATTACAAAATTCCATTCAAATGAACACAACTTAATTTTAACCTACTTTGCTACAAACTTACAACATTTAGTAAGATATTATTTAAAAATAGATATCTATGTACACAAATCCACTGCTATCACTCTTCCACCTTTTACATCAATTAAAATATACAGCGTGGCATGAATAATTTTATACAAGGACTAGTACCATCAATTCTACAATATTGCAAGTTGCAGGTGGTTAACATGAATGAGTTCTTTTAATTGCTTGATAAGGACAGTTTATTTTCTTTTTTAAAAATAGCAACAACCTCATATTTGATGTTCAAAACAAGAATGTTCCGCCTGGCGTGGCAGATCCAACTCAAAATATCTCATAAAATATTAATCCAAAGAGCAATTTGCATACCACCCTTAATTAGAAAAATATATACCATGTCAGGCACTCGTGTGTACATAAAAAAGCAGTATATCATTTGGAAGAGCTTAGTTCTACTAACCGAGGAGAATGCCCTTAATTTTTTTAGGTAATTAAATGAGGACTGACAGTCCACTTAAAGGGTGTCAATGCATGTTATTTATAAGGTCATCTTTCAGATCAGCTATTCTTCAATATACATTCGGATAAGCATACCATATCTTCACTAAAGGAAATTCATTACTAAAGCAATTTTGATCTAGTTATTTTTGTTTTAAAAACTAATATTTATAAAATACAAAACATATAATAAAATAAAATTTTGTAAGTTTCTCCACTACTTTATCACATAAAAACCTGAACTTAATTAAAAAGAGAAATAATGTAGTCAATAATACCAACCAACTGAATTTGCTCCATTTGCTACGTGCTTAAGTCTAAGAGGTTAAACCACAAACGTAAATGTCTTTCTCCACTTTTCTCATTAACTGTGTTAGTTGGAACAAAAAAAAGTATACAAAAAATTTAATTTGCTTTGGTATTTAAGATGCGGGATAAAACATGTGAACTACAGTCTGTTTTAGACCTGGAAATATCGTCATAAACAACAGTTTAAAGGAGCTCTTGTTAAGTTCCCTATGTCATAAATTGTTCAGCCAAAAGTAAATAACATATCTTGTTTAAAATATGTTATCACACAAAAAGTTATTTTTTCCAAAATTTAAATAGGAATCAAATGTCTAAGCACTTCAGTTGATTGCTTCACCTTCTTAATCTTCATCTCCGATGCCACGGCAGAGGCAGATGGCAAATATGAAACCAAATAACTGGAAACCAACCATAGTAATAGATTAATATTCTTATTTCAAACTGACAAAGTTCAAGGACAAATGTGTCACTTAACCATACAGTTGAACACATGTTAGCAGTTTTTCACTTCATTCTATTTTTACAAAATTGAAATAATTGATTGAGTTTCTAAATAAAAGAGCACCAATGCTGTGACTCGAGAACAATTAAACCAAATAAATAAATAAATAAATAAATAAACTCCCCTGTCACAATACATATATCTATACATGGTGACAATATTAGACCTGTTGGGGAAAACGCTAGTAATCTACTGGTTAATGGTATTCATTTATGTAAATGTGTGTGCGTGTGCATGCACCACGGGTATGCACTAACCTCAACTCCTGCAATACCACAACCCACAGCAATGACGACAACCGCGTGATTGAGAAACCAGGCCTTGACAGCTTCATAGCAGCCCTGCAAGTAAAAGTCGTCATTGATTTCACACCATCTTGTACATTTAACATCATTAAAAAATGCATGGTTAAAAAATGAGAATAGTTACTTATAGAAAGATGGCTGGTGTTTCACTCAGGGATAGGAAGGCAAAAGAAGAGCTGCATACATATGGGTACAGAAAATATTAGGGATATGTTGCACCATTACAGACTGAGATGGCATGGACTTGTAGAAAGGATGAGTGAAGACAAATGGGTGAAGGGAGTAACAAAGTTTGAAATGGAGGGCATGAGGCCTCCAGGTAGACCAAGGTTAACTTGGAGGGAGGTAGAATATGATATTTAAAAAAGGGAGGTATCTTTCTGAAAATTGTATAATGAACCGTTCATTATACATGATGACATTTATTACAGGGACTATGACGTTGATAATAAAATATTCTTTTTTTATTTCTCTTTTTGTATTATGGTCAGTTCTTTGTCCCGTAATTTTGATTGTATTCTTCTTCAGAAAATTGATTAGCACTAAACTCATGTTTAGGGACAAAGAAAAATGGACATTTAGAATTGTGTTCATAAACAATATGAAGTTGTGTTAGAGAACCAAGTGTTGTTTCCAGACTACAGGTTTGTGCAGGAACATTTTACTATCTGTTCAAAACAAAGTGTACCATACATACCTTACTGTGTAGTTGGGTTGGACTTGGTGTCCCTGCATTAGCCTCCGTTTGGCATACTTGATAATTAACAGGCTGGATTTTATCTGGGTCTTTTCCTGGATCCATCTTACAACAGGTAGGAGCAACATGAATCTATACAAAAAATTATAATAATAATTATTATTATTTATTCACCTAATATATAAAACAGCTTATATTTTTTTAAGTACATACATGGATCGTTACACACACACACACACACACATACATATTAACACACATTCAGGCCTACAAGGCCTTCTCCATGTGTGCATGCATTTGTGCATGTGCACATCCTGTTTCAATCAAAATCTGATATAGGCTCTGTGCCATAATGGTAAAAAGGTCCAACTTTGAAATTGCTGACTTCAGGCCTGACATAAAAAATTGACCACAGGTANCTGTTATTGGGGAAAAATATTCCCCCCGATATGTCATTAAAACCTTGTTATATTGTTCATAAATGCCAAATATTACCAGAACTTTTTAGGGGACCTATGATAATTTGAGATTTATGCTAAGAAGTATACATATAACCACTAAAATAAAACATTGCTGAACAAAGCACTGAGTAATGTAATTTTGTACAAAGACATGAAATAAGTCTACTATTGGGAACAATGCAATAGCTTTCCAGTTAGTGAAAAGAAACCTTCCCCGTCTTGTTCAACAATGATTCAGCTGTCAGATACAATGCCAATTCCATTACAAAATTCCATTCAAGTGAACACAACTTAATTTTAACCTACTTTGCTACAAACTTACAACATTTAGTAAGATATTATTTAAAAATAGATATCTATGTACACAAATCCACTGCTATCACTCTTCCACCTTTTACATCAATTAAAATATACACCGTGGCATGAATAATTTTATACAAGGACTAGTACCAATAATTCTACAACGTTGCAAGTTGCAGATGGTTAACATGAATGAGTTCTTTTAATTGCTTGATAAGGACTGTTTATTTTCTTTTTTTAAAAATAGTAACAACCTCATATTTGGTGTTCAAAACAAGAATGTTCCGCCTGGTGTGGCAGAATCCAGATCAAAAATATCTCATAAAATATTAATCCAAAGAGCAATTTGCATACCACCCTTAATTAGAAAAATATATACCATGTCAGGCACTCGTGTGTACATAAAAAAGCAGTATTTCATATGGAAGAGCTTAGTTCTACTGACTGAGGAGAATGTCCTTAATATTTTCAGGTAATTAAATGAGGACTGACAGTCCACTTAAGGAGTGTCGATGCACGTTATTTATAAAGCCATCTTTCAGATCAGCTATTCTTCAATATAAATTCGGATAAGCATACCATATCTTCACTAAAGCAAATTCATTACTAAAGCAATTTTGATCTAGTTATTTTTGTTTTAAAAACTAATATTTATAAAATACAAAACATATAATAAAATAAAATTTTGTAAGTTTCTCCACTACTTTATCACATAAAAAAACCTGAACTTAATTAAAAAGAGAAAAATAATGTAGTCAATAATACCAACCAACTGAATTTGCTCCATTTGCTACGTGCTTAAGTCTAAGAGGTTAAACCACAAATGTAAATGTCTTTCTCCACTTTTCTCATTAACTGTATTAGTTGGAACAAAAAAAAGTATACAAAAAATTTAATTTGCTTTGGTATTTAAGATGCGGAATAAAACATGTGAACTACAGTCTGTTGCAGACCTGGAAATATTGTCATAAACAAACAACAGTTTAAAGGAGCTCTTATAAGTTCCCTATATAAATTGTTCAGCCAAAGCTAAATAACATACCTTGTTAAAAATATTTTTTCATACAAAAAGTTATTTTTTCCAAAACTTAAATAGGAATCAAATGTCTAAGCACTTCAGTTGATTGCTTCACCTTCTTAATCTTCATCTCCGATGCCACGACAGAGGCAGATGGCAAATATGAAACCAAATAACTGGAAACCAACCACAGTAATAGATTAATATTCTTATTTCAAACTGACAAAGTTCAAGGACAAATGTGTCACTTAACCATACAGTTGAACACATGTTAGCAGTTTTTCACTTCATTCTATTTTTACAAAATTGAAATAATTGATTGAGTTTCTAAATAAAAGAGCACCAATGCTGTGACTCGAGAACAATTAAACCATGCTCCCCTGTCACAATACATATATCTATACCTGGTGACAATATTAGGCCTGTTGGGGGAAATAACCTACTGGTTATTGGTATTCATTTATGTAAATGCGTGTGTGCGTGCATGCACCACGGGTGTACACTAACCTCAACTCCTGCAATACCACAACCCACAGCAATGACGACAACCGCGTGATTGAGAAACCAGGCCTTGACAGCTTCATAGCAGCCCTGCAAGTAAAAGTCGTCATTGATTTCACACTAAATTGTACATTTAGCATCATTAAAAAATGCATGGTTAAAAAATGAGAATGGTTACTAATAGAAGGATGGCTGGCGTTTCACTCAGGGATAGGAAGGCGAGTGAAGAGCTGAATCAACATATGGGTTTAGATAATACCAGGGATATGTTGCACCATTCCAGACTGAGATGGCAGGGATGTAGAAAGGATGAGTGAAGACAACTGGGTGAAGAGAGTAATAAAGTTTGAAATGGAGGGCAGGAGGCCTCCAGGTAGACCAAGGTTGACTTGGAGGGAGGTAGTGAACACAGACAGGAGACAGCTGCAAGCTCAAGACAGATCCCAGTAACAGACAAGAAATACGTACCCAAGATGATATTTAAAAAAGGGAGGTATCTTTCTGAAAACTGTCATGTATAATGAACCGTTCATTATACATGATGACATTTATTACAGGGACTATGTTAATAATATTTTTTTTTTGTTCTCTTTTTGCATAATGGTCAGTTATTTGTTCAGGAATTTTGATTTAATTCTTCTTCAGAAAATTGATTAGCACTAAACTCATGTTTAGGTACAAAGAAAAATGAACATTTAGAATAGTGTTCATAAACAATATGAACTTGTGTTAGAGAACCAAGCGTTGTTCCCAGACTACAGGTTTGTGCAGGAACATTTTACTATCTGTTCAATTCAAAAACAAAGTGTACCATACATACTTTACTGTGTAGTTGGGTCGGTTGTGTCCCTGAACTAGCCTCCTGTCGGCATACTTGATAATTAACAGGCTGGATTTTATCTGGGTCTTTTCCTGCAGGCATCTTACAACAGGTAGGAGCAACAGGAATCTACACAAAAATTGTACTAATTATTATTATTATAATTTATTCACCCAATATATAAAACAGCTTATATTTCAAAAGTAGATACATGGATCGTTACATGCAAACATACGTACACACACACAAACACAAACATTCAGGCCCACATTCCCACATACCACATTCAGGTGGTAAGTTCAAGGTGGGGCTTTCTCCATGTGTGCATGCATGCATGCGTATGCACATCCTTTTTCAATCAAAATCTGATATCTATAGGCTCAATGCCATAATGGTAAAAAGGTCCAACTTGAAATTGTTGACTACAGGCCTGACATAAGAAATTGACTTTAAGCTCTAATAATAAAGTAACCAAGTAACAAAATAGAGAAAATCTACATTTTTTTTCATTTCTCAGGAAATTAATATCCATATTCCACAAACTAAAGTAAAATTAGCATACCACATTTAAAAGTAACATTAATATACAGCAATGCATACATTTAAAATGTAGAGGACATGTGCATCACATTTATTGCTATTCATACACTTACCCCAGATGCATTTGACCACTTGCTGTTTTGGTAGTCAGTGTAGTTGTTTGCTCCACAGCATTCATGCTATAAGTGATTGAAAGATTACAAATGACAATTGAATACAGTTGAGATACACTGACAACCTTGCTTATGTCAAAAGCCAAAATTTGTTTCATTTTTAAAACATGACCCCATTTTAAATTGGGTCCTTTGGGGGAAAAAGCTGCCTGAAAATATGCTTATATCTGTATATTGTTTTCCTTCTGTGAGACTATTCTACATAAATGCATGGACATAATGAGAGGAGGACGTGAAACGCGGCATCTTCCTTTGAAGCTATGTGCGTTCGGGTAAACAGTCACCCATTGTCTCAGATAAGCTGTTTTGATAGCTCCACAGGAGCCTAAACAACTTATTATCAAGGTAGCGCGCGCTGTGCCTCATTGAAATTCTTTTGTTCTATTGCATGGATAACGCAATTTCTCGCGGTCCCTCGTGGTTGCTATGATACAGCATTAACTCCATCTTGTAGTTGCTAGCACATAAATTGTAGACTTGCGTCAACAAGTGGAAATTTGTTTCGGGTTTTCAGTTTCTTTTTCCTGTAACCTAATTAAAACGGGCTCTGGCCTTTGTCTATACTTGTTATCGTTTCCAAGATTGTATTGATATATGTCGAACTGATATATAACTGGTTTAAAAGCAAGTTGACTAATAAAGCCAGGTAGGTGCTATCCAAACGCATCTGATAACAAGATAATGCAATGTAGCAAGCCAATTACAGAGGCGAGACTTAAATCACAAATGTGATCAAGATCCACTTTTATGACCATTACCCAAGAAAATATATTCATGAAGTTTGCATGTGTACATGTCCACATTTATACTTGAATTAAAAGACCAATGAGGGTGTTTGTCAATCGTCTCTATGCTGTTTAGGGACTCCAATTTAAAGATACAAAACTATTAATTATCATTCTCAAACTGGAGCAGACCGTAGCCGGTAATGTGTAAATAAATATATACTTCAGAGCAGTGTTAATGTCAACTATGATAAAAGAATATTAAAAGGCCCACAAGTGCACTTTTGTGCGTAACGAATGCGTGTGGTGCCATATTGCAATGAGAGCCCATATTGAAAGTTAAATAAATAATAATTATCATTCTCAGACTGGAGCAGACCGTAGCCGGTAATGTGTAAATATATATATACTTCAGAGCAGTGTTAACGTCAACTTTGATAAAAGAATTTTAAAAGACCCACAGGTACGTTTTTGTGGGTCACAAATGCGTGTGTGGTGCTCTACTGCAACGAGAGCCCATATTGAATGTTAAAAATATTTATTATCATTACATAATTTGGGCTCACTTAAGCAAGTAACATTAACCTATTCATATAGTACACAGCAGTGTAAATTTCACCTTTATCTAAACCATACGTAAAAAATACCAGACCTTAAACGATGTCAGTGAGTTGAAAAAATTGGAGAGGAATTGCGTCATTTTAATTCAAGACACCATTGAAGGTTTCATTATTGCCGCGTCTCAGGCTAATTTCTCACATAGAGAGAAAAGTTTGGCACTAAAAATATTTTCCAATCAGTTCATAGCTGAAAACAAGTATACTACACTACAATTGTACAATTTTGAATGCTCATTTTACGGCAACAAACAAGATTGCCTTTACCACATAGGGTTTTTTGAATTCCTACATGAATAAACATATCAAATTCTCACATAGTTTCCAAATTGACAGAACAAATTGTACTTATACTTAATCTCTATAATTTTATTGGCTCATCCACCTGAAAGATTGACTCACGTTATCGCGAACTACCTGCCCAAATGACACAAAAAGTCATCGACAACTGCGATATGCTTGCTACCTGTACGGAAGGTTGCGTGATCAGAAAGCACATGGTTTCGCGAAGAGCTCACGTTAAGCCGATTATCCTTTGATCTTGCTCCGCGTTTCACGTCCTTCTCTCATTATGTCCATGATAAATGCTTACATTGTACTGAACCAAGTTCCAAGCAGCACCAATGGTGTTGTTGGTCATGTATTTATTCTTGATAGATGTCACCATATACGCCTTCAACTGGGTCTCAACCTGAAAAATATCAACATATTCTCATGTTAAATCATATAGCTGCTCAATTCAGTTACAGTGCTCTTCACTTTCTATATTCAGAAAATATGCAGCATTAGCCGAGGAAAATATCAGTCAGTGACTCGGTGACCTCAATAGGAATCATCTGAGATAGCCAAAAATCTCACCACTTAGCATAACATCTAGGGAGATTTCACAGGACTTGGAAGAAAATGGGGTCAGAAATTATGGCAGACTATGGGAAATGCAGTGGGGCAACAGTTAAAAGTTGGAAGAATATACTCATGGGAACTTTTTGGTTGTTTTCTCTTATATCCTCAAGCATTATCTGTTTTTGCACAATAATATGCATTCACCATGTTTTGCCCATTTATTTTGTGTTGTTTTTGAAGATGGCGTTTCTAGCACATCAAAGTTTCATCCTTATTGGAGAAAGGTTAGCCCTACCTTATATAGATCCCCACATATTAAAACCTCATATAATACCCTTCCTCAGATGATTTTCATTTAAACTTAAAGCAGAGCAAGTTACCAGTAAATGCGTCAAAAGCAAATAATAGGGCTTATGTGACAGACATATCAATAAAATGACTTACATCTGCTAAAAAGTTTAAAAATTAATTAAAAAAAAAAAAGACAAAAGAGTGAGAGAAAAAAAGAGAAAGTTGTAACTGTACCTTGTCTTTGTATGCAACTGCCAAAATGCCAGCAGCTAATTCAACAGCCATGATCAATACCATGAAGAAAATATACTGAAAGAAGGATTGGGGCACTTAATATAAATTTATTTTCAAGACTACACTAATCAGTACAGAGAATACTGTTTATTCAATTATGTCATGTGGAATAATTTCTTAAGGGGGGGGGGGGGTGAAAAAATAGAAGTTTTGCATTCTGTCATGAACTTTGCCCATTAACATCTTTTTTATCTAATGTCATCTCAGCATTTTCTGGAATGTAACACAATTTGGTCTATTGTTGGCAGGAATGAAAAAATGTTCGAGTGCTGCTATACATCTGGAAGAATACTAAATTTTAACTCATTGGACATTGAATTTCAGAAAGCCTTGATGCTACAAATGAAAAATGAAGTTTAAGTTCCATGTAATTGGCACTTATTTCTATATATGTCTAATAATATATTACAAATCAATTATTATTATTATTATATATACCTACCATGCCTAGCATAAATTTACTTTCTCTAAGTGCTCCACAGCAGCCACAGAATCCCACTAGGAATACAAAGGCTCCAGCAGCAATAAGGGCATAGGCAGCATACTCTAGCATTGGGTCCTCAGAGTCTATGCTGACTACCTGCTGGTACTTGAGAATAGATGGATCAATTCTGAGCCAGATACCAACTCCCAAAACTGCTGCTCCAGACAACTAAAATGAGAGAATCATTTGCAATTATCACAGTCAGATATTAGTTGTCTAATACACGTAGGCATCTAACCCCAGTCATCATTTTAATAGACTGGCACTGAAAGGGAGCAAATTCATAATTGTTTATAAAACAATACTACCTCAGCTATCAACAAAATGGCTTTATTGATAGTTCATCTATTGCTTCATGCTGCACTTCTATTGCTACATGCTGTACTATTCCCATTAACTTTTGTCATACTTTTGGGTATTCAAATGCTGATATTCTCAATAAATCAGTAATGCATTAATAAACTGATGTTTTGTACACAATAACATTCTTCATTCCAGGCTATAATTTTATCATACAATGTATGAAGTTGCAGTTATTTCAAAACATTATCTATTACAAACATGAGCTGATTGTTATTATGTAACAGAATTTGCCACAAAGTTCCTCAAAAACAAACCTCTGAACAAACAGTTTTTAAAGATTTCCAAATTACTTAAAAAGTATTATCAAAAATTGTTTCATATAAACAAGGCAAAAAAAATTATGTATATATATATAATTTTCTAAACTGTCTGTCAGGATCTGTTTATTTAAACTTCTTACCCTTTAATTAAACCACAAGTACTGTACAAATGCCTCAGTTACCAACCAACACATCTGACAAAGTGTGATAAAAGTTAAATTAAGATGTGTCCTTATCTCCACAGTGGACCATACTGCAACAAATTAATTTTAAAGAAACGGCAGACAAATATAGATGTAGTTAATCCCTCCCCTACACCAGTCCTCTTGAGAAAAAAAAGTTAAATATTTTCTAAAACAAAAAGACCCCTTCTTTCACCTTGATTCTCACAGTTCTGTATTTCACCAGTAAACAGATTCCCTCACTATACATGCACCTGACATGTTAACAACCCTGTGTGCAAATGCAAAGACCCTTCTATCAGGTGAATTAATTAGCAATTTATGCCGTAAACAAAAACCACATTATAAATGATTCTGTTACCACTGAAATCAATGCCTCAAATATTGAAGCGGAGTCTAACCCATCAGCTTGTTGTGCATACACTTTATGATTTTCAGTGATGCTTCATAAATTCTTTGACCTCTGCAAAATGACAGCGAAGACTAAACACCTTTTTTTCATTAAGCATATATATGAATGCACTTTATCATTAAAAGTGAAGAGGGACTTGGCAAGGAACTAAAGTACTCTTCACCCCACAGGTAGTGCACAAAATGTCATGTTAAATGTGGAATAAATGAAGTTGCTAAGATTTCCAATAATCCTGTTTTTTCATAGTTAAAATGTGCTTCAACAGAAAGCACACAAATGTTTGCCTCATTAACTTTAGGTATCTACTAATACATATATAGATATGGACAGATAACACAAAAATACTGGAGATATTGCCAGGTTTATGTGAATTCCTGTGTGCCACAAACAGCTGTTAACAGTTCAACATGTTTCCAGAGTGCTGGCAGTCCAGCAATATTACACTTCACATATCACCCTCTCCATGATCTACAGCTCAATATTTACCTGGTCAAAACAGATTGCAGTGGTTATGGGGGTGATCAATGCAACAGCAAACTTCATAGTCATAAAAAAGCATCCACTATGATGAGGTTAAAACAAACAAGGTTCACTTCTTGGCTATACATTTTGGGACTCCTCATTAACACAACAACATTTACTAGTACTAGTGCCTTGTTACTTAATTTTGCATCTCAATCGTTTCAGAGATATATGCAAAGATTACTGTCATTTTCATGCATCGGCTAATATATATATATATATATATATACAGCCATTCCACGAAAAAGGGTACAATTCTGAATAATACCTGTCGCAGCTTATTTTCAGTAGTAAAAGCATCTGCAATTTAGCTTTTTTTAGCCTTTTTTAGCAGGACCCGATGTGTTCTACTTAAAAAACAACAATTGATATAGTACCACTTGCTTTGACGGGAACCCCGGGGGTCTATATGCCGCAAAAAGCACGATTTCGACGTGTAGCTTCGGTATTATAGCTGATTTGCCACAAGAAAAAGTTTATATTTTCCCTTATTTTAGTGTTTTTAGTCCTCAACTAATTTGAATTCATGTTTCTTTTTATCATACATGGTGTTCTCTGTCGAATTTGTTGGTTAGTTACGTCACTGTCATAGTTTAATCAATGTCGCTCAGTAACCCCTAACCTCCGTAACGCTTTTTTAACTCAGTGTAAGAATAAAAGAAAATGCTCTTAAATGGCCTTCCTGTGCATTTTTCAAACTCTTAATACATGAAGTTTAATAAAACAGTGCTATTTTTTAATTTTGAATGATGCGTTCCATCATAGAGAATGTTAACTCACCAGGGTCGGGGTGTAGCATTTAAGAGCCTAACCTCAGGAGNTGGGTTTTCCTTGAAATGTGTTAACAGTGTTGCATAATTGCTGAAAAGTGAAAAAACAGCATAACTACTAAAATAGTGGCCCTATCATGCCGATTTTCGAACTTGATCTGCGTTTTAGTAAGATTGATTACTCCTGTGAGTTTCATGACATCAGGCCCATCGGTTTTCCTTGAAATGTGTTAACAGTGTTGCATATATGCTGAAAAGTGAAAAAACAGCATAAATTCTACAATAATGGCCCGATCATGCTGATTTTCGAACTTGACCTATGTTTTATGAATATTCATCAGCTCTGTAAATATAAAGCCAAAAAGTAAAACTGTCTTCCACTTATGGTGTTAACGCTGAAAGTGCACGGCAACGGCGACATGATCGGCGACGGCGACGACAGACACAGGTGATGGCAATATGTACAGACACATCTGTGTCTGTACATAATTAGCACACTACATTTAAAAGTAACATTAATATACAGCAATGCATACATATAAAATGTAGAGGACATGTGCATCACATTTATTGCTATTCATACACTTACCCCAGATGCATTTGACCACTTGCTGTTGTGGTAGTCAGTGTAGTTGTTTGCTCCACAGCATTCATGCTATAAGTGATTGAAAGATTACAAATGACAATTGTATACAGTTGAGATACACTAAAGTTCATTGACAACCTTGCTTATGTCAAAACCCAAAATTTGTTTCATTTTTAAAACATAACCTTGTTTCAAATTGTGTTCTTTGGGGGGAAAAAGCTGCCTGTAAATACGCTTATATCTGTATATCTGTATATTGTAAGACTATTCTACATAAATGCTTACATTGTACTGAACCAAGTTCCAAGCAGCACCAATGGTGTTGTTGGTCATGTATTTATTCTTGATTGACGTCACCATATACGCCTTCAACTGGGTCTCAACCTGAAAAATATCAACATATTCTCATGAATCATGTAGCTGCTCAATTCAGTTACAGTGCTCTTCACTTGCTATATTCAGAAAATATATGCAGCATTAGCCGAGGAAAATATCATTCATTGACTTAGTGTCCTCAATAGGAATCATCTGAGATAGCCAAAAATCTCACCACTTAGCATAACATCTAGGGAGATTTCACAGGACTTGGAAGAAAATGGGGTCAGAATTTACAGCAGACTTTGGGAAATGTAGTGGGGTAACAGTTAAAAGTTGGAAGAATATACTCATGGGTATTTTTCTTGTTGTTTTCTCTTATATCCTCAAGCATTATATTTGTTTTTGCACAACAATATGCATTCACCATATTTTGCCCATTTATTTTGTGTTGTTTTTGAAGATGGCATTTCTAGCACATCAAAGTTTCATCCTTATTGGAGAAAGGTTAGCCCTACCTTATATAGATCCCCACATATTAAAACCTCATACAATACCTGAAAACCTCAGTTAAGGCTTCCTCAGCTGATTTTCAATTAAACTTAAAGCAGAGCAAGTTACCAGTAAATATGCCAAAAGCAAATAATGTGACAGACAAATCAATAAAATGACTTAAATCTACTAAAAAGTTTAAAAATTAATAAAGACAAAAGAGAGTGAGAGAAAATAGGAGAAAGTTGTAACTGTACCTTGTCTTTGTATGCAACAGCCAAAATGCCAGCAGCTAATTCAACAGCCATGATCAATACCATGAAGAAAATGTACTGAAAGAAGGATCGGGGCACTTTATATAAATTTATTTTCAAGACTACACTAATCAGTACAGAAGAATACTGTTTATTCAATTATGTCATGTGGAATCATTTTTTAAGGGGGGGGGGGGGGGAGGATGAGGGAGTGAACAAATAGAAGTTTTGCATTCTGTCATGAACTTTGCCCATTAACATCACTTTTATCTAATGGCATCTCAGCATTTTCTGGAATGTAACACAATTTGGTCTATTGTTGGCAGGAATGAAAAAATGTTCAAGTGCTGCTATATACCTGCAAGAATACTAAATTTTAACTCATTGGACATTGAATTTCAGAAAACCTTGATGCTACAAATGAAAAATGTAGTTTAAGTTCCATGTAATTGGCACTTGACAATTTTTCTATATATGTCTAATAATATATTATAAATCAATTATTATTATATACCTACCATGCCTAGCATGAATTTACTCTCTCTAAGTGCTCCACAGCAGCCACAGAATCCCACTAGGAATACAAAGGCTCCAGCAGCAATAAGGGCATAGGCAGCATACTCTAGCATTGGGTCCTCAGAGTCTATGCTGACTACCTGTTGGTACTTGAGAATAGATGGATCAATTCTGAGCCAGATACCAACTCCCAAAACTGCTGCTCCAGACAACTAAAATGAGAGAATCATTTGCAATTATCACAGTCAGATATTAGTTGTCTAATACATGTAGGCATCTAACCCCAGTCATCATTTTAATAGTCTGGCACTGAAAGGGAGCAAATTCATAATTGTTTATATAACAATACTACCTCAGCTATCAACAAAATGGCTTTATTGATAGTTCATCTATTGCTTCATGCTGCACTTCTATTGCTTCATGCTGCACTATTCCCATTAACTTTTGTCTTAATTTTGGGTATTCAAATGCTGATATGCTGATAATGCATTAATAAACTGATTTGTTTTGTACACAATAACATTCTTCATTCCAGGCTATAAATTTTATCATACAATGTATGAAGTTGCAGTTATTTCAAGTTGATTGTTATTATGTAACAGAATTTGCCACAAAGTTCCTCAAAAACAAACCTCTGACCAAACATAGTTTTTAAAGATTTCCAAATTACTTAAAAAGTATTATCAAAAAATTGTTTCATATAAACAAGGCAAAAAAAAAATTATATATATATATATATATATATATATATATATATATATATATATATATATATATATATATAATTTTCTAAACTGTCTGTCAGGAACTGTTTATTTAAACCACAAGTACTGTACAAATGCCTCAGTTACCAACCAACACATCTGACAAAGTGTGATAAAAGTTAAATTAACATGTGTCCTTATCTCCACAGTGGACCATACTGCAACAAATTAAATTTAAAGAAACTGCAGACAAATATAGATGTAGTTAATCACTCCCCTACACCAGTCCTCTTGAGAAAAAAAAGTTTAATATTTTCTAAAACAAAAAGAACTCTTCTTTCACCTTGATTCTCACAGTTCTGTATTTCACCAGTAAACAGATTCCCTCACTATACATGCACCTGACATGTTAACAACCCTGTGTGCAAATGCAAAGACCCTTCTATCAGGTGAATTAATTAGCAATTTATGCCGTAAACAAAAACATTATAAATGATTCTGTTACCACTGAAATCAATGCCTCAAATATTGAAGCGGAGTCTAACCCATCAGCTTGTTGTGCATACACTTTATGTTTTTCAGTGATGCTTCATAAATTCTTTGACCTCTGCAAAATGACAGCGAAGACTAAACACCTTTTTTTCATTAAGCATATATATGAATGCACTTTATTATTAAAAGTGAAGAGGGACTTGGCAAGGAACTAAAGTACTCTTCACACCATAGGTAGTGCACAAAATGTCATGTTAAAAGTGGAATAAATGAAGTTGCTAAGATTTCCAATAATCCTGTTTTTTCATAGTTAAAATGTGCTTCAACAGAAAGCACACAAATGTTTGCCTCATTAACTTCAGGTATCTACTAATACATATATAGATATGGACAGATAACACAAAAATACTGGAGATATTGCCAGGTTTATGTGAATTCCTGTGTGCCACAGAAACAGCTGTTAACAGTTCAACATGTTTCCAGAGTGCTGGCAGTCCAGCAATATTACACTTCACATATCACCCTCTCCATGATCTACAGCTCAATATTTACCTGGTCAAAACAGATTGCAATGGTTATGGGGTGATCAATGCAACAGCAAAGTTCATAGTCATAAAAAAGCATCCACTATGATGAGGTTAAAACAAACAAGGTTCACTTCTTGGCTATACATTTTGGGACTCCTCATTAACACAACAACATTTACTAGTACTAGTACCTTGTTACTTAATTTTGCATCTCAATCATTTCAGAGATATATGCAAAGATTACTGTCATTTTCATGCATCGGCTAATATATATATATATATATATATATATATATATATATATATATATATATATATATATATATGCTGCTGATCAATGACGAAAGGTTTAAATACACAGGGTAATTTGATACCAATATCTGCCGCAAAATCCTCATAATAAAAAATTAACACAATTTAAGTAACATGACATTTTGTATTCTATAATATAGGCTTCCAGACACCATTAATGTAGACATTCATAGCAATTGTCATTTAATTTTTTAATCAGTGTGGCAGCACCTTAAAGGGATAATAACTCTTCGTTTCGGCCAAAAAATGAATTTTCCTGGAGTAAACAACAATTTTCCCATACTTATCAATGGTTAATGAATCCATTTTTACATTCAAAGTCAGTCCCTGGTTTTTTTCTAAAAAGTTTGGTCTTTTGTTAAAATCTCTTAAGAGATTTTAACAGAGTATAGCCATCAATGGAGGTCACGTGGTCTAAAGACCAGCTCAGATATCAGAATAAAAGCTATAACTGCCATTTTTGTGGTAAAACAGAATATATTATATTTCTAAGAGTTATTCACAATTTTTTTTACTGTGAAATATAGATCTCATACGAAGTGTTATTATCCCNTAATAATTGAATCAAATATGGAGCCTGTGACCTTTGGCATGATTGAAATATAACCTAATTTAGATGTTACCTAACCTCCGTAACGAAAAAAATACTGTACCATGTTTACACGTTCATATTTCTTTAAATACAGTAATGGTGTGGGTTAAAATTCTTCTACTACTCTCTGAATACCTCTTCATCAAAATAATATAAAAAGTTTTCCAGTTTTGCAAAGTTCATATCACTGCATTTCTTGTTTTGGAATTGTACCCCTTTTCGTGGAATGGCCGTATATATATATGCTGCTGATCAATGACGAAAGGTTTAAATACACAGGGTAATTTGATACCAATATCTGCCGCAAAATCCTCATAATAAAAAATTAACACAATTTAAGTAACATGACATTTTGTATTCTATAATATAGGCTTCCAGACACCATTAATGTAGACATTCATAGCAATTGTCATTTAATTTTTTAATCAGTGTGGCAGCCCTTTAACTACATGCAAATCTAATCTACGGCCCTTATTGAGTGTGTAAATGTATTCCTAACTGTGTCAAAATATTAGGCAACAACTTACCCAAAAGATAGTGTTAAACACTATCAACATAAACTTTGCACACTTGGCTCCACAACCTACAGCCATTTTTACCAGTTGAATGCAGCACTTATTTCTTCTTCACCTGAAATGAGAATCAATATGACATTGTCAAATGTTACAAATTTCCCAGCAGCACTTTATCACATACATATTGATGACGATAGAGAATCATAAATGAATTGCAGTCAGCTGCATTAATACGACTTAAATTAACACAACAGCAATGCTGACTTTGTGGCAAAGCCCATTCCCACAGACACCATCGGTCTTCCTGGATCGGCCCAACTCTGCAGGGATTCTCATTGAGTGCAATCAGCTTAAATGAACGACACGCCTCCACTTGTTTCCAATGTATTCTTATAATCATCAAACCTTCTCCATTCTACTCAACATCAGGCAGAGGGGTTAATCTGTTAAACTGACTGCATTCAGCAAGTCATTACCAAGTGTCTATGGGAATGGGGCCTAAGCATCCATCATGGGCAAATAACTGCATACAATCTTTCAGCTTGCTGGCCATTCAAACCACCACTTTCCTATAAACTAGTAATTCGAATCTGGATTCACTGGTCTGAATAAAAATTTCAATAAGCCTGGTTATTTCCCCCTATTGCAGTAATATTAGATTTAGGCAAATTTTTATATTTATGTTGGGCAACTAAATTCACACATTCTAAAAACTTTACTGGTCCAAAAAAAATTTTATTGCCCATGGGCGTAGGACCAGTGGCTAATGCCGCAGACTGAAGAATTACGAGGTAAAAGATTAGAAACATTTCAAATACAAAAACAAAAATATATATCACCAGATTATAGATATATGAGCTGTTCATTCAATCTAATTTTTTATCAGTTATCATATGGTGCTGTCTGACAGGGCTCCCAATAACTCCCCAATATAAAACCTACAAGATATATGGTTTTAATCATTAAAGACTTATTAAAAGACAGCTAAATTCCTAAGTAAGCACCATGTCATGTTTAAATTGACTGTTCAGTTGTTGTAACAAAAGCCACACCTGAAACGGAACTCCAACACATGGGTGTGGCAGAAGACAGTTTCATCATTGTATGACCTGCTACAAGTCAACAGGATAACTTACCTACTAGTAATTTATATATAAACATACCTAGTACAATTTGACAAAAATTCCAAAAAAATTTCATCATCAACTTCACAAATAAATCTTCATTCTTTACACCTACTTAATTATATGGTTATGGCCTTCCTTTCTAAAATCAAATAAGCTTTGCCAAAAGGCAAACAAGCTTTGACTGCGTGTTGTAGAATGTTTACGACCTCACCAAACTGGATAAACATGGATATATATATACACACACATACACACACACACACACACACTGATCAGACTCATTACTAGTACATAAAGATCACTGAAATAGACTTCTTCAGCAAAAATAGTTGCTTTACTGGCATGTATTAAATGCTGAACCTGCATGTATATGCACCTCAAACCAGCATATATATATGACACCTGAAGACATATTTATCATATAGATTTATATGAACATCAAACAATAAATAAATCATGGCAGTTTAGTGTCAATCAAAAGCTCTCATCTGGAATGAAATTCTGCCTACACATACCTTTTATAATCAAAATATGAACACTATTATGATCCTTAGGAAAAGCCAATATAGTTGTATATGGCACAGTACAAACTTTCACAGTGAAGACAAACATCAGGTTTCACATCACTGCACATGGAGCTGCTATTCAACTGCACATGATAAAGGGCACTGGTACAAAAATGAATATCAATATGAGATAGCTGTGTTAAATGAAGGGAATGATCAACTGCACTATTGCAGGTTAGTCGAAGTCATTGCACTGTGCAAATAATAAATGAAATAGCCTTGACTTTAATTGATCACCTCAAGATATCAATCCAAAATACTAGGACATAGTTCAAAGAAACATCAATTGTTGTTGCACTATCAAATACATATATCCACATAACCAAGTTAAATGGATGCTACACATACTAGTATTATTTGCTACTCTGGTACTTGTCTCACTTTGGTAATGTTTTCTTAAAACACTTCAAAACAGAAGCAACCCTGGCTCTAGGAACAACCCTTCAGACAACACATATATCTTTGCTTTCTGTGAAACCAAGCAGCATTTGTTATATTTATGCAGTATATATACATTCATATACATGGACTTACTATTTGATCCTAAAGAAAATGCAATGACAAGGAATTTCTAAGCACTATTCAAGTGTTAAACATTTACCCAAACTTGGCAGCACTCAAAAGCACTTGAAATTAAGATAAACACCGAATCCTAATCCTTATCTAATCAATGTTGACAATAATATCAAAATGTACAAGCTCACATAAATTCAATTATCACCAACATTCTACAATCATTAACATTCTTTGAAAGCATAAATGTTGATCTCGTCAACAAGTTACTTGGAAGATCTTAAAACACAACCTTGCTGATGTTAAAATGTTAAAACAATGAAGTTATATCATCATTATTTTCCCAGGATATTGTCCCTAGCACTACTTAGTTGCATATTTCATATACTCACTCTTTATTCACAATGTGCTAGAAGAGGAAAGGTATAGATGCCTTAGTCCATTATTTAAAATTTGAAAATAAATAATAAGGAATGTGGATAAATATATATATCACTTAATTGACAAATATATGCATGGCTGTTATAATATCAAAAATTTATTGCACTTAATCACATCTTATTTATTTATTATTGTTGTTATTATCATTATTTCCAATTTATGGGAAATATTGAAAGGACCCAAGGCAAACTACGATAAAAGGCCCGGCTAGTTTGTAAGAATAAAGAATGAACCACACCCAGCGTCCGCTCCGGTGGAGGCCAAATTCAATTCGACGACTTACGTTATTCAAATAAAAAGGTCTTTCGAAAATGAATATGTTGGCAGCAATTAACAGTAGTAATCCTCATTAATGCCACATCAAAGAGACAAGAAACTATATTAAATTCATCCCTGAAACAATATCATAACCATAAGAACTCACTGGTTTTTAAGCTGCTCTTCCCGACAACTGGCGCTCGGAAGATTATATCAAGCAGGACAAATCTTAAACTGAAGAAGTATCTAATACATTTGCTTAAGGCTATATCGTATCTTGTTTAAATCATAGGACAATCAGTTTATCGTTTAAATTTCAACAATTTTCCAGTTAAAATATACGACTTATCCAACAAACTCACCACTGTGTAATAACCTGTTGATGCTTTCTTCTTCCAGGGCGGGTCACGGTCTCGTTTTCACACCTAAAATCATGTGACGCCGTACAAACGTATGTAATGGAAGGCGTGGCACTCGTGGGAGTACCAAGACAGAGTCATCACCGCTTTCTTTACTAATTTAATCCCTCCGAAAATATGTTGACAGTTCAATCTAACTCAATACTTCCCTTTCTTCACCGATGAGAAACCGCCCTATAACTCATGAAAATTGTTGTGCGTGCGGCGTTTGCCCGGGGTGCAGAGAAGGTCCGGGGGGGAGGGGGGAGCTCATAAAGATCAAACACACAACAGGTAAAAGTTGCTTGAGCATGTTAAGCGTTGTTTTTGTTGGATAAACGTCTAGATGTAAGTTACTTAGGCTGGCTCGGAATGTGGACTTTGCACAAGGAAACAACGTTACTAGAATATCATATCTACGTGACGTCAAAAGTCACGGCGTGCTTCGTTGTCAATGCATTGACGTAATAATTTTGTCAAAGTTCAAAGGCGTTAGCAACAGACAGAAAAGAGAACGATGGAGATAGTAAAATGAATTTTGCTTTAACTTTTCTTTTATTTTTAAGCGTTGCACCAAAAAGAGGTAATATTAATTTTTTTTTCGTGTTAAAATCGAATTCAAATACTCATTACTCGCCTGTTTGATATAATTCATATTTTGACGTAGGTCTTAATTCAGGCTAGATTTCTCAGCTGCAGATTTCTTTGTCTATTCACATAGGCCCTACCTAACGGTCATAATGTGTAAAAATAGTTTCTTTTATCTCATAGTATGACAGCCGGAATGACAAGCCGTTGCGCTTAAACTTTGCTATCTGCCATGTAAAAGCATCAAATATTAACTAGATTGATATTAAAAACAAAACACCAATTCTAGTGCCAGTGTCTGGGTACAAACTCACCATACGGGTATCTGATGAGGAAAGAAAGGAAGAATGGGTGTACGAAAATAACTTTCCCTACTTTGAAACGCCTAATCATGGACGCAACATGCATACAAGCACTCTGAAATCAGGTAAATATTAAAGCAATAATAACTCTTCGTTTCGGCCAAAAAATGAATTTTCCTGGAGTAAACAACAATTTTCCCATACTTACCAATGGTTAATGAATCCATTTTTACATTCAAAGTTAGTCCCTGGTATTTTTCTTAAAAGTTTGGTTTTTTGTTTAAATCTCTTAAGAGATTTTAACAGAGTATAGACATCAATGGAGGTCACGTGGTCTAAAGACAAGTTCAAATATCAGAATAAAAGCTATAACTGCTGTTTGTGTGGTAAAACAGAATATATTATATTTCTATGAGTTATTCACAAGGTTTTTATTATGAAATATAGATCTCATACGAAGAGTTATTATCCCTTTAAAGGAAATGTCAAAATAATGCACACCAGAAAAGAACTTGTCATATATTCATCTAGCATCCCACTCATCATAAGATCTTACGTGGCTTACACAAATCGTCTTAGGGGCCTACTGCATATAGTTATGGTCGTCACAATTTTACACGCAGATCTAGATCTAAAATTTCTAAGGCATCAGCCGGATGATTAGGCCTTTCAGACAAAAAAAAAAAGCATGTCATTAAGAAGAAATGTGAAATATTTTAACGATTTTTTTTCATTTCTTCTTTTTAAAAATATGGTTCAGGACTTTTATTTGGTGGTCATCCGTCCCATTTTATTGCAAAAAGAGACGTAATGTCCCACAAAGGTAGGTGACAAATAACATAGACTAACGATCTAACGATATTATATACATTCTGCAATACAGTCCTTTCATTTTTCTTTAGTCTTCCTTTATCTATCTTATACTTTGCCTTAACCATTTTCTCATCACCATTACACTCAAACAAAATAGATCGCGCTTTTAAGTTAAAATCTGTTATACGAATGCCCAATTCTTTACCTTTTATTAAACGCACTATAAGTATATTTTAGCGCCTCTTATTTATTTCAGAAGATAATGGATATTGCTTAGATAGAATCTCTATATCGAAGGAATTGCACAGCAGCCCTTTACAAAAAGCTATCATAGTGGAGTTGGGAATGGAAGCAAAAATGCTTTGTCACTTTTGGTAAGAGGGTGGGTGGGCGGGCGGACAGAGCTTATGCCAAAGAAATATTTCTAGATATACTTCATGGGAGTAATAATGCAAATTGACAAACACAAAGTTACATATCAAAATATATTTGGTCATTAAAGTTTTGTTTAATATAAGGACATTTCTACAACATAAACGATACGAAGACCAGGTTTGGAAAATAAGCAAATAAAAAAATATAGTTACACTGGTCTAAATTGTAATGAATGATAAATAAATGAATGAATGATATTTCGCCTTAAACGAAAAATATTTTGGGGGAATATTTTAAACACTTTTCGAGATATGTTTCTTTCTCCAGTGACGAGTCGACTCAGAGAGCGGAGTCTCCTAGAGTCTGGCACCGCGTCGTTAGCGCAGAACCTTGGGATATGAAGAGCCGCAGCCTGAAGACAGAAGAAGTGGAGATAGACGCGCACGACGATGAAACTGCGAATCGCGTTGTGGTAACACCAGAGCATAGCTTGATCATTAAAAGAATGGAAAGAGGTAGATGCCCACGAACATGCGTGGCTTTTTCGGTACCACCTTTCCTGCATCTGTCAATTAATAAATGTGAAATTTTCAGAATTCTTGAAAAGCAATGTATCTATTCTTAGGGTCATTGAAACTTTTTAAAGATTCAGTGACCCTGAGGATAGATAATACTTTTAAAAAAAGTTATGCATAGACTCTCTGTGTAATAGCACTTTTTCTCTCTTTCTTATCATTATTCCTTTATTAATTATATTTTAAATGAAGATTTTAAACTTCTTAAATTCTGTTTCACAGCTGATGCAGGGACGTATTATTGCGAGACTTTCACTGAGAAATTCAATGATGACATTCAAATGTCACCTGATGACAATGGCGAGTCTCTGCACATCAAAGGTTATAAAGTGAAAGCCGTCTATCATTTGGATTGTAAGTGAATGATTCAACCATACACGTTTTAGAATCAGATAATATTCGATCGCGTGTTTTTTTATTTCGAAACAGGGAGATGTTGTATAAAGAGGGGGCTATGTTTTATTTTTCTATTTCATATATGGCATGTTGATAAAATCTCTCAAGTTTTAAATCATTTTTCATTGAAACTTATCACAATCTCAGCAAAGAGGTGGAAAAGGGTGATTTTTTGCGACAGTACATATTGAAGTTGATTGATCAGCATTAATTGATTTAAAATTTGCCATGTAGAAGAAAGATATGGTTAAAACATCGAAATTCGAGGCAACGTACTGAGAAACGAACAACCTTAAGGAAGTGACATGTAAATCGTGTTCGGGTTTATTTTTAATTAATTGATTAATGAATAAGTGAATAAATAGGGTGAATGACAGGACACTCGGGGGACTAAAGAGGCGAACTATTAGCATGAAATATCTCACTCAAATTATATTTTAGTTGTGGATTTTGATATTTTCCCTTTATGCCTAACGCCGTCATCTCATTTTCCACTTGCAAACAAGTCTAGATAAATGAAAAAAGGTAAAAATTGACTGGAACTTTTTTCATCTCGAAGGGGTGAATGGTCAATCTCGCAATTTTTGAACCTCCGCGAGTGATCTTGAATTTCAATGTATTTCATACAGCAAATGCAGATAAAAGGTATCAAACAGTATATAATTCTAACAATCGCAGTCTATCACAATGTTATTTAAAGTTATTTTAAAAAGCTGCAGGCCAAGATCAGAACAACTTTAAGCCAGCCCAAATGAACGCCAAGCCTTGCATCTTAAACTTCGAGTAAAGACAAATAATTTTTTGTTGCAGATTTCGCTGAAAACAAAAACAACATACAAATAGGTAAGAATCATAATTAAATAAATATTACACGTACATTGTAGAATCTAGGTGAAGAGCGTGAATAAAATCTCCAGATTATAATAATAGAATGTTATTTTCTGTTTCCTCGAGTCTGGAATAGCATTTACGTCATGATCACCCTAATATGATATCGCCGATCGTTTTGAATTTCAGTGTCTCGAGAGAAGGACGTCTTTTCACTTCCTAATATACCAATTGTTAACAGTAAGTCATTTATCATTATAGCTGATATATTTCCACATTTGTAAATTTTGTATTATCAATAGATTGTGTGTAGATTACATTGCGTTCTTATGAACGTTGCAAGGGCGATCCACCATATTTCCCTAATCAGGCAATTCAATTCCGACACCTCTTAATAATTATAAAGAATGGGGAAAATTGATCGGGGGACTTAAATAAGTACCAAATTAGAGCACCTTTTTTTGTAAATGTACGGGAGGGGGAGCAAAAATAAAAACCGCTGCACTTGAGCTGTAAGTGACATTAAGATAACCCTGGTTTTGTGGAAGAAAAAAAAGAAAAAAAAAGAAAAAAAAAAAAAGAAATGTCAGTCTCAATGGTTTGACGTTGGTTTTCTCCTCCGTTATTTTGAATCTTGCGGATATCCTGGGGTAATGATTAGACTATCTGAAATGGATTGCTATAATTTTTTTACAATTTCAGTAACAGGAAACTATGTTACATTCACATCTTGGGCAAAATGGTCTGAGTGCAGTACATGTGGCAGACACGGAGAAAGAAAGAGAATAGGTGAAGAATAAGAGTCCATTTCTCTCTTTTTTACGAATTATGATTAATTATAAATACTAAAAATACTTAGTCAAACGCTTTGTCGAATGCAACTGTTTGATACTCCACCCAGCAAAATAAACAAATTAAAGTAAGATAATAAGTCCTTTAATTGAATTATTGAGGTTAGGTCAGGTGTGAATTAGTAAAATGCATCTTTGAAATTTAGGAGTTTGAACTCTCATTTGTGACATCTCCTCTTACCCGTTTCGTTACCGGTGTTCGACCAAAGCGCTATACTATATATTCCATCGGAATAACTTTTCCCAGTTATTTACAATGTAATGGCCTTTGTGTTGCAGGTATTTGCAAAGTTAAGATAAGTGTACCGGAAAAATCAGTATTTCCCAAGTTTCTTGGACATATTCTGCGTTTGTACTCCGACGGGGCACCATGCCACTCATCGATGTTTTCCGAATTACCGGATATCTTTGACAGACAGGATGAAATGGAGTGGGGGAGATGTACGCTGCCCTGCAGAAAAAGTAATTTTCAAAGTAGTTTTGCAACACATTTTAATTTAAAATTTTCAACTGACGAAAATCATCAGAAACGCTCACTGTTGGCATTTTTTCATGGTTAAACAGACATCAATTGAGACGAAAGTAAAAAAAAAAAAAAAAAAAATATATATATATATATATATATATATATATATATATATATATATATATATATATATGGTAAATTATGGATACATGATTGATGTAAGAGGAAAATGATTGACCAAAAGACTGTGTTTTTTAACCTTTAATACAGGTGTTGCCAAGAGACAAACACATGAAATAAAACATAAAAGATCATTTTATGGAGATAACTTCAAATATAAGGAGAGAGAGCAGAAAGAAAGTGGTGAAGAGACTGAAGTTAATGTCAAAGAAGTAAAAACGTCTCACTCCAGTAAGTAGACTTTTTGCTCTTTGTACCATGTACTTTTGAGAAGTTTCAATAATCAAATGTATGTAATAATATATAAAATCAAGAAGGAAAGCTAAATTGGGATGTGTGTACATGTAAATGCATGTGTGTGTGAGAGAGAGAGAGAGAGAGAGAGAGAGAGAGAAACTCATACTCTTGGCTGATTTAATCAGTTCTCATTCCAGTTCAAGAAGAAAAAATCACCCAAGACATAGATACAGAGCTTTTGCTTGCATGCCCTGGGTGAGTATACTGGCACATTCTGGTGGAACCAAATTTTTCAACAAGAAATAAAAAATTCAAAAACATGTCACAAAGACAATACGATATTACATTTGATTGACCCTCTTCACTTAACTTCAGTGCTTCTATGTTGAACATGGTATGGTGGGTAAATGGCAGCCGCTATATCCCAGTGCTTGAGGTACAAAACAGGACAGAAGGGAGAGTAGAAATCACTGTTCTAAACCAGCTGGTTATTCATAAACTTAATGGATATGACACATTAAATCCATTCACTTGTTATGTTGAACAAAGAGAAAAAAAGAAATTTATTATAAAAGGTAAGGCATACAAAAATTCTTAATTGAATCAATATTGTGATTTCATTAGTCTTGTATGCTTTAATGTAAACTTGTCTACAAGAAAGAATCCATATAAAAAGCCAGGAAAAACGCTACCATGCATAAAAATGATATGCTTATCATTCTCCATGTGATAATAATTTTTAAATTGTTTATGACATTTTTTTTCTTCCAGTTAATTTCAAGAAACTCCATATAATTCGTAAGTATCCATATATCAGCTTTACATTCTTGATATAAATTACGCATTGTTCACATTTGTTAATAGATTTTAGCTCACAGCTACTGTTCCAATATTATCCATTATCTTTCAGGCATGAAGATAACCACCATTTCTTATCTATTATTTTTTGTTGTATATTTTGCAGATTTTGTAGAGAATCTCAAGCAAATAGGCATTACATTTTGCCTGAATTTCCTGCTATTTATCCTTGTCCTCATCATAAAACACAAGCAGAGGATGTCTCAGCCAACAAAATGAAGAAAAACCAGAACTTGAAAGATTTAAATATTGTGGAAAAACCAGTGACTGATTGCACTTTATATAATACTCGAGGGCTGTAGTCAGCAATTTCAAAGAGGGGGTTCTTTTTCAGAAAATGTGGACCTTTTGCCGTGAACCTTCATGTACCAAGGTCAAGTTTTAGTCAAAGCAGACCTTCTCCCAGCTAAAAAGGGTGGTTCTTTTGCCCCCTACCCCCCAAGTAAAACATGTAATAGTGGGTAAATAAAAGATATTCCAAATAAAAATATTACAGTATTTTTATCTGCCACAAAAATTTTGAGTTTCATGAATATTTCTTTGATTATGAAACCACTACAACAAATGATAATGCTAAACAGTTTATTGCCATTTACATTTGTGGGAGCTTTTTTTATGAAAAATAATAATCAAAATTATCTATTTCTTTGGAATTTAGTATTTATCATAACTAGAGCTATCACACATTGTTCCTGCATGCAAAATAGGAACAAATGATCATTATCAAATCAATTCACTGTATCATATATGTAATATATTTGATAATTACACAAGCTACTACTACATTTATCTGGTTTATCTCCGAGTCAATATATTTTGGTGAGAGTGTAAAACTATTAACCTTGTAAACCAACATTTTATAAAACTTTAATGAAAGAGGATAATGGCAAAGGGACCTAAATACACAAACGCCTTGGTGGGTGTGTAACTAAAATACATAAATGGACTCTCCTTTGCCTTTCATGTTGCTACTGTAACAATAATCCTTTTGTGTGTCATATATGAGATGTTTTTCAAGCATATCTGCATTACTGCATTATCGCTGTTGAAGACATATATGCACCAGTATAAAATTTAAAGTCAGAGAAGTGAAGAATATCCAAAGGACAGGTGGATTATATAATACAATTTATCTGACTGCTAAAATATTATACTTTCTATCCAACTACTACACAACAAATAACATACATAAATGTGCAAACCATAAAGTAATTTTAAAGCATGGAGAAGCAGACTGTTAGCAATACTTTGTAGATACACTTTATACAAATTCTTCACTGAACATTTGCTGGCGAAACAATAGTGCAGGCTTTAACTTTGAAAAACCTGACAGACATTTTCCAACTGTGTCCCCTAATGTAGGGTTACCCAGAAAAATCAATAATTCTTTCATATTGTAATGCACTGGTTCAAGACTTGGAACTAACTACCAGGTTCTTTTTCATGAGAAAGAAATGCATTGTGATTAACAATAGCACGTAGCATGAGATCAACTAACTTGTGTTTGCGGCTTTCTGATTCTTTGTGTCACTATGGCATAAATAACCAAATGAGGTCAGTATGATGTAGAATACAGTGAGCACATGCTCCTACTTCATAAGCTTTAGACATAACTCCCCCTCCCCCTCCTTCGCTGTCAAAAAATGAACAAACTGAGATAAAACCAAGCAAATGTTGTCTGTGCCCTAAATATTACACTCAAATTGTCCTTGCCCACTTTTTTAGAACTGCTGAGAAAAGCAAGGTATATTAATTCATCCTCAGCATCAGTAGAATGCTGTTTTTACAGTAACAATGCTTCATTATAATGACTTGATAACAGGAATGTCACACTACTTGATTTCATTTGATCTGAACAGAGAAAATTATAACAACATTCATCCAATGACAAATAATTATCCTTACTCTCAAGCTACAACATAAGGCCAGAGACCCAGAACTTCACACAAGACCTGTTATTTTACTTCAAATCTAGGACTTGAAGGATTAACAAACTGACAACTCCCAAAAAGATATTTTTCAGCAATGAAAGCACCAGAGTGCCTCAGTGCCACTGATATAATTTATGTAAATTATGTGAGTGAGTAAAATACTTTCAATTACAATAGTGGTCCTGGCATGTCTCAGACAGCAAAATATCCAAATAATTGTAGAGGTTTTAAATACCTCAAAAGACTTGACATATATTAAAAAAACATATGCAACAATGAACTTATGAGATAATCAACTTCACAGAAACCACAATTCTGGGCTCCTCACAAACTTATCTCAGAACTTAAACGCACTCAAAAGCTTTGTCTCCAGAAAGCAATGCAACTTAACTGTTATATGTAATAAGTGACATCAAACTGAAGCTGCTAGATAGCCATTATTATAACCATTAGTTCATTTTACAAAGCCAGAGATGCTGAAAATGACAAATGGATTTCTTGATGAAGCATTCAAATATGAGTGAATTATGATGTAAATTGCATCACTGATATGTTTTAATTGCAAAATTTATGCATCATCAAAATATCATTATCATTATGTTGAATAGTCAAGAAAACAACCCTTTACATATATATCAAACAAATAGCCAACACATCACCCAATTATCAATTTTCTTAAGTGGCTATTGGACTGTGGTTGTCAGCCCTTTAGCTCTGCTATTTTTTCATGCAGCTCGTCGGCATCCTCTGCAGTTTTCACTCTGATCAGCATCATTGTGGGTTTACTGTCAGTGACCTTGGGGTCAATGGGTGGATTAGGAATACACATCATTGTCACATTGTTTTTACCTTGCCGTCTCACTGGCATGGACGATGTCAGCATGATGTTCAACAGGATGTTACCTGGAAGTGTAGAGAGTCAAGTATAAGAAATCTTGCTTTTAGATCTGGGATAAAAATAACACCATTCCAAAAAAGGCATGGATCTAATTTTTATGAACATTTTCAGTATATAAGAGGCCACTTCCTGATAAGGCAAGGTCTGATAAATAGAACTGAAATATATGATGTGATTTATTATTATTATTATATAACTGGTATAGACTTCAATATTATATCTGGGGATTTGCTGTGATAAAACTACATCTACTTCCCTGACATCTTCAAAAACATTATCTACCTCCCTGCCATCATCAAAAAAAAAAAACATGGTCTACCTTTGACGCCTTCCACCATTGTTACCAGCCAAACACGCCTGATGACTTAACATTGACAAAAGTCAAGCCGTCACCATCAATAAAATTTGAAAATTTGTTTTCCATTTGCTTCAGATATATTTGTGGAATAATTACACCATATTAAATTATATGATAAAACAGGAAACTGCTATATGTAACATCCTATGTGTGTCTGGTCCAAGCGAAATTGCTTTGCAATAATACAACAATAATTAAAACGGTTATAAAGCAGATAGTACTCACCTAGACTGGTATCCGCTCTCACGATAAGCTGTGTTTTGCCATCAGAAGACTTGAGATGCAGATTACCCACTCCCTTTTCAACCCAAGTGCTGTCTTTTTGGTAAAACAACTTGCACCTGAAGTATACAAGAACAGGTTGAAAATATGTCTGTATCAGAAAAATCCGTTTTCCTTTTCTGTTTCACAGTCTTGTTATTGTACACAAGCATCTTAAGTAAAGTTTGTACTTAAATGCCCTTGAATAAGATCAATTCTGAATAACTCCAACTCTATGCCCACTCTTTTCTGCATACTTCACTTCTCCTCTACATATTTCATATTTATTACTTTTATTTTATCCCATCTCTTTTCCTCATCCTCATATTTTCTATCAGTACTGACATGACAACATCAATGAATATGCCACACACCTTTTTGTATACAATGCTCCTTCCTCTTCTACTTGCTTCACTTCTGCTTTAGGTGGAACATACTCCTCTTCTTCACCATCTCCCCCTGTCTCTCCCCCAGAACCATCTAAACAAAAGATATTTTCAGTTTTAGCCACTGAGACATATTTTCATGTATGTGCCATCATTTTTTTTAAACAAAAGAAATGCCTTTTATTTTCCTAAACCACATAGCTCTGTCCGTAAAATTTGAGGTACATCAACAAATCATTCATAACTGAAACTACTTCTTTCTCATTCGAAATCACTTTCAGTGATTTTAGAAAATGCTGATGAATCATAACATAACTTCAGTTAAAAAATTCTACACAAAAGATGAAATAAACCACCGCTTAACTTATTGTGTTGTAAGTTATGATAACTATACCTTGGTGCAGAACAATAAAACAAACCTTTTCCAGTGGACTCTGTGGGTTTATTGACAGCAAATGAGAAGGGCTGTAACCCTGATCCAAATACTGAGGTAGTACTACTTCCAAATATTGAGCCACCTGTTTTTGTAGCTTTTGCATCACTCTCTACTCCAAAGCTGAATGCTGGTTTGGGCTGTGAATCCTTGGTAGCATCAGGTGGGGACACACCAAAAGTAAATCCACCAAAAGTGGGCTTCTTTTCCTCTTCAAAGAGAATAATTTAGCATGCATCAAATATGTATTTGTAAGGTATTCATACAGATAACTATTTATGTAATTCATTTAGATGTCAAATAAACAATTGTATGTTATCAGTGGTTGTATTATCTGATTAATGGTTCAATGCATTGCCACCTATATATTTAAGCAGTTACACTAACATTGAGTAGTGAATCTCTAACACACTCAATAGTGTAAGTACATGATGTCAGCAGTGATCATATGACTTTCCCAGTTTATGGCTTGGCCGAGTTCCAATGGTAGATTGGATAAGAATATTTCGTTTAAGTCAGATGTGCAGGGGCATACGTGTAGTACTCAATATCGTTTCACTAAATGAATTAAAGCTGCTGTGCTAGTTGTTTGTCTTAAAAGACAAACCTAAAAACCAAATACTTCACTTATGCATACATGGGTATGTGAAATGAAAGTCATTTACAACAAATAGGCAAATGAACCTTTCGCAAGATATTTGAATTTGAGTCGTGAGTCATTTTTACATAAAAAGGGACTAAAAAAATTACTTTTCCCATTCATTTTCACCTACCTTTCTCTTCAGTTTGTGGTACTACAGTAACAGTTGATTTTTCTTCCTTTTTGTCCTGCAGTGAAAGTTTAGCATCTTCTTCACTAGCTTCTTCTTTAGCTTCATCCGGGTATTTCTTCTCAACTTCAGCTAAATGTTTCTCATAATCTTTGAATATTGGAGTCAGGATGCAGTATGGGTTCTTTTCCACGTGCTGCTGGACCCAGCGAGCAAGACTTTCATTAAGATTCTTTAAAAGTTTAAGATACTCTCGACGAGGCAACTTGGCTTTTGATTTGCTGGCATCTCCACCATTTGAGTCATTAGATTTCTCTGCAGATACAGAAATCTTATCAGGATTTTCACTCGACTTAGTGCTTTTAGCTCCATTTGATAAACCAGTCAGTGGTTTACTGCCAAAACTGAAAGCTGGTGCCTCAGGACCCGTACTTGAAGCAAGCCCAGCAAAACCAGTGAACCCCTTAAATGCAGAAGTGCCTCCATTCTGAAAACAACAAAAATAATGAAAATAATTAATAATAAATAAAAATCTTTTTGAAATTAGGTTATACTTTGTAGAAAAATCGGATTTGTAAGTATTTAAAAAACAAGACAACTCGATAAACTAGCTTTTGTGGATAAGTAGAAATGTGCATCTATAGGCTGAGTATATCTTGAGTATGTACCACAAGTAATCTGACAGGGCACACTATGGAACATCTTCAGCCCCCAAAGCTTTGAATAATAAGGTTTCAGATGCTAAACCTTGCTAGGTGTATCATATGTCTCAAATAGACAGCTACATTAATCCAGTATGAATGTTCTAAACAATTGTAGGAGGCATTTTCTTTTTAAGTGTAAACTTTTCCTTACAGAATCAGTGCTTCCTCCAATACCTCTCCTCTTGGCTTTCTTTATCTGTCTCTGTTCAAGGACAGTGGTTGAAGCTTGTTTAAATACACCAGCCTAGGAAAAACATTATACTAAAGTAAAAGTACTATTACAATGTCTGTGATAGATATAAAAAATAACTTAAGTCTTAACCAAATATTTTTCACTTTAAGTTGAAGTTTGCTTTAAGCAAGTACTTTAGAAGCAGAAAGCCAAAACATTTGCAGCAAAGCAATTGAGTGAATGGATTTTTTAACCATATCAACAGGACCCACAAAAAATTATCAATTTTCTTTTGATCCCTTCTTTATCCAAAACTACATTATTCTTAGCACTGGCTTAAAAGTCAACATGACAGTATAAGTATGTTATGAACTAATGTGTCACAATACAATTTTAATGCAAATGTATACATGTACCTCTTCAGCCTCCTCCTCTTCATCCCAGTTACGATCAGTTAGCTGGTTAGCAGCAATTCTTTTTGACATTTTCTTTTCAGATTCTGCAGTAAAGAAGATTTTTCATAAGAAGAAGAAATGGTTTGTACTTTTACCTCTATCAATTAGATATTAATTTCACACTCCAAGAACAAGATGCAAAGAATGTCTTTTAAAATAATTTTAGTACTAGTAAGTTTTTTTTTCTAAAAATTTTTGTAATGATGAATGTAGAATTGAATTGGGTTTTGTAAGAATCCTTCCGGATGACCCTGTGGTTGGAGTGTCCGCCTCTGGAGCGGGAGGACATAGGTTTGACCCTGTCCGGGGAAACACCAGTCCTTTATAAACGATACCTGCTGTCTCCCTACTTGGCACTCAGCACTAAGGGGTTGAAGCAGGGGTCTGGTCTGGCAGTGGAGAAGTGGTATGTTTGCTATCTTTGAGAGCCCAATATGGTAGCAGGGCTGTATTCTCCCCAGGGAGGCAAGAGCGACAACTTATAACATGCAACAGGGCAAAAATGACCAGGCTTCCTTTGAATTGTGAATTAAATAAATATAACTTCATTCCTCGTATAAAATCCACAGAAATCTTGTTCCAGAATTTAATAAAAAGATATCCGATGCTATCAAACAGATTGTCATGTGTCTCACCAGCGTAGATCTAACTGGACAGCTACCAGGCTATACAACACAAAATGGTTTCACACATGAAGTGAAAGTGGCAGCAAGACAACAAGTGAAAGACCAGTTCCAAGGATAAAACCAACTGAACTGAAAAGTGTGATGAAACATCAAAGCCTCTGGGACATATGGCACAAGTTGAATTATGATAAGATTATTTACTTGGATGGAATCAAGGAGCAAGCTGGTGGCAAGGCAACAGACTATCTCTAACCTCATGCAATCTTTCAAATCAGTTTTTAAACCCCAGATGAGTGCAGTGACTTCAACATTCTGAACAAGATTACAAACACAATGTCAGATCGCCATGTAATTTAGCCCTTGATGATATGTTGGAAAGGGAGAAGGAGCAAAGTTAAATCGCTTTAGGTGCACTATGCATCCCCTCTACACAATGGCCAAGGAAGGAAGCAGAGAGGGTTGTTATGGAGCCTGAAACTAGGAATGTAACACCTACCAAAACATCAAGACCTATGCCATTCTGCCACCACAGTGAGAGCAGTACCCAGGCACTAGTTCAAGCAACCGACAAACTGTTTCACTTACAGCATTCCTGTAAGAAGGACATTACACACTTTCTCAAGGGAAAAGGACTGATACAAAAGGATTCTGTTGTATACTACAGATTTGTTGGTAACAGGTTTCATATTTACATGCTGAGCTGTGGTATTTGTATCACTTTGCATCCCACATTACAGATTTCTTCAAGCAGTACTATCCACCAAAAAACAATGTACACCATTCTGCTGTCAATGCATTACAGGTTCCTGCACTGCAGATGACCATGTGTGCAACAGGGCTATTCAGCAAGGTGGTCACACGTTTCTGGATGCGTGTACTTGGAATTGTTACTTATATATTGGATATGAATTCATTGTATAGAGGTATAAAGAAGCCATTGACAAGCTGAAACTATGAAAAGGCAGCTGTCAGATAAGTTACCTCGTGGTATATTTTGGGAGCCTTCAAGTAACCTGTTGAAGGAATCAAAGTCTTGTGAAGCCACCAATATCAGTGCTGAGAGAACATTTGCTTCAGCAGACCAGATAATCCATTGTGCATGGAATGCCAAAATATCCCATGTGGAAGGGAAAACCATGTACCACAAAACCAAACTGTCAAATACTTGGCTCAACTTAGTGAAAAGGAAAAGCTGCACTGATTAAGTTGTGCATGCAGCAAGTGCTTGATGTCCATGTAGATAACAAGGAAAACAGGGAGGCTTTCCCCATGAGGACAGAAGACCTACTGAAGGAGAATAGAAAGCAGCTGCTTCCCAAAGAGGAAAAAGATAAAGACAAATATGAAGACCTTTGGACATGCGAAGATGACATGAGCTCCAACCTAAAGAAACTTAAAAGAACAAAATCCTTGGGTACAATCAAAGCTCAGATATATATTAGGACCAAAATTCTTGTCATGCAGTGTCTGTATATATAAAAAAATTTTCACTTTGGCTATCATTCATTGTAACTATCAATTATTAAAAATGGCAAATATAAAATGCATTTTAGTGAGACTTGACTGAAGATTGTCAATCTGCCTTACTTCAAGTAGATACTAATATTTATAAATCAAGATCATGGTAAGATTTTGACAACCTTTGACAAAAAATAGCAGAGATGGTGTAACGTAAAATGTAATGGCCTTTCATCCAAAATGACTTATGTTTATTACCAGGTCAGATATGTGCCATGAGGCATAATGTTCTCGTTGATTCTACAAGTACAAGTTCATAGAACAATTCAACTGGTATTTAGAAGCCATTGATGCCAGCGAAGCTACAGACGCTTGAAAAATTGGATTGCTATTAACAGTGGCTGGGGGTGAGGCCCAGGACCTTTACCGCACTTTCACTTATGACGAAGAGGGAGACGAAAAGATTTTTGAGAAGGTAGTGGAGAATTTTAAGAGGTTCTGTGAACCGAGGAAGAATGAAATATATGAACGATACTGTTTCAGAACATGTGATCAGCAAGTCGGTGAAACTTTTGAGCACTACGTAACGGATCTCAAAAACAAAGCAGATACGTGTAACTTTGGCATTTTAAAAGAAGAAATGATCAGAGACCAGATCGTTGTTGGCATCAGAGACCTCAGACTAAAAGAAAAACTTCTCTGCACGGAAGATCTAACCCTCCAGAAAGCCGTACAGACGTGCATGGCCGCGGAAACCTGCCAGGAGCAAATGAAAACCCATGTAGCAGTGACAAGCCTCATAAAAGTAAATCTTCAACTAGAGACTGTTGCAGATGTGGGGGGGGACCACAATAAATACAAGTGTCCGGCATGGGGAAAGATGTGTAGAAAATGCAAAGGATGGAACCATTTTGCAAATAAATGTAGAACAGACAGTAAAGTACATGCTCTGAATGCTGTATCTGATGAAGAAGATGAAGAACTATTTGTTTCTACAGTCAGAACTGACAGATCAAAGTGTGAGTGGATAGCTCCATTGAGTGTGAATGGCACAGTTATGCCCTTGAAAATAGACAGTGGCTCTTAAGTGAACATTCTGAGTATTGAACATTCTGAGTATTGATGATTACGATTTGTTAGGACAGAAACCAAAACTGTACAGTACTAACACTAAACTGAGTGCTTATAACAATACTAGCATTGCTACAAAGGGTATGTTATGTAAGTCTGACTCTAAAGTCAGGAAAGAAAATAAATAATGTAAAATTTTATGTAGCAAACCAAGACTGTGTATCAATACTAGGAGCAGGAGATAGTGAAAAACGTGGTTTAGTAATAAGAACTAGAGATGTCAGAAAAGTATATGTATATGGCATTACAGAGGGTGCTTTAATGAAGGATTACATCAAAGAAAAGTACAGAGATGTATTTACAGGTATTGGTTGCCTGGAAGGTGAAGTTTGTATTAAACTCAAAGACAATGCAAAGCCAATAATATGTGCAGCTCGTAAAGTACCTTTTGCTTTGAGAGATAAACTCCAGAAAGAATTAGAAAGATTGGTAAGTCAGAACATAATAAAGAAAACAGATGGTCCCACAGACTGGGTACTTCCCTTAGTATTAGTTGAAAAAGCTAATGGTAACCTTAGAATATGCATGGATCCTCTAAGATTGAATGAATATGTCTGCCGAGAACAATATCATTTACCAGAGAAATCTGAAATAGAGAGTGACATGGCAGGTGCCAAGTGTTTTTCAAAACTGGACCTTCGCCATGGTTTCTATAACCTTAAGTTAAATGAGCAAAGCTCTAGGTTGTGTACAGTGGCTACACCGTTTGGTAGATATTCATTTCTTAGGATGCCATATGGGGTGAAAAGTGCACCAGAGATTTTTCATGCTAAGATAGCTCAGTTATTTGAAAACGATAAAAATGTGAAAGTTTTTATTGATGATATAGTGATTTATGCTGAAACATGGTCAGAGCATAGCAGAATTTTACAACATGTGATGAATATCGTAGAGAAAGCAGGTGTGAAGCTCAATGGAGACAAATGTGAAATAAGTTGTACTGCTCTAATATTTCTAGGTGATTGTCTTACAGAACATGTTATAAAGCCAGATTCATGTAAAGTCACTGCTATAAACAATAAGCCTGATCCAACATGTAAGGAAGGAATTACTTGATTGTAGTAGATTACACCTCAAATTATCCAGAAATTGCTAAATTAGAAAATTTGAGTAGTCAGTGTGTGATCAACCATTTCAAAGCTATTATAGCTAGGTATGGAATTCCTAGAATTGTTGTTACAGATCCAGGAAAACAGTTTGATTCCTATATGTTTACAGATTTTGCTAATGTATACTGAACAAAAATATAAATGCACGAAACTAAAATGGTCAGTTGAAATGGATAATCATGAAATATGCCCAGGTTGATGGTTTATTTGTGAACTGATGGATTTGTTTTGATCAAGTATAGTGGTCTGGTTTCACTTGGCCGCTCCCCGTGAGTATACTCAAAGGTTCAGTTTTTACACCCATAAGACTAATGGAGCATGACGGAGTGGAGGTCAATCTGCATGACCAATACACAGACACTCCTTACAGTCTAGGCAATAAAAGGACACACCAAAATGTGCATTTCTGTCACTTGTTAACATGCCACAGATGTCTGGAATCATAAGGGAGCATGCCATCGGCATGCTCAATACTGGCTTGTCGGTAACAGAAGTTGCCTCATGCCTGAATGTGCATCATTCCACTGTCAGCCGTCTGAGAACACGCTTCAGAGACACTGGTAGCACTAGGAACCACCCACATGCACCGACCACACCCGATATGTTGCCCGTCAAACACCTGTGGAATGTTCTGGATCAGCGTTTTAGCCATCATGCTCCAGCTCTCGAGAATGTTCGCCAACTGCGAGTAGCACTCCAGGAGGAACGGGATAGTATCCCTCAGGCCACTATTGACAACTTAGTGATGTCCATGCGCCGCTGGTGTCATGCTCTGCGCAAAGTTAATGGTGTCTGTGAACTCAGGATGTTGACCCCCATGGTGTATTTGATGCCCTAACTCTTGGACTATGCATTTAAACTTCCCCTAATGCTCTCAAAGTGATGTCAATTTGTCGAGAAGAATATGCTGTTATTTTTGGCTATATACTCTAGTTCCACATATGAAAATAAATCTACATATTCTTTCGTGCGTTTATATTTTTGTTCAGTATATATGGATTTAAACATATCCAGAGTAGTCCAAAGCATAGTCAAAGTAATGGCAAAGCTGAGAAAGGTGTTCAGATTGTCAAAAGAATGTTAAAGAAGACCAGTGAATCTGGGGAAGATCCATATTTAGCACTGTTGAATTATAGAACTACACCTTTGTCTGGTGCAAATAGTCCTTCAGAAATAATGACGGGAAGGAAAGTTAGAAATAGATTGCCAGATGTAGTTGAACATAGAAACAAGGATTTGATGAGGAATAAGGAAAATAGTAAAAATAAAAAATATTATGTTGGTGCAAAACTGTTAAAACCTCTGCACCAAGGTGATGTTGTAAGGTTCACAGAGAAAGAAATACAGGTGTTTGAAGTGATAAAGGTAGAATTTTAGGGGAAAATTCTCCAAATTCTTTTAACGTTAAACTTGAAAATGGAACTGTATTAAGAAGGAATAGACGAGATTTACTTTCAACAAAAGAACCATTTGAGTTGAAGCCTGAAGTAGATATTGATATGGACCAGAGTCCTCAGGCACAAGTTAATGTTATGCCACAAGCTGTAACTCTACCTGATGTCAAGACTCGTAGTAGTAGAAACATTGTTAAACCAAAGAGACTTATTGAAGAGTGTTAAAGGACATTGTTTTTTGTTGCTGAGATAAGGAGAACAAACAATGTAGATTAAAGCATAAGATAGTTTATTGAGAAACATTTGTTGTAAAAAAAAAAAAAAGATGTATCACAATGTTGTTAAATGTATGACCTTTTTGTGTTACGTAATAAAGACACTTGACGACACCACACCATCTTAGAGTCACGTTGTTACAGGTTGGCAGTCAAACATTCAAGTTCATCCACATTTCCCTGCCTGCCAATCAAAAATAGCAGTCAACCACTCAAGGACGTCCACTTTTGAAAATGTATACATAGAGCTGCTCTATGCAGTGTGAGCCAGTTTTTAAGTCAGAAGTCCAGTAGAGTAGAGTACAGCAAGATAGCCAGAGAGAGTGTATAGAAAGCAGCATAGAGTGCAGCAGACAGTGTATAGAGATAGAAAAGTAGCTGGTTCCCAATACAGATACATGTACATGTGACCTGCATGCTAAGTGTTCTTAGAAAATAAAAGAAAAGAAGGAAACCAATTGAAGTGTTGCGCGGTTTTTCACAGGTCGCACTGGTGGCAGCAATCTACTTAAAGAAAAACCGATATGGTTCTGAAAGAAAACCCTAGCGCAGAGTAAGGAGAGAACATAACACTGGGGACAAGAACCCTACAATATGTACTGTACAGTGGACATGTACGTGGGTGCTAATTTAAACATCCTTGAATGAAGAGAGAGATAATGTCTGAAGACACACTAGACATTAAAATTAGGAAACAACAATATGCAGGCTGCCACATACATTTAAAAAATAGGGAATAATGTTTCGTCAAAGAAATCCAAATGCTTACTTTGTACCAAATTAACTTCGTTTCAAAATCCCGGTGTCACTCTATGGGCGCAGCCATGATGGACCTACTTTTTCAGATTATTGCGATTGCGGATGAGTTTGTTAATTTGTATTGTGTTATGTAGAAGAAAAACAATATAGAAAAGGATGCAGCTTGGGAGCCTACGACATGAAAAAGTAAAATGAATGTGATATAGTGCGCGCAACTATTTTAATAAACAGACATTCCTTTTCTTTATCATAATTGATAGGGACACATCCGGGGATTACTGACAAATATCATACTTTTGTTGGATTCTTGGCAGAAAATAGGCCACCATCCTGTTAATTCTTTTGTTATAAAAACATTCTATAATTTTAGTTCACATGAATAAATACTGACGTTATAGCTTTTGGTTGTTTGTGAACAGATTTCAATGATAATTTGGTCAAAGATACAATTCTTAACATAACTGATTCTTCCGCAAGGGTAGCAGGTGGTGCGGTTGTGCTGTTTTGCTCAATGGTGGAGAAACCAGCGAAACTTTTCCATAATTAGTTTTCTAGTAGAAAAGACAATAGTCTAGAATATCTTACTCCTCGGTCGATTAAGCATTGTTTTAAGATGTCGAGGGCAGATTTAGATAGCATCCAACGTCTTTTGAAGCTTGTTATTCAACGCCATCAGGTAAGTTTTCTTTTGCAAAACTGCAATCAATGGGGAAACACGGAGTCCATCCGCTTGTTGTCAGATGCATAATAGTGTTTCTTGTAAAATATAAATGCATCTTCATGATATTTTTTACAGTTTATAGACTTAATATTTTTGTTGTCCATATGTATATAGATATATACATAAAAGTCAATATTCATGGTATAAAAGTTTTATCATGTGCAAACAGGATTATTGAGCATTTTTATTGGGGAAGGAAGGGGGGGGGTGGAGGATGAGAAAGGGACATAAAACTTGTCCTTTAGCTATTTTATTTGTATTTGTGTAGTACACATTTTGAGAACCAATTAACCAAGATCAGTCTTTAATTTTTCAGTTGCAATTTTTATTTGTTTGATGAACTTTACTTTTATTCCAATTCATTAACTGCTTCAGTAGCTTAAATCTTATCTGAAGATGGCCTATAAGAACATGGTTTTAGGAACAGAGAATGAGGCTTTTTTTTAAGGGGGGGGGGAGAAATGGTGTCATATATGAAAGCAACTATGGTTCTGACATGCTTAAAATATTTTTTTCATTTAATTGAATAGCCAAATAAATCGGGATTGCCCAAACACATGAGCTGGGGTCATGTTAACAGTTTTAAATGTTAAAACATCATAGTTGCAATTAGTGCCCACTTATTGCTTCACATATAATAGGATGTCTAATACACACTTCAATTCCTTTTGTCCTTTGCTTTAATAGAGGCATAAACTATAATGACTTGATCTTGGCTGGTTGAGTCTGTTGCAAACGATAGCTGGCTGTTTAGAGAAAAGTTTTTTTTTCTAACATTTGCCTTTAGGTTGAAGCTCTCATGTACAGTGCCATTCACAAATGATTTTTGTCTTTGGAAGCCTTGCAACACGCCTATGGAATTTGATATTTTTGGAAAAAAGCTTTCTTGTGTGTTTTTGTCTTAGAAAGAAACTTTGCACTCAGGTGGATTTTTCTGTACAGCACTTATCAGTAACCAGCAACAATACTCATGACTTTTTAAATGTTGGTGCTTAGGGAAAACTTCACATTGTTGTATTTCAGCTTACAGGTGGTGGAAACAAAGCCCCCCCCCCCCCCCCTTAAATTTTTTTTAAAGACTTACATAATGCCATACTTAGCAAAGTTTGATTGACTATATTTATTTAGTCCAAGGTGTTAGTAGCCACTATTTAAAATACAGAACACAAAAGAACCAAACTAAAAGTACAGAATAAAACCTGGTTTGCATCAGCCATGCTAAAATAAATGAATAGTCTGGCAAACTAATTAATTCCATGAGATCACATCGGAAATGTTTCCTGGGTGCTTACCTTTTGGTCTTTTAGCGTATTAGTAGTTGGTTTTTGGGGATGCACTATACAGAAAAAACCCTCAAATGTAAAGCTTTCTTCCATGGGGCATAGGGAAACTTTCTTTGCATATGGCAAAAATATCGAATACAACAGATATTTAGTAATATTTTATCGATGATAATCATTTATTGGAAGTAAATATTTTAAAGAAACTGACACATTTTTCGTCTTATGACAAGACCATAATTAGGCTGAATACCCATTGGCTGCAGGGTGTTGGCTGACCTGTGAGTAATTCTCACCCTAGGTATATGTAGTACTAGTAATTAACTCCACTAGTACAAATCTTGTAACCATGAACAGTCTAATAGAAAACTGCAGATATTGGCTGCATAAACTAATGACTTGCTAGCGAAGCACTTTTTTTTTACTTGGCTAAATCACTACTATTTGGTCACTTTTTCTCCAAATGGTTAAAATTTGCCTAAAACAAGTCAAATCAAACTGTTTTGTTATGCCAGTTTAGATCAGTTTTAGCTGAAAAAGTTTGCAAGTGTTAAAATTTTTATTTAACAATTCAAAAAAAGTGTGTACTAGTATGGCTTTTTCTGTTGCCTTTAATACTCAATATCAGCAACACCTTAATCCATTCATTCATTCATTCATACAAAAAGCTCCAAACTCATTTACCAGATCATATTTGGATTTCCTCTGAACTGTGCTACATTTATCAACATTTTACGTGGTTCTTCATGCTAAGTTTTGATTTTCTCAACATTTACTGATTCAGAATATATATATATATATATATATATATATATATATATATATTTTTTTTTTTTTTTTTCTTTTTTAATTGAGCATATTGGAGTCTGTCTTTATGAATGCTTATATACAGTTTTGTTAAGGTACTGACTTACATTAAAAAGACATTTAAGCATATTGCGCCTCCATTTCACCTAACATCTCATCTTAATGTGGCACTGAAAAAGTAGTTTGATTTATGTTTTGTGGAACATTGAGTTTATAACAATTTAGTTTTATAGGTTTTAGTTTATGCTTTGTGTAAACCCAAATTCTATTACTAGTACTTTCTCCAGATTTATTAAGATTTGAACTATTTTTCAGGTTGTGGTATCACAGATGAAAAATGACCCTCAGGTAAATAAAGATGGCCATTTGATAAGGATTCTCATTGAATACATTTTTTTTTGTAAATCTCTCTGTTATCTTTTACACCAAGTATGTACTTGATGTCAGCAAATGGCCTCAAGTAGACTTGTGCTGTGCAGGGATTTTTTTAATTTCTAAATGCCAATTAGCACCAATTACCAACCATTGGTTATTTTAGTTGTTTTTTAGCTATGGAGTTTTATCAACTTAACATCAGATTCAACAAACAGCATTAAAAAAAAAAAAAAAAAAAACTGACCTTGTCGTGGTTTAACTGGTTTTAACATCAACTGATATGATATGGATTCATCTTAACTATATGCACACAATGTCTTCCTAGTGGAGTGAATACCTAGTTTCAAGGTTAGTTTGCAGTAAATTGATAGAGTGAAAACCACCAGATCACACTTCCAAATGTGGTCTATCACCTGGAAATGAAATGCATTTCAAATCTCTAGTTACTGTCAGACCCACAAACTGTAAGATTTTGGTCTAACGAAAAGTCTTCTGCTTGAACCTCTGTTAAAAGTATGCTTCTGTCATTATAATATTTTACCACATATGAATATAATGCAATTACTGTATGCAGAGGTGCCAACATATAACGTACAAATTACAAATATCTAGGCTCCCACTTAAAGTTTTTTACCAGTTGATGAGAATGTTAAATTTTTTGGAAAAAAAAGAAAATTATAGATTTATGAAGTAAATTAAGTATGGATTTTGGAAGGAGAGTTCATTGGCTTAATATGAGTGTGATCCAAGTGTTCTGATGTATTTATCAGCAAGGTGACATCCATGCAGATCATTATTAATTTTCATATTAGTTTGCTGTGATATCATGAAATAGACAATTTGTACCGTATGAAAAAAAAAAAGGTAAAATCACTTAGTAAAAGTAAAAGCTCTTTTGTTTTGGTTTGATGTTGCATACAAATTTGTTTTCTGAGAGTTATCATCATCATGTCACATTTGCAATTTTATTTGAAAAAAGATTTTGCATGTGTGTATGTGTGTGTTAGCCCAAAACCTTTTAGTTTCTATTCTGTTATATTTTATGCTAAAGCATTGTACTATCATATTTTATTTTTAGAATGTAGACCTGCAAAAACAGTTGCATGAGCTTCAGGCAGAAATACAGAAACTAAGCCAACAGCAGGTAACACATTTTTTCTTAAATATTAAATTTCATATCCTGTCAAAACCACCTGTAAGAGTAAATTATAGGATATTGTTATCATCTGGATGTTTTTCATGCACATGCTGTCTTATAGTACTTTAAGTGAAAATTTTGTTTGATGACTTTATCTTTTATAGAGAGCAGTTGTTCAACAGTTGAGGAAAGAACTGGTCAACAAACAGTCGATGTCAGATTCACTCAATAAGCAATCTATGGTCAAAGAAGGGCTGCAGCAAAACAAACAAATACCGGTGAGGCACTAATCACTTGGCATATTTAAAAGTAGATAACAGTGTCCAGTAAAGCACTCTAGTCAGTATTTTTTCTGTGGATTCGGATATGTTTTAATAATACTACCCTTACATTTCTTTGCTTAGATGAACTTGGATATCTACATCGTAGATAAGTCCACTTTTCTTAATACAGCCCTCTTCTTGGGGCCATTTACCTCACCATTGGCAGAAAATGAATACATTCTGTTCCCCAAAGTATTTTGTGAACCAAGCCTTGCAATGTGCAGGCAGTTGGCGGGACAAGAAGGGAATTACATTTGCTCCTTTTCTCAAGCTTAGCTTGATCCAAGGTTGCACAGAGGAGCACCTTGAGAAGGGTTGACTTATCTTTGAAGTAATGCACCTCAATCTCCATATTAAATTTTTAGCCTGATGTCATTTTATAATATTAATTTACTTTTCATAAAAAATGGCAGGTTCCAACATTTCTGTATAGTTGGTTTTAACGTTATAGCCACATTCATGTGTTCATGTATTTCAGAAAAAAGCACCCTCCAGTACTAGTTCTTGCAGCACTGCCAGCACAGTAGCTAAAAAACCTGTGGGTCAAGCAAAAGCCTTTCAACGTAACCCAAGTAGCACAACAACAGGCCTTACCTCTAAAAATGGCAACTCCCCTCAAAGGGGGAAGTCGTCTCCAACCACTGTCAAAGTATCGCCACCTAGAGGAAAGTCCCCACCTATCCGTGTCCCCCAATACACACCTCACAGGCCTTCCATTTTACAGGTATAATTATTTGAAATTGTTCACATTTCTTACATGTGCCTCAAAAATAATGATGCTTGCAGTTTCCAAATTGATATCAGGACTACGCATACTAATTTTTTTAATCCACAAACTAAAAAGTAAGTGATTTGTTAAAAAGTTTCCGTATGGGAAAAAAAGGAATTTCTACAAAATTTTTGTAGCAATTTTAGAAATACTTCAGAGTGAATAGTATTCTTACTTCATGTTTGTGAGGCAATTTTTGTCAAATGGTTGAATTGAAAATGTTTCATACTTGCTGTAACAATATTTTATTGCCTGTAGGGGAGACCAACCCTCTTCAGTGGTAGCACAACCACAGCTGCCAAACCAGCCTCCACCAACAATGCTCAAGTACCCCCTGTGAAGAGAGCTACTACAGAACCTGGCAGTGACCACAAACGTAGAGTGCCTATTGACACCAAGTCTCTCTCACCAGAACAAAGACAGGTTAGAGTTACAAATGTGGCAGCAATTTTTTTATCAATAGTTAAAATGAATACTATCTAGTAGAAGTTAAAGTTGTTTTCATGATTGGCATATGGTTCTATTGCATCTTTGTTGTATTTCAGAAAGTAGAATACATGGCTTCTCTGGAATTGATCACACAAGATACTTTGAAAGGTGGGTGAAAAGATGTATTTAGAATCTATTTGTTAATGCTTTTTAAAAACTTTTGTGCTTTATAACATAATACATAAATAATAAGTAATGGCCTTTGTTGTAGAACTTGGTACATCTCCACCAAACCTGTGCAGAAGTAGTAAATTAATGTAAAATGATTTGGTATCTTACACTTCTGTTGAAAATGCAAAAAGTATAACTACTTGTGGAAGGGTTTAATAATATCCTGCCTCAGGCATGTAACTATGCCTAACTATGACCATTTCCTTGCGGTGATTTGGAAAAGCTGTACTCCACTTTCTTCCCTTTTATGCTGTGTTTGGGGTTAATAAACAACTGTTATTCTTTAAGAATTGCAAAATAGAAGATCAGAAAGAAAAAGAAGAAGCACTGCAAATCCCCAGTTTAGCTATGGAAATTTTGAGCCAGAGGTAGGTGACTGCTGTATGTATGTATGCATGCCCTCCATTGTATACTTTTTTCCCAAAAAGTATATTTATACATAATTCTTCGAATTCTATTATGAACTTAAATAGTGACTTTGACTCATATTTACACATACACACACAAAAAAAGCTGCATAGCAACTTGAATTGTAGTATTGACATAAAAAATCCCTTCACTCTGTTTATGCAAGCCAGGAGCATTGTTCACCAACTCAATTGGTTTCACAATTGGAAGTGCTCATAGCTGAAAAGATTTCCAGAAGCGTGTTTCACACTTGTGTGTTAAGCTTTGGCTGGTAACTTTGTGAAAGCAACTTGAGAAGCCGAACCGTTCGATAACTAAGATTTTAGTCTCAAAACTAACTTTAAACCTTTTGTAAAACAAGCGCAAGATGTGACAAACATACACAATTCATTGGTCTCATGAGACCACAATCTGTGTACAGTGGACGTTTTTGCTTGCTGTGTTATTTCTACACACCAGTGTTTTATTTCATATTTTTTTTATTACTTTTGCATGGGGAATGAGACTTGTAAGATAGCATTCTTTCTTGCATCCGTTTCACAAACAGACATGCTTTTTGATGTTGTGTAGTAGCAGTTGATGTTGTACTTCTCATCTAGCGGAAGAAGGTCACAGCCACCTACCTCTCTCCACTAATGCAAGGGGTCAAGCGCCCAAGGGGTCGACCCCCCAAAAATGGCTACTCTCCAGCCAATAGTAGGCCAGGGACTCCTTCAGGTAGCAGAAGTAGTTTGGCTGAAGAAGATGTTGATGATGTTGATGATGATGAAGATGATGAAGGAGATGAGGTATTAGTTGTAAGATAAAATTATTCTCACTGTGATAGATGTGCTTTTAGTGTTACCTGAGCTGTGTTTGAATATTGTCACATGCCACCCCTGTGCAACAACATTTTAGATGCTTTATCTTGTACTCTTGTTTCTTTATTTGTCTTTAGTTTAAATGGAGTGAAATTTATAAACATAATTGTCAGTTTGGTAATTTTTTCAGTAGGTTATAATAAGCATGTTTCTTAATCACAGATTGGTGCCTTCATCTACTTACTGCAATTTATTGTCGTGTTTTTCTGTAAGCACCTTTGGTGGGTTAATCACCATAAAATTATTTTACCAGACTGAATCTTTACCAATTTTAAGCATATCTTTATATCATAGTTTTTAAGAATAAAGAAGGATGCAAGACATTACAAGACTTATTTTTGTTTTAGAATGATGTTCATGAGGACTTCTGTGCAGTCTGTCAGAAAAGTGGTGAACTTCTTATGTGTGACACCTGTAACTTGGTCTACCATCTTCAGTGTCTTGACCCGCCCCTGACAGAAGTGCCCTCAGGAATGTGGAGCTGTCCTAAATGTCAGGTAATAACGTGTCATTTCACTTTTTGACATGGTATCCAACGTTAGTCACATTTGTCCCAAAATTTCGATAATAAAAGTCTTTTCACTCTGACATATTTACCAAAACCCCATCTTGAGCAAGACGAGATGGTGGCTCTTTGAGAATCGCCATAAGCTGAAAAGGAAGTGGATGAAAAAAGGACCTAAATGAGAATTGGAAGATTTAATCTTTTTATCCAATCAAAAGAATACAGCATTATGCTGTCAACATTCATGCTTTTCAGGGGTCTAGTCTGAATTATGCTATTTTTGGTTAATTTGGGAAGAAAGAAGCGGCAACCAGGCACTTCATTTAGGGTCAAAATATGCATGGTTTTGATATTTGCAATGTATGTTTGTACAGCCAAGCACATAGCAGTGATTGTGTTTCTCCACTAGAAAGACATGTCTTTGTAGCATCAGTGGATAGTGGCGCCCTCTCTTGAGAGAGTGTTAGTAAAACTCCACCCACCTTTCTCTCTATAATGGTCTCTTGATGCAAGGAATATGTGGCACATAGGAATGGATAGTTGGTGAAAGTTGATGTATTAAACTTTTAAAAATGTTAAATGTTTATTGATGTACGTGGTCCTTCACATAAAACATCTAAGTAATGTCAGTTGGAATGGGAGGTCTTTTTGACATTGACTGAAGTTGCAGCTAGGTTTTTTGATTTTGGGTAATAGAAGATTGTGCACACGTACTTTGTGTTTTAATTGCATTTTTTTTTTCATTTCTGATTTCAGGCGATGGGAAAGGTGCAGCCAAAACAATGGCCAGGCACTTTGGCATTAGTGCATTCTTACATTGCCTTTAAGTCTAGTAAGTCAGAGTTTAGCATGATTTTGATAATGTTTAAGACCATTAAAAATCACTTGATTCTCAAATATTTAAATAATTCATAGGAATGAGCTTTCTTGAATACCAAAAAAGTTAAACTTTATTTTAAAATAAATTTTGAATTAGGGGATTGGTTTACATAATTTGAATAAAATGCTATATAAAAAGCCATTAAACTGCATCAGTTGCAATAATATTTGTCAGAATTTTATAGTGAGCTTTGGGGTTTGTAGTGGAAACATGACAATTAGTTTTGCATTTCAAGAATATTAAATGAGAAAAATGTACTTGACATAAGAGGGTAAAGCATCATAAATCCAATCAAAATCCATTTTGCTGAAATATTTTGGGTCAATAAATAGACATCTTTACCCTAAAGTTTTTGCTGAGGTATTGAATAAATCTCATTATTTTACTTTTCAGGTAAAGAGGAAGAGAAAAGAAAATTACAAAAGAAAGCTATCGAGCTTGAAATTGAGAAGAAAGAGCTAGAGAAGCGAGCAAAAGAATATTCCAATTCTATAACAGTAAGACATTTAGTGTTTTTGAACTTTCAATGCAAGAATATTGATAATAATTAAGTCTGTTTCCAATAATTCCATTGATTCAATGTGAATGTTGGGAGAAATATGTGTGTAAAAATGTCTTTGACATCTCCACCATACATTTCTTGTGACTAACATTTTCACTGACATATGATACGAACTTGAATCTCATTTGTTTTACCTTGATATAATCAATTGGTGGGACAATAGTCTCTTGCATATAAACTTTTGATATTATTATAATTATTTATTTTTATTATTTATTTATTTATTTATTTTATTTTATTTTTATTTTTTGTAAAAAATACTTTGATTTAAATTCCTTCAGGAACAAATGGTGCACAAGGCGCAGTTTCTGCGAAATAAAAAGGATTCTCAGAAGTCACTGGAAAAGCTGAACAGTTTTGTCCGAGTTTTTCAGTCAGGTTCATGAGTAGTAACTGTCTTCTTTGGTTCCTTGTATTTCAAAAAGATTTTAATTGATTGGACAGGAAGACAATGGAGACTTTTTTCCCAAGCAAGTGCAATTTTAATCTTGAATTATAAACAATTATACTTGAGTGGGCAGTATTTTGGTATTTATTCTCATTGTTACTGATATTTTGTGTCAAAGACACCACATCGCTTACTTAAAATAGTTTGGTTTTGTATATTTTGCAACAGCCGTTTTCATTTTTGATGTCAGTATCAACTTCCACTTAGGTCAAACATGTATAAATATTTTCAAAATCCATCCTGTGAGGATTTGACAGTCCAGTTGAGTATTTGCCATGGCATTGGGTACTTTAGGGTTTTGAAAGCTAACATTAGCTCCTTCCCTAACTTGTAAAATTAATATTTATCAAAAAAATTATGGGGAAATATGTCAGCACCATACATATTCAAGAGTCTGTAATGTTTTGTATGACCCATCCATTCATCAGTCGAATTCATTGTGTTATTTGGTTTGGTCATTATGTACATAGTGATTATGTAGTTGTATATAAGCATTGTCGAAGGGGTTGGTAAATGAATCAGGCTGTAAAATTGTGCAAGTGTCACCATTTTGCTTTTTGTGGCAAAACTGGTGAAAATGTAGCTTCTTGTTGTCTGAGTAAGTGAAAGGTAACTATTATTTACTTTTTCACAATTTTACACTTTCAGTAAGAGAATCCATTGTATAATTTTACAAAATATTGTGGTCATGAATAAAACTATTTGAATGGATAAAATGTGATGCAGTTGATATTTATAGGCAGATCTTCATGAAACTACCCATTTTGTGCAAAAAAAAAAAAAAAAAAAAAAAAAATAATAATAATAATAATAAATAAATAAAAAAGGGAGGGGAATAAGGTAGACAAGAATAACATTCAGATACAATAAGTGTTTTATATACCCTTTATTCGATTTATTCCTTTGGTACAGGAGTAATGCATCTTTATTTTCCCCATTAACTTCCATCACAAAACTAAAACCCCATAAATAAAGATCAGTAAATAAAAGTAACAGTCATAATTCGTAAAGGTAGAGCTTTAACAATTTGTTCACTACATAAATATCAAACTTATTTTCAATGATTCAGAAACAAAATGGATGAGAGCTTATACAATTCTTCAAAAGAAATTCTCTTCGTTCCATTTCCCTTCTGATATAAATATTGCACCAAAAATGCCTGATAAGATTCAAAGGGTGATCCCTGTACTCATGACATTCAGTATATCATACTTGGAAAGTATAACAGACAAATATCAGTTAATACATATCTGCATAAATTCCTGCAGGTTTAAAAATAATGTAGTATACCTTTGGTAAAGTACAGCCTTGTGCTATAAAGATTTCATATTGAGATTATACAACTACATAATTCATTTATGTTAATACGAAGGGGTTTAGGTTTAATATTTGAACATCTCAAATATAACTTGCCTGCATACAGTCATTGTCATTTAGAAATGCAGTAATCTTCTTGTCAATGTCAACCAAGTACCACAAAACTTAAGGTTTTAATTTTGTTGTCATATAAAGATGTTATCTAACTTTAAATTTCTGTTTGTTTAACCATCCAGATGGTACCATGTAAGAATATATTCTTATCATGTGGAAGACTGATATTTAAGTTCTATTTGTCCTTTGTCATACATTTATGGCACTTATGAAGGATACAATACTGCTTCAAAATATCGATTTAGTACATCTTTAAGTGTTCTCTGTTAACAAGTAAAAATATAGAGATTTAATAAAATTGGACACCAAGGTGCATTTACCTGAAAGTATGCAGCAATATCAACATTTGGTCTCTTATACATGTCTACAATATGTATCAACAGTTCCCTTCCCTATCCATCAACAGATTTCTTGACAGGCTATTATATATTCAAACTTAACATTTTGGGACAATGTAAGGCTTTTTAATGCTCGGAAAAATTCAAAATCCTCATAGCATTAAAATTTTCTACTTTTCAGCAGTAGAGATCGCTGTCTAGTTTGGTCTGTTGATCTCTGTTTTATTCCAATGTGCAGAAATTCTGGTTCTCTGATATGGTCCCCATGGCTGAGATTATGTGGTAGATATTGAGATCTGCTAAACCTTCCTGTTTCATATTTAAGATATTTTATTGGTCTGACTAGATCCAGATTGTGTGCTCACCAGTTGCTGCATTAAAATGGTAAGAGCAAGAGCAGTTGTGTATCATTCAGATTGAGATAACTACAATTGTAAATGCTGATAATGTACTGGCTCCCAGTAAAAACTACAAAAAGAGTGTATAAAGGTTGTGCAAAAGGCAGTGCAAGAAGTGCTAATGACTTTCTTCAACCAATTTTATGAAGCACCTACTATTATATCACCAATAATATCTTTTAAGTAACACCATATTAAAGTAAATAAATACTGTTAATTTTCATAATATGTGGGTACATAAATACATCCTCTTCACCTGTTGAAGAAAAATCAAACTATTCTTTGGTTACCATGATCTCAGTATATTAAGTATCACATTTTTAAACATTATTTATAGAACACACGTGGATTCAAAAATAACAGTTTGCTTTTGCACTCCAAATAACCGTTTACCTCAGTAACAAGCTAACAGGTAAATAATTTACATTAATTATCACAGTTCATGACTGCTTCCATTAAGCACCCAAAGGCTAAATTCACATAATATATTTAGGTAAAGGCCAAACACAAAATTTAAAGCATATAATACCTGCAATTGTTGCCTTTAAAGGCTTCTACATTTAAACTGTGACATATCAAAGCTTGTCATATTAATGTGCAAAGATGAAAGTCAACTTTTAAAAACAAATCTGAAATATCCAAGGAGCCATGCACCCTTTCCCACCTATTTTTTTTTTTTTTTTACAAATATCCAGATTTTCTGATAAATCTCTAAGACCTTAACCTCTAGATATGCTGTACTTTTTAGTTCTTTGGCTCTCTGATTTGAATTTACATCATCAACAGCTCCAGCAAGAAAGATATGCAGAATTTCTATTAGATTTATAAACATGAAAGGAAATATCCATATAAAATAATACCACAATATTTAAATGCAATTTAAAATAATAATAATATTAATCAGCAGTCATTGTTTACTAATTATGAATATTTCCTTGGATCCATTATAATAGGTCAAAGATATTTCACATCCAATGGTAATGTTTCACATAGTATTATATCCTCAAAAACATGCATTTAATTAAGGTACATAATCCATGAAAATGCTTTTGACAATACAGTGCTTGAATTACCAACCAGCTGAAGTGTCATAACTGCTAAAATAAATGATTCAAATGGCCAATTATCAGAGGTGATTCAACTATGATTTACAATGGACATTTTTCTACAAAGTCAACTGCCCAAAAAATAGTGACATTATGGATTTATACTGGTTCTTAAAAAAAATTCCACTAATAGTAAATATTGAACATAACAGGCCATAACTTGTATTTAAAAAAATTCAGTTAATTTTCATTTAACAATCCAAATAACAAAGCAGGGGACCTATATCACCAATAGATCTAATATTTCTTTGGAGACAAAAAGAAGAAACCATAACAGATATGCCAACTCTATATAATATGATGCTATCTAGTAATTTCAACATGACTTATGGTAATAAATAAAGAGATTCACCGTTTTGCATCTCTGCCTTAAGCTTTTCTTATTATCAATGCCCCCTCATTCTTTCAGCCTGTAGTAAATTGTTGTGAAAAGCCACCATTTCTTGCTTGGTGCTGACTATTTTGGGTATAGTGTAGCAAGCCAGGAGACCGAACAGCAAGGCACTCCAAATATAGAAATACACTGAGCCAGTCCACTCCACTATATATCCCATGAAAGAAGATAGCAGAACCTGGGAGAGATAATATGTGCTGTCTAGAACTGCAAAATCTGATGCTATGCCTCTTGGATTGTCTGTAAAATAGATCTGGAAAAAAAAATGTATATCAGCTAAAGCCTCAATCAATCTATATCATTCAATCAAATGCAATTTTTAGCAACTCAGTGCTGTCCCATATCAGTTCATGCATTGAAATACGATATACCTCATTTTGTGATATAATATACACAAGGTTATACATAACTGTTTTAACCAAATGTCAGGATGTACATTTGAAACAGACCTACATTAAATAGGAAATGGTAAAAGAGAAACTAAAAAGAAAAAAGGAAATGAAAAAGAAAAGGAGTTATTGAAGAAGTACAGTATAAATTGAAACTATTTCATAACTAAGACCACCTCCCAACATTCCCAAAATTGTTTCTTCACTCACCTCTTTATGTTGATGATACATAGACACCAGCATATATGGAATGGTGTGTATTGTGGCATATGCAAAACCTGTTATGGAAGCTGAAAAATTCACAACAACCACATATGGAAACTGCAACATTGCCACCATTGCAATGGAAAAAGTGAGGAGTCCAAATAAATATGTTACGGTTGTTCCATAAGCCACTACTAGCTTTTCGATAAAGTATATTCCATATATTCCTGCAGTGACGCAGTGCAAGAACAGTCCCCAGCTGGCAGTCCGAACCCCTTCATCATAAAGCATCTGCAGTATGGTACCATCCTCTGCATTGGGGTTTCCTCTGTATACCGCCTGACCAACAAAATCCGAGAAAAACAGATTGAAGCCCATGATGGCGGTCCAGCTGCACATCATGGCCAACCAAAGTGGACGAAGAATAGGGGGAATGTCTATTATTCTCTGCACAGTCCTAGGCAATTTTCTGTATATCTTTAGCCATATCATGTTCAGTAAGGACCTGCAGTTTAATAAGCACCTGTTTTTAAAAGGAGAAGTGCATTTCTCAACAGTGGCCACTATAGCAGTCTTTTGCGATGCTGAAATCAGGCCACTTCCGTTGGCAAAGATTCCTCCATTCTTGAGTGATATTTTCTCCTGTGTTAGAGCTTCTCCTTCATCAGACGATGCACTGATCAAACTTCTGTCATCTACTGACTGCAAGGGTGTTTCTTGAGCTACATACAGGGTAGTACACACTGACAGAACAAACATCACGATGATTATAGTGAAAGCAATCTGTTCCTGACTTTTGAATAACTGACCCAAGATACTACCCTTCCAGTCTACAGCAGTGATAGAGTAGCCTATACAACCCCCTAGGCTGACCATGGAAGAGTAGTATGTAAAGCCACGGTTAAACTGACCAGTGTATCTGCATGCATCAGAAAGCAGAGCCTCACAAGGATTCATGCAAGATTCAGCAGCAAAGTCCAGCATTATAACCCCGAATACCAGCAAGGCTACCCCTACACTCCTCCCCCAGGGGGAGCCAGGGATTATAGCCTCTCCAAGATGGACTCCTTGAGGAATAAGAATCAAAGCCACAATGACAAACATGCTGAGCACAAAAATAAATGGACGTCGCCTTCCAAATCGACTTCTGCACTGATCACTTGATCGTCCAATCAGAGGCACTGCGAAAAATGCAAGCAATGGGCCCATCCCTATGATATAGCTCATCTTGCTCTCTGAAATTCCAACCTTTAGAAGCATTGGTGGTATATATGTGAACCCGGCTGTCATGCTGAATTCCACACCACATGCTAGAGCATTCAATAATATCAACTGTAAGGAAGTCAGAGGTTGTTGCCTTGTTGACACGCATGTTCCACCAGAATCTGCATGCATTACATCCATCATTCTGCACAAATGCAGCAAGGTTTATTCCAATATTGTGTTTTATAAATCCCTTCAAAGTTTTGACAACCCAAGCTGCTTTTCTTCATATTATTTCACCTTTAAATAGTAGTACATGCAAATTAAAGGCAAGCGATGATCATCTAAAGTGTATACTGATCAAGTTTTACTCGATTTCCATCTCCTCTCATTTTCCCACAGTTGTAACTGGGTCTTGCTGAGCCTAAAAAAGAAAAAAATATCCAAAGATAAACTAGGTAGTGATGATTCATGAGCAGTGTTATTCTTCCTGCATCAATAAGCAAAGATACATACAATAACGCACATGGGATGGCAGCAACACTTTCAGTGGGGTTAATTTGCAAATTGATGAGCCTTTGATGCATTAGGTGAAACCTTTGTGCCTGGCATGCTTGTATGACACTGAAAAATTGAGCTTTCCCCATGGCATCTTTCACATCAGGCATCTCAAAGAACATCAAAATGATGTTTTGTAGAGTTGTATTTACATTAGAATACAACTACCACTTGACTTGTCAGTCTTCAAAAAGATCTTGTCACATTCACAGAGCCTGCCATAGCAACATTAGACTTGCAGCTTTCCTCAAACTTCACTGCTGCATTAGCAGTGCTGAGATGAGTACAATCAGACGAGTATAAATTGAATATATATCAAATTTATATCCAGAAAAACAGAGATACAGAGTCATTGGCTAAAACTCACATTCCATTGTTTGTCATGCCCAAAGCATTTTGTGCTGTTTTAGTATGTGCAATACAGTTTTACTAAACAGTGAAAAAAGCAAAACAATAACGCAATAATATGTTTCTACACATGGCTTTAAGCTTGTTTAACAACTGGAAGTTGCCAAGAATTCTGAACATATCCACAATTTTTAGACCCCATTAGATATATATTATAGTAGTACCAAGTTTTACAACTCAAGAGTATGGTACTGTGAGAATATATCTAGTATATAAGGTATTCCTCAATATCATTTCAAACAATTTTTAAAAATGCGAGTGTTTTTTTTTCTTTGATTGATGAAAGCCTCAGATTGACAGTCTCATCAAACAGTAATCTTTGTTTCTCTTAAATCAGAAGAATGACAACATGCATAATTAAAATGATAATTATCTTCAACCCTAGTGCTACAGTAACAATTTTTCTCATTATGATGTACAGTAAACTATTATACATGTACCTCCCTTTTCTGTAATTAATGCGTGAACTCAGATTCAGAATTTACCTGTATATATGATATCAGTGTAGTATTTGCCTATCTGTAGATTACTAAACTGTAATCAAATCTTCACCTCAATTATGTTAATGGTATAACTTTTTGGGAGTTTTTGGATAATGGTTAATTGCTTAAAGTTATATCACTCCCAATATTTTACACTTGCAAAAATGGAATAGCATGCTCATTTCTAAACATATATTCCGGCCAGACCTAATGGACTAAACCAAGTAAAATTCATCAAAAATACTTTATGGTCCCATTTGTTCTTAATTTAAGGTATATATACCTCTGATAGTCTTCATCTTCCCAGTGCCATTCAGCAAAATGTTCTACTGATTCACAAATAACACAGTGACTATTATAATTATTCAGGAGCCAAAGTTTACAGCTTATTAGTACAGGTGGAAAAATAGTATAATCAAACGACAACTTCCAATGCAGCTGAAACCATAGCAAGCCAGCTGAGGACATACCAGCATATGACATATGATATGCCAAAACCTAGAATTATTAATTTCAAGTGTCTCGGTATCAGGTGATCCCAGTTTGGATACCGTACTGCTTATTGAAAATATTGGAAGGTTGAACACTTTTTAAAAGTTCTGTATTGTACAACTGCAACAGTTACTGATGTGTCAAATGTGAGAAAGGCCTTGGAAATTAATAAACTGATTTAGAAAATAGTTCCAGTTGTCTTTTACAGGATTTACTTGTCCAAAACCTGTTTTTCTCAAATTTAACTATAAGACTATGAGCCCACTTGAGGATAAAGTACCAATATGCCTGCAAATGTTTCACCTCCTTACAATTCACTAAGACAGGTATTTCAAACAAACAAACAAACAAACAAACAAATAAATTACCAACTACCACCCTAATTTTTTTCTAGGCAGTCAAAGCAACTGGAGACACAGCTTAACATTAGCAGTTTAGGGTATTTTCTTCTTGGCAAATATATTTACATAAGTCTGAATTCACTTTTAAAATCCTTAGGATGACAATGTTTGACAAAACCATAAAGAAATATTAAATTGCTTAATTTATAGACATTTTGATGAGTTCTTTTCATTAGACAATCCCACTCTAACATATAAATTTCATATCAGAAACCTTCATGTGCTGTAAAATATTAATGATAATTTCATATTTGAATGGCGCAGAGAGATAGGCAGAAAAAGATTGCATGGTTATGCTAAACCATTTGACTCTCAAAATTGCTATAGATATTTTTAATGCTGTTCAAATATCAATACTTGATAAGTTAATGAATAGATAAACAAGCCAGTACAGCTGATAGATGGACAGATGCTGTTGATCAGTTTAATCAATGAGTGATCCTTGTGAGATTGAAGCAAAATAAGTAGTAACATTGCTTTCTAGTATTGAGATGACAAGAAATTTGCAGGGCTACAGCAATGATGAGAGAGAGAGAGAGAGAGAGAGAGAGAGAGTTACTACTGTAACATTTATCCATTTCTTTATTATGTACAGACACAGTACTGTAAATAATAGAATTAATATTGTTATAGCAGTATACTAGTACACTATATGTTCATTCTTAATTCATAAAATTTCAACTTGGTGACCTTCAGCCTGAACAATTTTAGGTGAATTGAACACACACACACACACACACACACACACACACACACAATCAACACTACTACTACTACCACTACTACTACTAGGTACACCAAACTTCATGACTTGGTAGAGGTTCTCGTCATTTTCATATTTCTTTTGAATCATACTTACTGTAGTTTCTGGTTATGTAGAAAATGTTCAGTATTTCCTGTAATATTATGTATTCAAATCTCCACAAAGCATCAGTTACTAGCTCCACAGGATCCAAGCATTTATTTACTGTCCATTTCAAGTGCCTGAATTTGTACATTCTTGTTGCTTTCAGCTCTTCACCAAGTGTTCAATCAATATGGACAATAGTGTATAAAAAGTCAAGACAATAGTGTATGAAAAGTAAAGAGCTGTGAATACAGTCTTGTTTTCTAAATGCGTACACACTGGCATTTTTTATCTTTTAGATTTTGGCAAGGGTTTGTCTTGCATAATCAAATGACACAGCAAAAGACACAGCCAAGGTGTAAGGCAAAAAGGTTATGTAAGGCAAAAAAACTTACCTGGGATGTCCTGTTTTATCAGTCGGCCCTAAATATACATTGTTTAAGCTTAACAAAGCAAGGCAATATGCCAGGTATTTAACTAGCTGGCTGCAATGCCTGTACTACCATATATTGTCATGTTTGCCATTCAGCAGATGTCGTACCAGCATCTTCAGAATTATGGCTGAGTAATGACGTCTAAATCCTGCCTACCTCATACAGACAGGATGTTTTACTTATATTAATAAAAAATAATAATCCCAACAGACCCAGCATACATCCACATGTGCAGTTCAAACATATCGTTTTATTTTAGCAAAAGAGTAGAAAAAAGATGAAAGGAAAGAAGGACAATATTGATTTAACCAAACTGTTGCACAACAACCTAGCTAGATAATGAACAATAAAAATATAGTTTCTCGTTTTCATGTATTTATCTCTGACACTAAAATCAGAATAAAGTATTCACCTGGATAGTATCATTCCCTCAAGAAGATACTCAAGACAGGCACAAAATATTGGAGGTAAAGCATTTCAATATAAGCTGTTGATTGAAGAAAAATTACTTTATTCTTTTGACATAGGCTGATGAAATTCTTCTCTGATTTGTCATTCAGTGATCATTTTTATTTTCAAATTCAGCTGAGATCACTCCGTTCTTGTAAGTCAATATGAAAACAGTATAGACCATAACCCCCCAGCCTGTTTCAAAAAAAATCTTATCAAAAAGTTTTATGACAGAAAAAAATATTCATGTTAGAGTAATGCCAGAGCAGAATTATAACTTAAAGAATTCTCTTCACATTTTCTTCATCTCTCCCACAGATCATGGTTAGTAGAATATCAACAGAAAGCACTGACCAAGGTGAAGAAATCACGTCCAATATTGTTAATCTCTCAGAATAAGCAAAGCAATTACATCACCAACTGATCCCTGTGGTGTGTTCTCTGGGCCATATTTCACACTGGTCAGCCATTCTTGTCTTTCAATATGTTCAAAACGCTTACAACTTGACGTTTGTATGTAATAATAGAATCTCTTTTCACTGTAAACATGCAGTTCAGGAGTGTTTTGGCAAGAAGTGACCAACCAAGTTACAAATCAGAGGCCAAAGAGTTGGGACTTTTAAATATTGTTATTATGTTTGCTTGATGTTTTATCCTTAATAAAGACTTGAAGTCAGCCAGATGTCACTAACCTCTGCCTAAATTGCTTGGAAAAATTGCCAAATCATCAGTCACCCTCAGTCTAAACCAGTATGGGTATATTAAAAAAATTTTGGGAATAATTTTAACAAATAATGCCAACTTCAAATAACGCCAAGTGGGAATTTATACTGCAGTTACAGCAGCAGAGATAAACTGGACTTCTATGTCACCAAGATTTTATTTTCCAAATTTCGACAAGGGCAAAGAAAGCACAGAAAGTAGTCATAAGTTACAGAAATTGCCCAACTCAAGTATTAAAAGCTTCCACCCATGACCTAACAATAGCAAACTGTACAGAGTAAACACTTGTCGGGAATTCACATCAATGAGCCCACTGTGTGGACAAACCAAAACCCTGGGCTACTAGAGACAAACACCAAATCAATCCAGACAAGACAATAAACGGTTTACTGTTAAGGACCAGATGTCTGCTTTCTGCTCTTTCCAATGAAAATAGGTGTCCAGACTCCAGCTATGCACTTTTAAACTGAAATATACACACTACTATTATTAATTCACTGTTAAATAATATTTCTATCCTATCTACTCCCTGCTTCCAAAAACTAAACTTTGAGATCAATGAGTCAAAGGCACATGCTAGTAAGGCTATATTTCTGTAATCCCTTTTTTTTTAAATTTCATTACAGGAGTAGCTATGATTAACAGAGCTGTTATTATTTATCATATATATACATTTTGAAGAAAAAAGTGGGACATGATATTTTACATTTCAACTTGACTATATTTTAGGACTGATTCGTTGATACAAGTAGAAAAAGATTGTCTTTTTTTAAACATATGATTGACTTTTTTATCATCCTTACTGGCAGGGTTTCTATCTACAAAAAATACTTCACTTAAAATTAATACCTGGTTTGACAGGTTTTCCTCCACATGGTGACAGACACATGGTAGGATAACAGGGTTACCATCTTGAAATTAAAGCAGAATTGTACACCCAAGTGTTATTACTGTATTTGATCATGTATCTTTTATTCATTGTTTTTTCTAACAACAACTGCAATCAGGGCAACCTCCTGCAAAGTTGGCAGCAAAGGGATTGTATATATCTTGTCGTAACTGCTATGTGAGTTCAAAAGAGAGCAACAAAATTATGTGTGCAGCAGTGAATATATTTTAAAATCTATTTCAATATAATGTTACAGAAATAAATTGATTTAAAAACTAAAACCTTATTTTATACTGAGAAGACCTATGTGGCATGATGAAGTCATACTTTATAATGTCAAACCATACTAAGCCAAGGAAAGTTTTTTTTTAAATCATAAATATGGATTTGGGAGTAATTCATATCAAGAGCTTTCAATCAGAAAAAGAACACTATCATGATACTGTATGTCAACTGTCAGCAAGAATCCTTAGCTTTTCTGCAGTTTGCAAGCTGTTCTGAGACAAAAAGATATCTGGGTAAAATAAGCCATGCCGGGAATATCAAGAAAATCTTTTCCACACTGAGTGACAAGCACGCTTGAAATATGAGTATATTTTGTTCATTGTACAGGTGCTACAGGCGTAAAATTACACAAATAGAAGCACGTGATACTTGTCAGTTTGTAACAAGTAACAATGACTAGGCAATTACTAGTAATTGTTTCTTAATCATTTTCAAGTTGAACAATTAAATTTGTAATATATAGTATTATGAGTAATAAGTACAGTAATATTATGAACTTACTCTACTAATCTGTAGCACTGTAGTGTAGCAAGAGTAGAGTTTAGGATCCCAAAAATGAGAGAATACCTACTAGTTAATAAGTAAAACTGACAATACTGACACAGCCAATCTCAAGACTTGTACCTTGGTTTGGTTGGACGTCAGTCCTTTTTCTTATTCCACTCACTTCGCTTGCTTCTTACGCATCGCCAATCTGTTCACACCCTGCTTAACTTACAGTACACAGCATCTTGCATATCCTAAGCAAGTGAAAACTGAAATACTTGTACTCGATACTAACGTGAACCGTTTCATAGTTTATGGGTCATTTAACGTTAGTATTCCTGTTTTCACTAAAAAGAAGACACGTTGATAGAACCATAATGATAATAATGTTTATTCTCAAGTTTTTTTACCCAGTTACTAGCCATTACTCTTTCAGAACGAAACACGGGAGTTTCGGAATATTGATTACATTGGCTCCACCTAACGTTTGTTAAAACTTGTTTTGGTCATTACAGGTTCAATTCATGACTTGCGGAATCTGGATCGCCGTTTGTTTTCCAATTGCTTTTGCTATTATCTTACAGTACTTATACAACAAAGAAGACCAAACTTCTCTCTCTCTTGTTGCTAGGTAGGGAACAGGACTCGCAAATATGTGCATGTAAATCAATGTATTTAATAATTATAACTGATAAAATTTAATTTTTAAATTATAGTCTAACGTTAATGTCTTGAATTGAGATTTAAGATAATGTTTTTTACAGTAAATTTCATTTTTGCTGTTTTGTGTATATTGTTATTAGTTATCATAGCACTGTCACATAGTGATTCTGTTACTTCTTTTTCTTTTTCTTTTAGAATGGCAGAGGGATCAGAAAGTAACCCAGATAGTAGAATTGAGGAATATAAAAAAATGAACAAAAGTGCATTTATTCTGGGCTACACAGGGGAAGTTGGGAAAGTTCTTTTGGAAGAAGTGTTAAAAGGAGGGACTTTTAGTCGAGTGGTAGCGATTGGCAGACGTAAAGTGGAATACAAAGATGAAATATACAAAAATTTGGTAATAAATGAACAGATAGATAGTAGTGTTGTCATTATATTATGTTAGCCTTAAGTCGTGAATTTTCATGTTTTGTGACTAATAACTATAAAAGGACTTACATTTGTGACACCTAAAATGATACTTGTATAGATCTTACATAAACTTTTATTTTGGTATGAGATGATAATAAATAATGTTTAAAATAACAGAACTTTAAATGATTTGGAAAGATTTTTTGATGTTATACCAGTAATTTTTTGTAAATTACAGTAAATGAAAAGGATGGAGTCAATATTTAGTATGATAAAAATTATCAAAAACACTGTCAGCAAAATCTCTATGTCCTCTGTTTTTAGATATTTATCTTTACATACCAGTTTTCTTCATGAAATACATTAACCTTTTTAGGAACAAGAAATAGTGGATTTTGACAAGCTTGAAGACCATGCAAAAGTATTTGAAGGCATTGATGTGGGTTTCTGCTGTTTAGGGACCACAAGAGGGAAAGCTGGAGTGGTATTGATGTTTAATTATTTTCTGTGAACCCTGCTTTATAACTGTGCTAAATGAAAAGATTATTTTATCTTAATTTTCAAAGAAAACAATAATTTCAACACAATTTTTCCTAATGGAGAGAGAGCATATAAGATTTAATTATAGGGCCTTCTGCCCATTAAGAAATAGTATTATCAGAGCATTTTATTCTTCCACTTAAAAATCTTCATATTCAATTAATAGGAGAATCTGTAGTTGCATATAATATAAGGTGTAATTGACAAAAACTTATGCAGGGGAAAATATGGTATGGATGAGAAAAACTATTGTGGATTGGCCCTCATCACAATACAATGTAACAGAATTAACATAATTAATTTTTTAAAAAAGAGCCTTTGTAATGATGAAAGTCATACATGGAAAAAACAATACTGAATATGTACTGGTAACTGTATGCTGATAATACAGAAAACCATGTTTTCATTTGTGTATTTTGATAATGTTTTATTCTAGGAAGGATTCAAAAGGGTTGATTATGACTACGTAGTAAATTCTGGCAAGATGGCTAAAGCAGGAGGATGTAAACATTTCCACTTGGTCTCATCGCAGGGAGCAGATAAAAACAGTTTCTTTCTGTATCCCAAAACAAAGGTATCTCCTCAATTCTGTTTCTCACTACAACACATATGTCAGAAAGTTGGAACTTGTTTTATTTCAGAAAAAAAATGAAATAGACAGAGAAACTCAGTTTGAATTTTTACATAAAAGAATAGGGCAATCAACATACCAGTAGTCTGAATTTGACAAGTCAGTTTCATATTACCATGAAGTTACTCAAGTTACTTGGTGTCTATAAAAGACTGGATATTAGAAATGCATCCTCGGTTTGTCTATAAAAGAGATGACAATTAATATAAACTTCTGTTGAAATAAGAATCATATGCTATATGACACATTTTTCTTACAGGGTTTAGCTGAAGAAGCACTTACCAATATGAGTTTTGACAGACTGTCAATATATAGACCAGGGTAGGAAATTTTACTCATTCCTTTTGTTCAGTTTTTCTTATTCAGTTCATTGCTACTCTAATTAAAATTTGACATCTTTATTAAACTGAGAAAGAAAAGTCGAAAAATGATGGTTTTGAAATAAGTATTTCAGTTATAATGCTTCTTTAAAGAAAACTGCATTGCCTGCAATCAATATTTTATATATTTAAGAGTACTGATGTGCAACAGACAGGAGAGCCGCCCTGGTGAAGCAATTTTCCGTGCTTTAGTGACGCCAATTCATAAAGCATTCCCAGGTGCTATGTCAACATCAACACTTACTGCAGCAAAGGCTATGATAAACTGCACAGTGCTTCCAAAGGATAAAAGTGTAGAAATATTTGAAAACAAAGCCATACATCGCCTTGCTGGAGAGAGGAAGTAATAAACTAAACAGTTGTTATCTAATTGAAGAAATATGAAATAGGTAATGAATTTGGTTGATTTAAAGTAAAATATTCATGTACACCCAATATTAAATATCATGATACTGCTGCAGTAGTTTGGAATGAAAATTTTCACTTTATATGTAGGTTTATATAGAAAAAAATAGCTACAGAGCTCAAGTTCATGTGAAGATATTGTAAAATACAAACAATTTTTATCTAACTCAGTTTTTTAATTGCTCTAATTTGTGCCACTACTGGTCTTTTTAATCAATATTGACATGTATTGATCTTGTTTTACTTTAATTTATTTGTTATATTTAATTCACAAAAAAATCTTAATGGGCGGTGTGATCATTGTTATGAAAATTTATTTGTGAATTCATTGATAAAATTTTGTGGGCGATGTGATCATTGTTATGAAAATTTATTTGTGAATTCATTGATAAAATTTTGTAGGATGAGAGTACAGTAAGTATTTAATTTTATTTTAAGCCTATAGCATACATGTACATATCTTTTGGTTTTGATCCACACATTCCCATCAGGACATGACAACAAACTATATGCTACAGTGTACAAAGTATCAGGGATTGCACAAAATGTTGTGGGACCTTGTCATTCAGAGTCTTATGTTTAGTTAGTTTTGTCTACGTGATTATACATGAATACTTATTATACATATTCAGGGAAAATGAAATGTTTTATCATTATAACTTGTTATTCATTGAAATGCAGTTATTAGCATCCCAGTTTCACATTTCCAAATTTATTATGCAATGTAACTTTTCTATTTTATTGTATTTTAATTGCATGAAGACACTTGAGCAGCATGTGACATGCACCGGTATTGTCTTTATTAATATGAATTGCAAAAGGAATTATAATACCAATTATTAGATTTAAAAGCTGTTATATTTTTAATTACATATTGTGATCTGCTGTGATAAGCATTTCTACCTAATCTACTAGAACCTAACTTACTATGCAGTCTTCTCAGTATCTTTTCTATTTCATCGTATTTTGTTTGTTGTGAAGCACTTAAACAGTGTTTTATACAGTATTATTGTGACTTACATGTATGGAAGTATTTTTTTTTTACAAAGAGAAATAAGTCATAATACCATGTATGTCTTCATTGTCTGATTAAAAAGATCCTGTATACATGAAGTGACTCTCAAATTAATGATAAACCGTTTACAATGTTGACTTTACATATACCATTTAACTCTGTTTAAACAGTACCTGGTATAAAACAGACACATTTTTGTTACATTGGTAGTGATGTTAATTTTTTTTATAATGGCCTAAAATATTGTCTCATGATTTATATACTATAGCCCACTTGTGTTAGATAACTCAATAAAATGGTGAAAAAGAAATTTACATCAATATTAAGGAATGTACACAGTATATAAAGATGTACATGTACTAACCCTGTACAGTACCAATACATGTCTATTGGTTGAAGAAAAATAAATAACTTACATATGTAAATTACGTAGTGTGTGTTATAATTTATATACAGTATGTAACTGTTGTTTTTTTTTTTTTTTAGAATTGTTTCATCTTTATTTTTTCAAACCACACATGCAGTTTTAAATTCTTTCGAGCTAGCTGTTTTTGCCAGGGCTGTTTCGCGATATAACAATGGCGAATGTGTTACATGTGACTTGGGTCACGGCAAGGGCAGGTGCGTGGACGAGTCCAAGTACTTGTGGGATCTACTCGCTTCTTCGCATTATTATCTTGACTCTCGCTGGATACAAAATTTATATATATTTACGAATAGTGTACATTTGTTCCCATTTATTAGATCTTAGGCTGTTAAAATAGCTATGGAATCTTTAGTGCAAGATATACTTTCGTAATAAAGGGTTTTTAAATACCCCATCTTCCCTTTTGGTTTTGTTTACTCTCCATCACAGCGAGGCGGAAAAGCATCATGGAGAAGGCAGCGAAACACATCCGCAGGTAAAATATTATTTTCACCTATATATTTAAAATATTTTAAATCGGTGACATCAGGTGTTTAAGACTGTGGAAACATATGAGTGAGGTAGATAATAAAGAGTTTTTATTTATTTACGTCCGCATTTTTCCCTGCAGGAGCGGTGTGAAGTTGCTCTCTCTTGGTGGTGGCCACAGCGAGCTGAACCTGCTGATATCAGAAATGAAAGATGTCCGAAATTCTTCCAAAAACTTTATGAATGCCCAAACGACTGGTGAGTTATGCTTAAGAACATATATATTAAGACGAAGTATTATCCCAAGTTTTAACGAAATTTGTATTTTGGTGTAAAGCAGTCCGAGCTGAACTGAACAATGAATACAGTCGTAAATGTTTGTTTTGAGATGACAAGTTTTGTGTTGACAGACTCCGCGTCCTTGGAAATACCAAAAACCCAAGCCAAATCAAGCTTTGTCTCTTCTAATCTGCAGGGGTTACTTCATTTCAATTATAGAATGATTTTATCAATGTTTTTATTGTCACTCGAGTTTGGCTTTGTGCTAGAAAGTGATATGATTATTATGCCTAGCAGAGTACTAGCATGATAATGAGGTGTGAAATGATACTAAAAGAAGATGTGATTTGCACTGTTTGCAAGCTAAAATCCTTATCACTGGAAGTAATTAACAATATAGTTATTGCTATTATTAGGAAACAGCTACTATTATTATGAGAATAAAGTGAATGTTACGAGGCATGGAAATTGCAAAGGTCACTATCTCTTTGTGTGAATACATATGATAACTTGACAATGACATCGTTTAGTTTTTTATTTTTTAAAAATTTAAGCAAAATATTATGTTTCAGTCAATTCTCAGAGTATAATATGGATGGTGTAAAGGCAAATAAATTGAACATAACTGGTTCTTTTAGCAAGAATCTATAAATTAACTTGTATGATAAAATTGATTGTGAATGGCATAAAAGCACTGTCAGTCCATTGGAAGTCAAATCTTACTTGGGTCAAAAGTTTGTTTTCATTACCTGTGAGCTCTCAAATATATCCTTGCATTAGATATGGCATGGAATTGGCAGGGGAATTGGGAAACAGCTACTTACTCCCCTAAGTATCATAGACATTTCTACATAAAAGATTTGGTGATATCACCTCTTAGTAGGTCCTCTCAAAGCAATAATATGGCCATCTGGTTAAATTGTTAGTCAAACCACGTTGAGGGTTCCTATTTTTGAAGTCAAATTCTTATCAACAAATTAAACAGGAATATCCATGTGTTGACTAGTTTTCACTTGTTGATTATCATGTCCTCTCTTTTTTAAGCCTCTCAATACCTTACTAAGTGGGCAGCACGTGAAGACAACAGAGCGATACAGGTAAGAACAAAACTGGTCTTATTGAGTTATTTACTAGTAACTGTATATCTTATACTGCCTATGATATTTTAATAGCTGCCCTGGAATACTTTGTACCAGTCAGACAAACGAAAACTGTCATGTGACACTTTTTGATGACCATGGCTCTTTGACCAGGTTATCGGGGGACTGCCTTAATTTAGATTGTTGATGTTTTTTAAAACATTAAAATAACTTCTGCTTTTGAGAATTGCTCTTCTTGAAATTCCTAGTTGTTGAGGTCTGGTTTATCAAATAACCCTGAGATACTAACACAAAAAATGTGTGTATCATTTCTTTCATTTCCCCAAACAATGAAATGCAATTCTTTTGAATGTTTCAGGATGTTTCCAGTCAAATGGAAGAATTAAACATGTTGTGGACAGAAGCTCAGAGGGAGTTTGCAGGTATCTTATTTGCCAAAAAAGTAGTGAACTTATATTATAGAACCAATATATATACAAGTTTGAATTAGTGTATAAGCAATGTATTAAGTGGTGCACATTTTTTTGTACATGATGTTACAACAGTTAAGTGGGAAAGGGTAGTGTTTAATAAGTTCTCAAGTTCTCGTCTAAAACATGTATTAAGAACTGAAAGTACATTGTGCATTGTTATGATGAAATATATGTCAATATGAGTAAAGCGAGTTTGATATCTAAACAGCATTGATTGTGCCACAATGTATAACATAAGTTTAATTTTTGTCTTGTAGAACACTTAAAGGAATTCAAACAAATGTTTGACATGATTCTGGAAGGAGAGAAACATGTGGATATGTCGAAGAATAATTTGGTTTGTATGAAATTTTTCAGGATTATTAATACACCTGACAACTTAGGTCATGCAGTAAAAAATGTGTACAGCTTATTATAAAGAAAGGATGATTTATAAATGGGTTTTACAATTTTCTTTTATCATGAAATTCCACAGCTCATTTCAAGAATATAAAAAATTGGTTATTTATTGGCTTAACACCAACTCATTAAATATATCTGGAGACATTTTGATTTAACTTCTTTTTCTAATTTTATGCAGGGTGCATGTGAACTACGAGAGACTAAAATCAAGAAAGAGCTGAAGAAAGCTGCTAAGGTGGGATAATTTTGCTACCAGAAAATACATTTTTTGTCTTTCTCTTATTTTTTATAAGAACTGAATTTTAATATGTCTTGTAACCTCTTTTGATAGAATTGTTTCATTTCTGTTTTTTACAAATATTGTTAAATTGAAAGCAAAACCATGAACTATTTTTAAATTACTGTCAAATCTTGTTTTACTGCTACTATAAAATATAAAAACTTTTAAAACTTTAAAATTACAGAAATCCACCACAGAGGAACTTCGCCAACTTGAAAATAAACTTATGCAAGCAGAAAGAGCCAAGAATTTAGCACAGCTTGAAGGTAAGTACCATCCTTTTTTTAAATTTTTTTATGAAATTTGTTTTAAGAGTAGCTTTTAGTGCAGTAGAGTGTTTTCTGATGTGTTTAAACTTTTATTTTTTTAGAGGGTTTCAAGCCAATAATGTGTTGCTGTCTAAAAAACAAGTATTTACAATTAAAAAGATGCATTGAGTATTTTAATGAGAGTTACTTATTCTGTGTTTATTTCAGTCACAGACAGGTTAAGGGAGAATGAGGCTGTGAAAATCATAAGATATAAAGAGGGCATGTTGAGACTCTCTGAAGCATATGTGGAACTTGGAAGAAAGTGTGCAATTATCTTCGAGGCTCAAAGGGTGAGTGATTTTTTTTTTTTTTTTTTTGTATGGTTCAAGTGTGAAAGGAATGTTTAATCTAGCACATTTTGAACCCCTTCATTGAACTGAAATAAACTGTAATAAATCATTACAAGTATGTTAAGGTTTGAAGTGAGATTTGTCATAAAGTTTTTCTTGAATATTAAAATGGTCTTATTTTCATAGCCAAATGATGAATTTGCTGTGGTATCACTGAAATTTTAGTGTTACTTTGTGTCAAGTCTGCATTGTGAATTGAAGATGGGCCTAGTACTGTTTTTGTGTGTGACCGCCAAGAAGTTACCCTAGAAACTTTGATCTTATCCTCATTTCCCATTACAGATAAAGTGAGATTATTTATATAAGTGATAGTTTTGATTTCTGTTCTTAGGATATGGCCCATCAGTTGCCTGATGTCCACGACAGAGAAATAGAAGATATCAAATATACAGGTGAGCATTTATGACCGCTTGATACTCGGGTATGGTATTTCAATTTTGCTTCTAATTTCTTGTACGATCAATACATCTCATTTGTATTACATATGCTAAAAAAAACTTAACAAAGGAAGTGTTGCAATATTCTTTGTCTCATGTAGGAATTCTCTCGTTCCAGGTTCAGGTGCTACTAGGAAATTTGTTATGGAGGCTAAGGAAAAGGTGCGACAATATAGAAGACAGTCTCACAGACTTCAACCTCAACCTACAGTAGAGCCATACACAGGTAATTGTATGATAGGTGAAAAGTGTTATGAGAACAAGGTAACAAGATGTGAATTATGAGAACAGTATCAAGGTTTTCTTTTGTGTTTTTGTGAAATTCTTTTGATTGTCGTCTTCAGACATTAAAGCCTACTTGCTCCTCAGGACACCAGAGTAAGAAATCACTTGTTCAAAGCAGAATTAAAAGCCAACAATGGGATAAATTTCCCAAATTATCCTGGTCTGGCTTCAGTTTTAGTGGCATTTGGCTTGGGGCCAGTATTCATGTGGAAGACATTTGTTAGTGCATCAGTTAATACATTTGAAGGTTTCAGTTCACTTACTGATGTGTATTTTAATTTATTCCTAGGTCTCTTTGAAGCACCTCCTCCTTACTCTGCCATAGACCTCTACCAACAAGATTTGCCACCCACAGTCACAGGCAGATCACCAGCAAGGCAAAAGAGGCAAAAGCAAGAAAAAATGCAACGAGAGGTGCCCCAAGAAGAGCACCATCAGCAACATCAACAAGAACAACAACATGAACAGTTAGAGGAGCATTTTCTAAATATTGAACAAGACTTACCCTTAGACTCTGCTAGGGTGCCATCATGGAACTCTTATCCAGGGAGTGATGGTGAAATAGATGATTTGGCCGGTGCCATGGGAGGTGCAAAAATTTAGGATATGAATTCTTTATACTTTGTAATTATTAGCACTCATTATATTTTGAATATCTTGAACACTGTCAGTAGGTGGCATTTTGCTATTGACAAAAAGTGAGTGTTTTTCTGTTTACACCCTGCTATAAAGATCTGAGTTTTGGAACATCATGCAAATAGAATTGCCTGATTATCATGAAATCTTTTGAAGTTGTATTTGTGTTACACAATATTAACACCATCTATTTGCCCAAAGTCTGACAAGGTTTTATTTACTCTGATTTACGTGCAACAACAACGTGTCAAACCACCTAGGAATCCAACAATTTCATCCTTTTTGTAAGAGCTAGTAATAAATTGATTGGGATTTTTGATAAAAGACATGAAAACAACAAGAACAGTGAATAAATGCTACTATCTTGTTATTTACATGTGAAGTTTTCAGCAATTAAATTAATTATAGAGATTGAATTTTAAAGGCTGATAAAAGTATGGATGGGAACTTTTCACCTTTTAAGGTGTTTCCTCTTACCTGTTTTAAAAAAGAAATTGATGAGTATGGTGTGAAATGTTCTAAAACTGAAGATTAAGGGAGATGCAAAGGGTTTACTTATTGTAATAGCCTGTTCTGTTCCCATCCATTGTGAAATGTTCGCAATGATAAGATTTTCAGAGAAAGCTTTTTTTTACCTAGGTCAATAAGTTATGTTCTATCTCATACTTTAAATCACTGGAGCATTTGTTATTATGGACAATAAATAGGGAGTGGGGAGTAGGGGGCTTAATGCCTCTGTTGTTAAATGCACATTTTATGGTTCTTTTATATCTTTTAATGGTGAACGTAGACTAATTATTATGCACTTATGTGTGGCACTAGGGTTCAAATATGTTTATCCAATGCACTTCCAGTTGCAGAAAGTGCAGCAACATTATTCTGTGAACTGGATTGTGGAACAAGTGGAAATTAAAGAAAAAGTGTGGATGCTTTTGTGTTGTGATGTTACCAGTATCTGGTATGTGCAATGAGCAGTGGAAATTGTCATTTATCTGTGAAGACATTAGGTCTGGATTTTTATAATGGATCCTTGTGCAATTGTTATCATTGTGTAAGCTGCATACTGATTATGGGATCTTCCACTTTTTAGGAGAATTGCTTTTCCCTTTAACAATGATTGGTATATCAAGTAGACTATAGAGATCTGTATTACTTTTGCTAACACTGATTGTGACATTCACACCTGTGTGTAGAAAAACTTGCCCTACAGCCAGGTATGTTTTGACTGTATTATTATTAAATCGACTACAGAAGATGTAGCAATGTATTGTACAGCAATGTACAGTAATATTATATTTTTTGTAGTACATATTAGTACTATATAATCCTAAATAAACACTTTTCAAATTATTAGTCTTTAATTCTCACTAAAATACAGAGAACAGCCCTTCCTACTCTCTCCTTTCTGAGCTGCCTGCAAATTTCTCTTTTGAGCAACTTTTTCTCTCAATGGGTGCCATGAAAAAGGACTCCCATTTTCTGTGTTAGATAGGTTTATGGGTAAAAATAAAGGGTCAGATTTTAATATTGCTAATATTTGTTGTCGGTGCATCTGTTACTGGGTCTAAAATTGCACCTCAGCCTTGAGCACATCTTTAAAAAATTTCAATTCCAAAAAGAATAATAAGATTATTGCACATGGTTTATTTTCTTTTCACACACAACAAACAAACTTTTCAGACACCGTTATTTTGACTTCTGTTAATCATGCCTGTGTTCAGCAACATCAAAGTCACTTTTTCTCGAAATGACTCCTCTTACATACAGAATCATATCTTTCATAAGTTAACACGAGTTACGATTGGTTTGTATGATACAAAACCAATGAAGTACTAGCCTCATTCGAGCCCTTGTTTGTCACATTTGTCTTTAGCTATAAAGAAAATGTTGCAAAAAATTCCACGTGCCGTGGAATTACAGCATGCACAACAAACTGACCACATACATGTACAAATGTATAAATAAAAGAATGTTCAGCTTTCTTGACACAAATTATATCAGGTTTGAAAATGCCCTTTGGACATATCATTACATTATATTCCTTTAACTATGTAACTCTGAACTTTGATAAAGAACTGAGATACTTCACAGACTCCACTGCTTCTTTTAAATTATACACCATGTCTGGGCTGTCCATGATCATTACATCAAATGTTCTTAGAAAATGCCCATTGTTAAGATTATCAGCATTGAATAGAGTGCATATTAATCTCCATATCTATAAACTGGACTGGGACTGGTTGCTGTTGCCTAAAATGCTAGTGTGTCCTTGATAAACTTCCTCATGGTGTTGCTGACTGATGCAGACTGTGGTCCTGTGGTCTGGTGTGAGATCTATTACGGAAAAATATAACATGATTACATTTCAAAATGAATACTGTACAGTATTTTAGACAAAAGACATAGATGTATCTTACTGTTATGATAGTGTTTGTTTTGATGAAAGAGAAATGTGGGGAAAACCTATAAATCTCATATGTCTTTATTTTCTGACTTGTTAAAATATTTCCTTTAAAATCTTATTGTTATTCATTGCTTTTCTAATGGAAGATTTTGAGAACGTAGCAGTAAGTGTTCATAAAAATGACATTATTTTTCATCGTTATCACAAGTAGTTGCTTTTCACAAAATGTACTTACTTTAAATAAATATGGTTGTACATCCTGGAAGTTTGTATCAAACACCAAATCCAGTTCCGATTGGTTTGGCATCTTTGGAACATATTCATGTCTGTTCATGACATCAGCTATGTACATAATCTTTTCACTAAGCAGTTCCCCAACCTTTTCTCTATGTATCTGCCTCTCTGATTAGAAAAGAGACATATTATAAATCATGGGGTGAAAGGCAGATATAAAAATACTCATAAAACTAATAAATTAAAAAAATTGGTATGCTTTCCTCCTGCAAATTTCAAAATGTGTGTAAATGATACACATCTCTTTTTTAAGTGATTCATAATTAGCAATTTCTTAACTTCATAATTGTCAATTTGCGAGTGAGTTTGTAACAGGTGGCCAAACTGCAATAGAGTCTTCAGGCACTTTTTACATTGAGGTTTGTCTTACATACTCCCTAGCCTGAGTTTTAAGCCAGCTTCTTCATTTTTAACATCAATGCATGCTCATTTGTCACATTTCGATTACTGATCTCAGTGCTCTTTGAAATTCACTGCACCAATCATTTATGTCAACTGTGTCACACAGAACCAAGAAATCCAGATAAATTGATGCGCATTTGAAATTGGTGAGGTTAACTTCAATCAAACTTATTGCTGAATGTCAGAGGTCGATAAGGTTATGCGAATGGAGGATTGCAAACAAAGAAGCTGGCAACCATAAGACTTGAATCTCATTGGTAACTATAACTCACCATGTTCATTAGCCAGACCAATTATGTCCAGTTTTAAGGTCCACACCTCCCAAGGTATGCATTCAGCTGGGAAAGGCCACCTGGCACGCTTCTTCTGGTAAAATTCTAAGGAAATCTACAGAGAATGAAATCTGTTAGGTATCCATACATGCAACAATTACTAGTACTTTGACCATGAGACACTTATTAAAGAAATGACAACAACTTTACTGTACAGCGCAGTTTGAGTTGGGATTCAAAAGGCGGAATATGAAAAACCCATGGTTAAGCAAGGGTGTAGGACATTTAAATTTTTCAGAATTATTTTACATAGTTCTGCCATGTGTCAGGAAAGGAAGAACAAAGGTTAATTAAGTAGTCAGAGAAAAAGACCATTTACCCAAGGAAAAATTGTTTAAAAAATATGAGTTCTATCTCATGTTAAAATATTAGTCTTAAATGAGATATGCCTCCACATGCATACTGAGCTTAGCTTGTGACATACAGCCTTAAAAGATGCAATCTATTTGTTCTCAAAATCAGTCAAAAACAAATGCACATGGGAAAATCTTAAATTGTGCATCTTTGAGCATTACACCTATTATTCATATTTTCTGAATACCTGTAACTTATTTTCTGTGATGCATTGTCATATGAAATGACATGGTATGTTATGACATGACATGATAGTGTGCACTGCAATAGCTTACCTGTCCACTAGTAGCATTCTCATTATTTCGTAGAGCATCTCTAAATGCTGCCATTTCTCTCTTAATAGCTTGGTCTATTTCACTCGAAGCCGCACGGACCTATTCCAAGCAGAATTCTAATTTCAAATTTGCCTTTTTTTATTTTTAATTTCCTTATAGAAGAAAACAGCAAGCTATGGTTTATATTAAGTTTGTGCAAAAAATCCTACTTCAAAATATTTTGTCTTCAAATATAATTCCATCCATACTCACATATGTAAAATCTACAAAATCACAGTCTACATCCACCATTCCCACTGTACCAATGGAATAACTGCCCTCTGCTTTATAGCGGAACTAATAATATAAAGCATAAAATAACTTTATCATCAAGTAATTATACTTTAAAATAAGAAAATAATATAAACAAATAAATAAAAACAATTGACACAAATATGCATTTCAACATTTTAATGTTCGCATAAGCCATCACCCCTACTTACATGATTGAAGACTGACATTTTTATCTTCCACAAACCTGCACAGTATACTACATAATTATAAATAATAATTTGCAAAACATTCTCACATGAAATAAAATACATATTATACACACTAATTACTTAGAAGAATTAACCCATTGTAGCCCTCGTCATCAAAACAAACGGCAGCCATGCTGGAGGGAGACCGGAATCGTCTGCTGCGCATGATCATGTCTACATGTACAATTCAGTATTTTATTTTTGTGTTTTCTTTGATATTAAACCGAGTAAAATGATGAATTACTGCAGGGTATATGATAGAGAGAAGATAACTAACTTAACAAGCGTTCACAGACTGCCTGCAGTGGTAACAATCCAAGGTGTAGGGACGAAAATCGTAAACAGAGGAGAGACCGAGGAGTGGCTTTGAATCAAGACTCATTGGACAAGTAAAGGATAAAACTAATTTATTTTACAGCAAAGAATGAAGACCCAGCAGTGCAGCCTTTACCATAAAAGAAAAAAAAGTAGAAAACCAAAGACCGGGGGGTAGAAGTTTGGAGCGCACGTACACTGCATGTTACTAGTGCCCAAAAAGTTTGGGTGGAGAGTGTGTTGTAAAAACGTGTGGAAATACCCAGGCAAGGTTTCGACTTACATTATAAAGGCTCTCTTCATTGGCTTGGATGTAATTTGTTATCAGTTATGGTGCTCTTTGGATTTTATCTGCTGTCATCTACCTCTTTAATACCTGGTTAGCATTATTGTCAATTAGTGTCAAGGCTACAGTACAATGTACATTTGTACACAGCTCAGCTGGCCCAATTAAATCAATTACCTGTGTCATGTGTATTTGGAAGTTATAGTGGCTTGATTTTAGATTTGGTGTAGTGTTAAGAGTAAATCTGTTTTGAAAGTATATATTCTAACTCAGGTATCATTTAATTGAAATATAACTAAATGAAATAAATTTGAAAAATGTTAAATTCTGTGTTTTCCTACTGTATTTCAAGTTACAATATGAATAAAAATAACTATTGTTACCTTTTTTTGTTAATTTACATTTAGGAAATTGATCTGGCATTTTCCCACCAAGCCACACTGAATGATTGGGTGCAAGTAAATCTTGATTATCAAAAAAAAAAAAAAAATAAATAATAAATAAAATAAATAAAAAAATTAAAAAAATAAAACAGGTGACAGGTACAAAAGGCAGCTAGATAGCACACAAGGTAGAAGCAGCAAAAGAATATTCTTATATCTTTGTGACCAGCTGAGGAGACAGGATCTGAACATCAGGAGAGTGAAATTCAGTGCATGACAAGAGTTTTTTAATTGGATTTGTTTGTTTATTTAATTGTTCATTTGTTGTTTTAAAGTTGTTATCCTGATAGCTTGCAAACAACAAGGATAGGTATTCTATTTATTTAGAATTGTGAGCAGAAGCACAAGAAGAAATGAAAACACTTTTTCTTCCTCATATTTTTAAAGGCTAAATGGAAAAGTTTGCAAGAAATATAATACTTTGTATGCTGCACTTCTCACAGATGGTCTGATATGAAGAAACAGATGGCTGTCCTGTATCAAGAAAAGATTTAGCTCTTCTAGGTTGCGCATTTTTTAAATTTTGACCACCAGTTGTGGAATTCTCCTAAATGAAATTACAAACTGCTTAGTAACACCATCTAAGGACTTATATGTACATACCTACCTACACACAATTATTGCACACAGCACACATCAATTGTGAGTCTTCAATCAAGCATTTCTCTAGACATAGATAAAAATATACCAAACAGGTTTCACAGATTATGGTGACTTGATTTGACTTAATATGCTCATGTACATGTTGCATTGCATCATTAAAAGTATAGAAATATTTTTCATGTCAGTGTTATCAACCAAAAGGAAAGGGACCCTGATAATCTGTCATTGAATTGTGCAACAATGTCAACAATGTTTTGCATTTTATGTTAACTTTTATTTATACAAAAAGTGCATTTTCCTATATTTTTAATCAAATGAAGATCAATTCATGAACTGACTTGTTGTTATGCTACATTGGATATCACAAATTAATAAGTTTGAAAAATCCCTTGCTTCTGTGAATGTCTGGACTAATAATAAAATGTTGCTAATGTGAATGGTTGAATTCATAATAAAATGTTGAACTCTCAAACAACAGCCATGTTACATGTACTTCCTAATGATCCAAAATGAAGTACAAGAATGCTGAAATAATTTCTGACAGCTTCATGCTGTTCAGTTAAATCATATCTGACAGCAATATTTCTTGTTATAAGACAACCCTGCATACTGTCTTCTTTGAGTCCTGAAGGGTCGATCACAATGGTCAGCTCAAATTTCTCCTTACATCTATCCTTTATGTAAAAAGTTGCTTCTATGAAAGGTTGAACTTATGATTACACATTAAACTCTCTAAAACTATAACTGTTATTATCCAGTGAACAAGAAAAATGAAGTACAAGATAACTGAACTAGCTTCTGACAATTCCACGATGTTGGGATAAATCAGGATTTCTTGTCTTTGGACTGTCCTGAGTTTATATGGGTCGATCCCGCTGATCAGCTGTAGTTTTCACATGTATATACACTCTTCCTTTTGGTGTACTTGATCGCGATATGCATTTTGGTTTATTTTATTTGGTTTACCTATATTTACACTACTAATCCCCCTAGTTCTTTCCCTCCAGAATGGCTGCTGGACTAGTGTTACGGAGCAAATATGACGTCACTGTAATGGGTTAATACATTTAAGTATGGTGTCACAGACAAAAAAATGATGTAACCATTATAAATTAGAATTATATTAACCTCACCTTGCCCAATGTTCTGTGGAAGAGTATTGTGTGAAATATACCTAGAGAGATGCAAAATGACTATAACATATGTTAACTAAACAACAATATGAAAAAGTTTTCATAGTTTAATACATTCAATTTAAAAGAAAAATATCCTCCTTCTCATTTATACTTTTCCTAAATGGTATAAAACATGAACCTCAGCAATACAATAATTAATGTGATTAAGCAGTTATTTAACCTATCAAAAATGTAACTCACTTGCTACCACTTCATCAATCTGCCGACCTTCAACAGACTGTAATATGGAAAGTTAATATAGAAAATACATCTGATTCAATAACAAAAAAAAAAAAAAAAAAAAAGCATATATCTGTACTAGTACCTTGTCATACTTAATACCGGAATCAAGGTATTTACTGGAATCAACTGGAATCAAGACTTGAATTACCAGAATCAACAATAAAACATATTTATATTTCTTCTTTAAGCTGAGCTTATTTCACTGAGTTTGTCTTATTTAGGCTTTAAAAATAACTCGTGTTGATATTCTGACAAAATATACAATGTGAAATGTACATGTACATAATAAGGTTGCTTTCAGTAATTTAAAACTTGCATCTGGCTGATTCCTATAAATACTTTGATAACGGTTACTAGTAGGATCACCTGGACAAGTAGATCAGGAAATTAGTGATCAAGCACTTCTTAAGAATGTTCAGGCAAAATTTGCTTGTAAAAACCCATCACTTGTATGTGTCTGCATGCCCATACATTAATCTCAATGCTTATTATTTATTTATGTATTCATTAATTACAAAATAATAATAATAATTATTATTATTATTATTAATATTATCTTATTCGCTGTATTTTCTAAAAACAAGACTGATGCTAACAAAATGAAAATCAATTTCATGATGATTCACTCATTGCTACTGCTCGGTCATGGATTTCATTTTGAAGTATTTGAGTTAAGGGTACCATTTCTATGCAGTTAATCACATTTCCGCTTAATTAGTGCAGATTTTGCTTATGATCTGTAGTTGTAGTTGTCTGGGCAAAGGAATTAAACTTATTTTTACTAGGGTCAGGGCTATATTAATATGATTACACTGTATCACTCTAGAGCAGTTTCTATACCAAGAGAGACTTACCAACTCAAATATCTGTGACCTTGCATTCATGTTTTCTGTATGAATAGCTCGTCTTCACTATTTCATCACATACTGCAAAATGTTGGTGAAATTATTAGAAGAAATTTTGTTGTTTTGGTACCACTCAAAGTTACACACTCGTTTTAAATGTAGTTTTATAAAAATCCTATTCTTAGTTAATTTATTGTTTTCAACAAAAAATCAAATAAAACAATTATTTTATTGTAAACATTAGAAAATATACAGTAATTAACGTGCATTATATGAAATAAGCAATCTTGCTAATAAAGGCGACTACGAAACTACTTACAATCAACTAAGATAAAGTAGGTCAGGTAGAGGTCACACTTTTTATCCGTGTGTAATTGTTGAAAATTTGCCAGAAAAGCTGGTTACATATTTGCGTACGTAGATATTTATTATAAAAGATAAATATAAAGTTGCCAATCAATAGGAAACTTATCAGTAATATTTGTTTCTTTTTCTGATATATCATTTTACATTTATCAAATGAAAGATACACAGGGGAGACTGTATGCCTATTGGAAGAGCCCAAAGTTATCGGGGGTGTGCTTTCCTGGTTCACCGTAATATTATTTATTGCTGCGAGATCCGTAAGTAGTCAAATGCGGTTTCTTTTTGACAAATCAATCGTAAGAAGGTTTTACTGTTCATGATATGATTGAATGTAAATTAAAAGGACTGAATCAGAAAAACTGTGCAAGAGTAATTTTGACGCAAAACACGATGTTTTAAGACTAGTCACCGCTTACCGCTTGCTTCTTAAGTTATTCTTGCTTAGAAGAATGAATTGAAAGTGGTACAATTTTTCATTACTAAAAAAGTGTAAGGAAAATTTTTTGTAGTATTTAACTTTCCAGGTATTAGAATTACATTGGCTTAAATATAAACGGGGGCATTAACTTATCGTGTTTATTTTCAGATTAATGTATACAACTGTCAGATTTTGTTTACATACAATTTTTCGTCCGCATTTAACTCACCCAAGCTTATTATGAACTAGAAGAGTAGCATGCTCACATATTGATAATAGATTTTCGTTAGGAGTGAATTATTTCTTGCAACCTCATTTTGTTCTGATAACTAAAGAAAAAGCATGTTTATGACATTGATTTAAGAGATATGTTGGTCATATACAACTATTGTGATTGATTAGTAATGTCTAACTTAAATCTATTTTCAAGTTTAAGGTATCCTATCCAGGTTTTCCTTGCAAAATTTAATTTTCCTTGAGAAAAAAGCATGCAATTTTCTCCTGTTTATACTAATCATTGATTGACCCATCTTTGCTCATGGATTTGATGTTTTATACCATTTCTTATTAAGTAAATCATTTCTTAATGTCTGGCCAGATGTTTAGACTACCATGCCTTTCTGCACATTTCAGAATAAATATCAGCACCAAAACCTTTTTTAAATTGATTCATCCTTTTTAAAAGGTCTGCCTTGGGAAGGATACGTCGCTTTGCAGGATATGAATATATTCAACATTTTCAAATGCAAATAGTATGCCTTAAAAACAAAATAGTTTTCAAAAAAAGGTAAAGAACTTGAAATATGAGATCAAGCATGGAGACTCATGGCATGAGGAGTAATTGAAATTTGTATGTCCCAAACAAAAATTAAAAAATATGATGTATTATATGCCTGACAGTAGAAAAATAGAATAATATTTTTAACAAACTGATATGCAGTGACTGAAAATAAGCATTTCAGTGCTGAGTATAAAGGCAATTTATGGAATCCAGGAGCTAGAGGAACAGATTTTGAATAGGTATCTGTGAATGTATGGATTTACATATTGGTTTACTATCACTTAAAAAGAAGCTTGGGTTTACCTGAAGGATAGTATAATTAGCATGTAATTGTGTTCAGTGACCTGTCATGGTCACTGGTTTTTACAAATCACCATGTTGATCCAGGTCTGTTATGTTACACTCCAGAGTAATACATGATTCTCTTCTTTTAATTCATTTTGAAATATTTGTCACTTGGCACTGTCAGATCATTTTTGTTTTTGATATGCTTTCATGGTGTTATTTGTCATTGCTCATATTTATGTTTGATTAAAATGACAGATTTATGTATCCAAGGTTAATATTAATACATATTTTATGCTGAGTGCTAAAGATAATATACCTTTGCAATGCAGAGTGAGCAATATTTAACAATACATCTATCTACCATTGATTTGATGGAAGGATATAAAAATGGGACCCTTATATAATGTCCAGTGCATTGGTACTATTTATAAATAAAAAGTATTTACCTGCCTTTGTCTGTTATAAGTACAGGGTAAATTTAAGTCCTTTGTGAAAGTACTAGTATGCACACTGTGAGCTCTTTTTTGTTATCTGATAATATTTACTTCAACTAAATAGTATTCTCTCCCATTAGTAACTGTTAATTATAAATCAGTATGTTTTTATATAAACTCAAGCTTTCAAGTAGTGATAATGTGTCGAAAAAAGTATACTGTTTCTAACCACTGTGCCTCTTGCCAGTGTTTTATTCAGCTGAACTGAATTTGATATTTTTTGGAAGCTAAATATTTAGAACTGAGCTCCCATGGTGGGTGTAATTACAGAGCCTGAGAGGTGAGTTAAAGGTGTTATATTGCTTCCTGTCTGGTGGGCTATATTAAGATATCACTATGTTGCTGTTAATTTACCCTGATAATTAAGCCTTATCCATTTGCTTATTACAGTAGGAAGAATAATGATGATAAATAATTATGATTTAAAAATCCCAATGCGCTTTACAAAATTCATAAAAAAGGGAAAAAATGAAAAGAAAGGCAAAGTGACTGGTTAGTCAACTTATTGTGAATTTAGTACAGAAACTAAAGTGAACTCATGAAGTGAAGAACTCAAGACAAAAGATTTAAGAAGTGAAAGTAAAAGACGCGAGTCATAAAATGAAAAGAAAGGCAAATTGACTAGTTAGTCAACTTATTGTGAATTTAGTACAGAAACTAAAGTGAATTCATGAAGTGAAGAACTGAAGACAAAAAATTTAAGAAGTGAAAGTAAAAGACACGAGTCATAAAACGTGCTGATCTTTGTTAATTCAAGGAGTTATAACTCCTTGGTTAATTGTACATTGGAGATTTGCAAATGTATGAACTAAAGGTATCGAAACTTTGGTGTTAAAACATCTAATTGTGGCTGCATTTAAAATTTCCCATGTGTATTCAGTGTCCAAATCCTTATTTAGTATTCCACTTGGTGAAAACTTTCCATTTTAAAGATAGTTTGGTACAGTGTCTCACAGTCTGATTTGTTTAAGATAACTCTTTGGAGCTTGACATCTTGACATTGTGGCTCATGAATGACACCATTCTTCTTGTTGTTTTTTTTAATGGAATGCATGTACTAGTACATAGTGGGTCCAGGTGTTCAATCTGTCATTATCAGAAATTTATGTGTTAGATTTTGACATAAAGTTTAAAAGAAGAATGCAGCATACTTGGTCTCACTATTTGGAAATTAGAATCCAGTTTTTAAGATTTATTCACAAGGACTGTTGATCTTGAGTGTATGTTCCAGAAATCTTGTAAGTTTTATGAGCTGCCTGCATCTTATGTGTTGCACATATGAGATTCAAAGTTGTGTCAGCTGGATAGGTAAGAGCAGTAGGTTGAAAGTCTGTGTATAGGTGTATAGGTATGTGAAGTAACCAGCAAGGTAGTGCTAATCTGAACAGGTAAGCCAGTAAATACAGACCTTATTTAGAAACTTAAATGTTATAGAGAAGTTCCAGATGGAATCATTTAGTTTAAGTTTTTTGTAAACATCCATGTCGGTCTCATGCTTAATTGTACAGTTTAATACTGCAAACGGATGCCACATGAAATTCTGATAGAATACCTGGTATTGAATTAGATGCCATAAGGTGAAGTATTTCTAGTGTGCTCAATGTGCTTGCAGCCATTAGCTGTATTTTCCATTTGAACTGTTAACAATGAGTAGAATTTTGTAAGGTTATGAGGGTTGTGTAGTAAATATCACTAGCTCTGGAGTAACACCCGTGGCTTGCACAGGTAGTATGTATATGTATGTATGGTCTGAGGGTGTGTGGTAAATGGTTAACTATGCATTGCCACCTGGAGATCAAACCCCGTGTCTTGATTCTCTGATACAGGAAAAATAAATGAGGTTGCTTACAACTCCCAACCAGTGGAGCAAAGTGAATTCAGTGTATGACCTAATAAGGAAGCATTAATTGTATAACCTTTCCCATAGATGGTTGTTGAACTTCCTCCTGATTTGTTTGAGCTAGCTCAAGTGAAGTCTGGGAGACAAGCTCGATAGAAGAAGAGATTGACGAACATTTCACAAGTTTGTAAGACTGACAGTTGCTGGGCTGTTCAATAGGACTTTTATTACCATTCATATAAATTTGCCCTAAAGACTGGGACTCCTTTTAAACATTGCATGTGTGAGTCATCATTTTATCTCGTCCTAATACCAAAATCAATACTGGTGTGCTCTCTTTTCTGTCTGCTGCTAAATAGCTAATACATGTAAGTGGAGGGGCTTTGTTCTTTTTGGAAAAGAAATATTGCCACAGAATTGATATGATAGCAATACTATGGTTAAAAGACAACGACTGAGATCATTGGAATGGTCATGCAACTTCATGATTGGTTAATATTACTCCATAATAATGTCAGTGGAATACTGATGTATACCAGGTCTAGCTGTTCTTTCTGACAGAGGAATACAATGCAAAGGCAATGAAAACAATGAAATGGAATGCCAAAGTGGTTTTCTAATGGTGTGCTGAGTTAATTTTTCATGAGGTTAACTATGGCAGGGTATGATTAGATGAAGGCTTTTACAGGTAATAATGTTCATCAGGTTAATGACAGTCTACAGGGCCGGTCTGGTTGTTAGCCATTTGTCTGTGCATGCTAGATAGTTCAAGCATTTTGCACTTGGCACACATCTTACTGCCTCATTAGAAGTGATGACATTATGTCTGACTACTGGTGCAATGAAGCTGAGTAGGTAAGAAACATATAGTGACCTTGTCTGGGTGGGCAATCATGGTAATAACATCTACATTCCTTGGGTCTTTGGCTGTAAAAGAAGTAGGCATTCTTTAAAGGATCCGAGTTAAGATAAGAGCTGGCTCAAGGATGCAAAATAGAAAATAGCAATATGTATTTTAAGAGATAACCAGTTTATTTGTTGTAAAATAATTGTAAAATTCTCCACATTTTCATGAGCAGTTGAAAAAACATTCCTTTTGGCCTGTCAAAATGTCGTCGACTTGGTTGCCTGGCTAGAGTTAACATTTATTCATATTTTAAGAATGCCAGTACAACCGTGTGGATTCAGATTGCATGGCCTGATTTATTTATATCTGTAGGTAATGACACTGGGTTGGAATAAGGTGTTATATTACCTAATGTAGATATGATTTGGTATCTTTATCAATCTGGTACTGGTTATTTTACCAGATTAAAGTACATAAAGTAAATCATTAATGTACTGGTTACTTAAAGATAAAAACCACATTTGCAATTCTATTTGGTTCCAAGTGGTCATAAAATTTCAACTTGAGATATGCTGTAAATTACAAGAAATTGCAAATTGTTCGTGCACCTCTCAACTAGAACTGTACTACATAGATTGTAGTTGCACCTTAGTGATAAACTGATACAGTGTAATTAGGAAGGTTACAATGTGTTAGACTTAGTACAAGTAGATAAGCATGATTTGATCCTAAAAGGCATACAATGCATGTTACATGGCAAAAAAATAACAACTAAAATCAAATCAAATCCTGGTAATTTCACTTATTTTTGTTTTATATCCAAGTTAACCTATCCAAAACCATTGAGAAAGTTACAATCTATATGCCCGTTTCCTAAATTTCTAGCTGAGCATTACAGTAGAAGTACAATCATAAAGGAAATTCACCAGTTTCTATAGACAAGGTTGATTCAAAAACTGGTGGATTGGAACCCAAAAGACGTACAGTGTTGGAACCCAAATATGGGTTAATAGGGTAAATTCTGTAAATGGTTTTATATATATATATATATATTACATTTCTCCAATGTGAAAATCTAACTTTCATTGTGTAACTTAGAAAAGTTTAGAGGTGGAAATAGATGGGATGCAGTGGAGGTGATGAGATAAGAATATAATAATATAGTATTATTATAATGATGATATAGAACTGCTCTATTTCATTTAGGAATAATAGTTAGGAAGTGTAACTTGATCACTGACCTCTATGATTTATTGACAGAAAAGCTGAATGTTGATAAAGCATGTACTGTTTGTTTTTACATTGTGTGGGTGAGCTTTGGTAAATATTCACAAAATTTCACCCTGTTTTTGCCCCTCATAGGTATTACAGTGTCGGGTGAAAAGATTATAAATTAAGGTGAAAGTTTATGCAAACATGACTGGCTTTAGATTTGGGTGCCCCTGTGAATAAGACATTACTTCAAACTTGGAAAAGGTTATGGATTTAAAAGGTTGCAAGTGGATTTGTTGCGACTTGTGTGACTTCTGCTGGGAAGCAAGGTGTGAGAGACTGGTGATTTAACACAGTGTTGCACTGTGGGTGTTGTTTCTCCTCATTTCATTCAATATATAGAATTAGGATGCTCACCTAAGCAGTTGAAATCGCCAAAGACTGAATGTCAGAAGTTAATCAGTATAACATGAATTTCATTCCATTTTATTTATAATCAGGGTGTAACTGCAGTGTCATTCCTGAGTAGTTAGGTGTCTACACAACACAAGTGCAGTATATTCGTGCAAGCATGGACATTGTTTACAGGTGGAACTCCAAAAATATTGAAATATTTAACCTTACATGCAAGGAAAGGTCAAACTGGGATTGCACTTTGATAAATGCAAGGAATTTGCCACAAGAGAAGTGGTGATTGTTTATAGTGGTATGAAATGATTGGAAATCTATTCAACTTCAATTGATATTTTCTGTAAGTGCCCTCTGCATGGATCCTTACAAATAACACATAGAAGTGGATACACTGCCCAGAAGGGCTACATAAAAACCTCATTTTCATTGTGGTTGAAAACTGCCCTTGTTATAAAAATGATAATCAAAAATGGTTATACTGGCACTCTTTTTCAGTTTTGGTGATATTAAAAATAATGATGATAATAATTCAATATATATGTTAGAATTAAGTAGCAGGATAGCAATTCCACAGTTTAATGCAGCAGTATTTTGATACAATGGCTGCTGACTACTACTAATTGATTTAGTACAAGTAGATGAAATTCTATCTTACCAGAGGAAATAGTGCGGTTAATGAAAAAATCTTTTCAAAAAAGATATCAAAGCAGACTTGTGCTACACAGTGGTGCTTCCTGGCAAAGGTTACACTGAGAGATTCAAAATATTTTAAACCTTGTCTTATTTCACAGTGAGTCATTCTATTGACATCTGCGCAATTTATTTTGGCAAACAAAAAACACCGCAGCCTCCAGTCGTCTTTGTAATATTAATGTCCTTCGTTGGATTTATTTTGTCGCCATGAATGTAGTGGTTGATATTTTTGTCTGACTTATCAAAAAACAAAATACAATTTTTTCATTCTGCTTCCAGATTTGTGAAACATTGAAGATTGTTGGTCGAATTCCTCACTAGAGGTCCAGTAGAGGTCATAGAGCTTTGGTCAGCAGATGGGCAAAGGACATTTTTGATAGATCTAGGGTAAGTGTCGTCTATCACTAGATTAATGTCCGTGCAGGTATCCCAAGGTCAGTGTACCTCTCAGACTGTTTTTTTAGACACGTCAACAAATTATTTTCTTCATCATTTTTCATACAGTGCATACACTAATGTCTGTTTGCGTGAAGGAAATTTCAGTCTGGCAGTATGGCTGGACATTAGCATCCAATGTTTATTGTTTCAAATGCAATATTTTTCTATACATTTTATCTACATCTTTCCTGTTTTAATTTTAATGTATTCCCCAGCTGACCTGATATGACTTGTTAAACCTGCTGCACAGTCTGTTTACCTGCACATATTTTAAGTGTGAGAAGGTATTTTTAGTCCTTTGAGTGGCAGCCAATAACATTTAGGCTGTAAGAGGATGTATGGTTTCATATATATGTATATAGAAAGAGAAGCACAAGTCAGATTTTTTTTAAGAATATGAAATGAAAAGTGAAAATTTATTTTATTGATCAACAATGTAAAAATAAGTTTTGTTTTCTGATTCTTTTTAAACCCTCAGCACAAAACCCTTTCACCATGTCCAATGTGGATGCACTTCTGGATTTTGATGAATCCCCCACATCTGCTCCCCCGGCTCAGAACGGAACAAGCAAGTCAGTGGATCCATTCGATCCTTTCGGGCCCAGTCCAACAGAAGAATCAGGAGATGTTGAGTTCCTTGTCGACTTTGGGGTTAGAGAATTTGAGTTAGATTTGTTCAATACTTACCATATTTTTGCATTCTAGCCAGTGGATACCTGAGAGTATAACAGCCAGTCACAATGTGATACATACAATGATAGCATGTTTAAAGCATTGACATTTATCTTATCATTCTTGTTTGTCTTTGCCATTCTACCTGGTTTTATTGCAATTTGCTTGGTACCAAATGTTACCACCGATACCCTTTACCATGTCCTAATGTTAAAAAAAGAGAAAAAACAGTAATACCTTAGATTTGCTCTCTGTAACAAGACACTAAAATATTATATGCAGTTATAACATTATCTGGGGTAGTGCTAACTCTCGCCAATTTAGCCAAATGCTAAAACTTAAATTGGCTTAACAAAATAGGGTTGATTTGACTTGTTTTCATCAAATTTAAACCATTTGTAGAAAAAAGGTGATGAAAATGTAGTAATTTGGTTAAATGAAAAAATTTGTAGCACCACCCCAGATTACAGTATTACTCTATTAATTGTGATATACATTTACACTAAGTTTGTTATTACCTTTCCAGACCTCTTCTAAAGACTCCAGTACGGAGCAACCACAGCCTCTCAACCCTTTGTATGACATGATGCACACCAATAACTCCCATAGTGAAGATCTACTGGTAGATTTTAATCAGAATGGAAAGCAGCAAGATTCACAGGAGTTTGAGTTTACCATTGAGACCTCTGCAACAGATGAGCAAGAAGAAGAAGGTAGTGACCATTATGAAGAACAGGAAGATGAGAGGGTAGAACAAGATGAAAGAGAGGAAGAACAGTCAGAAGAAGAAGAAGAAGAAGAAGAAGTAGAAGATGACAGTAGAGAGCCGGAGGTATCTTCAGGTGATGAGGATTCTACTGAGGTGGTACAGACAACCCGTCAAGAAGACGGAGAACTGGTGACAGAGACTACGACAAAGACGCGTCATGTTAATGAGGACGGCGGAGTGGTTATTAAAACAGAGACTGAGGTGATCACCACCAAGACCAGAACTGGGGTAAGTGTGAACAGAAGGTGAACTAGAAAGCAGGTGGGGGATATGTTTGAAAACTATTAAGTGTCAAAGGCTGGTAATGCAGTTATTTCATTATAGTCTCATCAGCAGTTAAAATTGGATGACGATGAAATAGAGCCTAAAGCAAGGGCAGTAAGTTCACAGTGATTCACAAAGACTCGAGATTTTCACCCAAATACACATAAAACCTCTGGAACATTTGAGTAATGAATCAAGCCACAGGGCTTGGTGATATAATCCTAAGCTGATACAAAAAATACACCAGAAGGTAATTTCTCATTTACATGACAAAGAATTATAAGCAGCATGACACAACATGATGAATAGAAATGAGCAGATGGTCTACTTCTCTCCTGTTCTCACAAAATCAATTGATTTTGAAAAACTCTTTGTTTGAACTTAATAAGATAATGCCCTTAGCACTGAGAAGGGTGATAAGTTTTTGATGATATTACATTACATCAGTTGTCCTGAATGCTTTGCAGGGAACACACTTGACAGCCAATTAAATAAATATTGATTTTTTGTCTGACTAAGTTTTCTGATTAAAAGCTTTATAGGAAAAAGCAAAATTACTCACCAGTGATGTTTCAGACAGCATCTGTACACAAGGGCTTTTGGGAAGTGCTGGTTCTCTTGCATCATGATTGCTAAATTTACTTTTGGGACTTATAATATTTTACTATACTAATAGTGCAGTCACTGTGACTTGTTTACATCTCTTATATAAAACCCATGAACTCTGACGGGGCTTGAGATCTTCCCCCAGCTTCACTTTGCATCTGTTCTTTTGCTTAAAATGGGAAAATAAGGGAAAGTATTTCTGAAATTATTTCAAACTTACTTGTGTACCCAATTAGTGCTTTCCTTTCAGCTGCCATGCTGTGCTGCACTGTTGCAAGGGGCTATGGTTTCATGTTCAACTTTTTCATGTGTTGTCTAGTGTTCCGTGTCTTTTGATTTCAAATGTAACGTACCACACAAGCTTTCATGTCTTCAGAAGGCAGAGGGATACTTCCACTCTGTTATAATTTCAATAAGCTTATGGAATATTTTCTAGAATTCCCAAGTAATTGCAAAGTTACATCTGCTACATGTACCACCTCGATTTGATTCGTTTTAGTTCAAATCCAATACATGGCAATAACACATCACACGTCTGGGATACCAACTGTTACATAGAACCATAATTATGGCCATAAGCTGGGAGATTTTTCTTTTAAAATATTGTGAGCAGATGTATTTTAGTTGGATACACCCTTGTCTGGTTTGGTAGAATGCTTGCATTTGCATTTTACGTAGGCTCTGCTTGTGTTAGATTTAGATGTAAGATGTTTTTAATGTTCTAGTTTCTGTGAAAATTGAACATGTAAGGCAGCACCCAGCCGGGATTGTTAACAGTGAATGTTGAATTGCATTGATTATCCTGGTGGATACTTATTGAAGAGACTAAAATAACAACACCAAAACAAGCGATGCCTCAGACCTTTCCAATGGATATTGAGGCAGTTCAGTGACAGCAGTCTGAAAGGCATATCAGATTTATTGGGAAAAAAAATCTCTAAAGCCATCCTAAAATTGACTTTACCAAAAGACATGGCTAAGTCAATGTTACACCGCCGGTTCTCAGACCCAGTTCTTCCCTACAGACCAGTAGATATACAGCGTAGGAAAAGAAATGGAAATGACAGGCAGCAACTGGATCGGTGGCAGGAGACCCCCTCCAGTAGAGGGCGTTACCGGAAATATTTGAATGTTGCCATAGGGACAAATTCATGGCAAAGACAACAGCCATCTGTGATGGATTCTATTGACTCTGAGGAGGAGGGAAGCTGTGAAACTAAGTCTGAATTTGTATGTCGATCTTTTCAATTTCAAATGTTAATTTTATTTTAAAATGATGTTTTCTTAAAACCTTTTGCTTTGTGAAAGGAGACAGTGCTGTCAGCAGCATGGTAGAGCTGATGGGTTCATTGCATTGACTTTAACTGGCGTCTTTGTCTAACATTTGAGCTTGATGACATTTTAATAGTTCCGGTTGCAATAAGTTGCATTCATTTGTAACCACGGCACGCCATGCTGCACCTAGGCGATGAGTGCATATCCTAGCCACATGTGCCACATTTTATCAGATGGGCTTTGCATGGCAGCCCATGGTGCTGTGGCAGTGGATTTTTTTTTTTCACTAAAACAGGTTAAATGATTCATTTTACTAAAAGTGATCACTTACGGCATGCAACATATTTGTCGTGTTTTTCAGTTATTATTTGTTCCACAATCCCAGTTGTATCTGTTAAGATAAAGATGAGATATTACTGTAACTAAGCCATTTAAATAATGCAAGAGGTTTCATAAATCAAGACTGTTTGACAGTGGTGCGGATCAAACAAGTCTGTACTAGGTTATCTTGCCTCTGTGTCTAGTATCAAACACATCTCAACTGAGATAAGATGCAGGGGATTGTGTCTATCTCTTCATAACAAGATACTGTAAAGGCATTACTGACTTATTTATTTAAATTAATAAATAAATTTATTTCTATTTTTATTAATTTTGTAATGATAAAAGTCCTAATTAGAATTTCATTTACTGGGTGCTTTTTGCCTTACAACAAGAAAGATAAATAAAGCATGTAATATTTCTGTTTTTCATAAAAGGATACTTTGCAGAGTGTTTCAGTTGTCAGTGAAATTCCTATGTAGCTTTGTTATCAGATTAAGTGTCTTGGCAGCAGAATAAACTGTTTTTCCCAAGGAATTGAATAAAAGCATAAACATTTGGTAGCTCCAGGATTCGGAACAAAATGTTGAAATGTCTGATTTTCCTCATGGTAGGACTTCATGCATGATGTGGTCTTGGACCCTCAGAGATTACTAGCCAGAACACATTCTGAGTCCACTCTGGCCACCTATGAGGGGGACAATGCCAGTATGTATTTAGCTGACTTTGATGATCAGGGGGTAGATGGTGGTCCAGATACTGCAAATTTAGACGACTTTCAAGGGGAGGATGAGGATAAGGATGTGAAAAGAAGGGAGCAAAGAATTAAAGAGAGAATGCAACTGCATGCTCTTTCCGAGGCAAGTGATAGAAATGTCATGCCTGCACAATGATTGCTGCTACTGTTGTTGTTGATGCAGTCTGACATGGTGTATTATATGACTGAACCAGTGCCCCATGAACCACCAGTTATCTCATCACTCGCACCTCAGCACTATGCTTGGACTGGCACTATTTTTCTCTTTTCAGCCTCTAATATCATCTCATGGGGGGGTGTTAACTCACTTAATCACTAATCTCCATGCCTGTGTTTTTGTTCGTTTTGTAATTTTGTGTGGCTTTGTTATATTGTTTTACTTATATTTGATTATTGGTTTGATAACCCTTTATGTTGAACATCTCACAGTGGTTGGTTTTTGTGGACTTGTTCAATTGCTGCAACTAATCAATAGCACTAAAATGGATGAAATAGCACTAAAATGGATGAGGTGGTCATTAAATTTATGATATTGTTAGTTTCAACATAAAAATGATCTGTTTTATACAATATTTAATTTAAATATCTTATTTAAGGACATCTTTTTACTAATACAATATCTTGAATATAAGACAGTTCAGTTATTTAGATTCAAGAATTAATTTTGGAAAACATAATTTTAGCAAATTTAAATATCTTGTAGTTACATTTTTTCCATAAGGTTTTGAGTTTGGGAACAGTTTTATTACAAAACCAGTAGCTATAGAGTTTGTGTGATATTGCATTTGTTTTAAACTTAGATAGGGACCTGAAGTTGCAATTTACTAATGTTATTTGGATTTCTTCTTGCTTATGTGTTAAGTCTTTGCAGTATGACGAAAAAATTGATTGCAATGTCAGCAAAGCCTTTCGTTTGCACAAGGGCAAAATTATATATTACTGTGACCAAAATGTTTACCAATTTATCAAAAAGAAAAAAAAAGGAAACTGGAAGGTTGTGTGTTTGCATTTAAAGTAGTTGGAATTGTAGAAAATGAGAGCTGCAGTAAAAATACTTTTGAGAAAAAAAAAACATTTAAGTCCAATCTTAAGGAAGCAGATGTTGGATGGCAACTTTCCTGTTATACAATCCCTGTGTATATTTTTATTTAGTTTTCTTGATATACAATCCATGTGCAATCAGTACAGAGAGAGTACAATGAGATTTACAACCAAGGGCTGACTTCCTGGACTTAAAAGACAACCTTTCTTTGTTAAAACTTGATTAACAGAAGTACCTCTTCAATTTTGTGGCACCTCATCAACCCTTATACATTTTTCAAAGAATGAATAAGAAAACAAGCTGATTGTAACATAATTTTTTTTGCTACATATTTCAGTCTGGGTCCTCTGAAGATGAAGGGGAAGAGGAAAGAGATCATGAAATTAATGAAGTTTTTCAAGCAAACAGACCAGAAGAGATAGAGCTTCCTGAACCAGTAGGTGTAAAACTTCAGATGATAATTTTTAAAAATTGAATAGCTGTTATATTAACATTGTTTTTTTTTCATTGTTTAATCATGATATGTTTATAGAAGATACTCTAGATACTTATAACAAATTGAATGATTATCAGGAAATAAACTAGATTACTTAACCTATCATCCCATCTTCATTTTAGGAAAAAGGAAAAGCGCCTTCCTCTGTTTCCAGTACAGAAGAAAAAGAAAATGCTGGTGAGATGTGTAAAGAAAAATAAATTTGTAAATCTCATTAAAAGAAATTAGTATAGAAAAATAACATTGTTTCTGTTTGATTTCCTACTATTAAGTCCTGCCTCAGTTCAGACATTGTTGTGGTACTCTATGACCATAATTTTCTGCACTTGATGCCTTTGATTTCTTTTTTTTTTTTTTAACCCTTGTCCATCAATTCCAGCTGATTCACGTCGCCCTCGGTCCCTCTCTCGCTCATTTGAAGAATATTCAGACATGTATGAAGAGTACAAGCCTCCCAAGAAATATGTTAAACCTCCTGTGAAGGAGGACAAAGGGCCAAAAACTGTTATTGTGGTAAGTCAATGGTGGCACATATATTCCTCAAAATTTGTCACTAAGGTAACTGTCTGTTATCGTTGTCTGCAGCTGGTGCTGTCATCTGGTGTCAAANGAATTTTTTTTTTTTCACTAAAACAGGTTAATGATTCATTTTACTAAAAGTGATCATTTACGGCATGCAACATATTTGTCGTGTTTTTCAGTTATTATTTGTTCCACAATCCCAGTTGTATCTGTTAAGATAAAGATGAGATATTACTGTAACTAAGCCATTTAAATAATGCAAGAGGTTTCATAAATCAAGACTGTTTGACAGTGGTGCGGATCAAACAAGTCTGTACTAGGTTATCTTGCCTCTGTGTCTAGTATCAAACACATCTCAACTGAGATAAGATGCAGGGGATTGTGTCTATCTCTTCATAACAAGATACTGTAAAGGCCTTACTGAGTTATTTATTTAAATAAATAAATAAATTTATTTCTATTTTTATTAATTTTGTAATGATAAAAGTCCTAATTAGAATTTCATTTACTGGGTGCTTTTTGCCTTACAACAAGAAAGATAAATAAAGCATGTAATATTTCTGTTTTTCGTAAAAGGATACTTTGCACAGTGTTTCAGTTGTCAGTGAAATTCCTATGTAGCTTTGTTATCAGATAAAGTGTCTTGGCAGCAGAATAAAATGTTTTTCCCAAGGAATTGAATAAAAGCATAAACATTTGGTAGCTCCAGGATTCAGAACAAAATGTTGAAATGTCTGATTTTCCTCATGGTAGGACTTCATGCATGATGTGGTCTTGGACCCTCAGAGATTACTAGCCAGAACACATTCTGAGTCCACTCTGGCCACCTATGAGGGGGACAATGCCAGTATGTATTTAGCTGACTTTGATGATCAGGGGGTAGATGGTGGTCCAGATACTGCAAATTTAGACGACTTTCAAGGGGAGGATGAGGATAAGGATGTGAAAAGAAGGGAGCAAAGAATTAAAGAGAGAATGCAACTGCATGCTCTTTCCGAGGCAAGTGATAGAAATGTCATGCCTGCACAATGATTGCTGCTACTGTTGTTGTTGATGCAGTCTGACATGGTGTATTATATGACTGAACCAGTGCCCCATGAACCACCAGTTATCTCATCACTCGCACCTCAGCACTATGCTTGGACTGGCACTATTTTTCTCTTTTCAGCCTCAAATATCATCTCATGGGGTGTTGTTAACTCACTTAATCACTAACCTCCATGCCTGTGTTTTTGTTCGTTTTGTAATTTTGTGTGGCTTTGTTATATTGTTTTACTTATATTTGATTATTGGTTTGATAACCCTTTATGTTGAACATCTCACAGTGGTTGGTTTTTGTGGACTTGTTCAATTGCTGCAACTAATCAATAGCACTAAAATGGATGAGGTGGTCATTAAATTTATTATATTGATAGTTTCAACATAAAAATGATCTGATTTATACAATATTTAATTTAAATATCTTATTTAAGGACATCTTTTAACTAATACAATATCTTGAATATAAGACAGTTCAGTTATTTAGATTCAAGAATTAATTTTGGAAAAAATAATTTTAGCAAATTTAAATATCTTGTAGTAACATTTTTTCCATAAGGTTTTGAGTTTGGGAACAGTTTTATTACAAAACCAGTAGCTGTAGAGTTTGTGTGATATTGCATTTGTTTTAAACTTAGATAGGGACCTGAAGTTGCAATTTACTAATGTTATTTGGATTTTTTCTTGCTTATGTGTTAAGTCTTTGCAGTATGACGAAAAAATTGATTGCAATGTCAGCAAAGCCTTTAGTTTGCACAAGGACAAAATTAAATATTACTGTGGCCAAAATGTTTACCAATTTATCAAAAAGAAAAAAAAGGAAACTGGAAGGTTGTGTGTTTGCATTTAAAGTGGTTGGAATTGTAGAAAATGAGAGCTGCAGTAAAAATACTTTTTGAGAAAAAAGCATTTAAGTCCAATCTTAAGGAAGCAGATGTTGGATGGCAACTTTCCTGTTATACAATCCCTGTGTATATTTTTATTTAGTTTTCTTGATATACAATCCATGTGCAATCAGTACAGAGAGAGTACAAAGAGATTTACAACCAAGGACTGACTTCCTGGACTTAAAAGACTACCTTTATTTGTTAAAACTTGATTAACAGAAGTACCTCTTCAATTTTGTGGCACCTCATCAACCCTTATACCTTTTTCAAAGAATGAAAAAGAAAACGAGGTTATTGTAACATAATTTTCTTTGCTTCATATTTCAGTCTGGGTCCTCTGAAGATGAAGGGGAAGAGGAAAGAGATCATGAAATTAATGAAGTTTTTCAAGCAAACAGACCAGAAGAGATAGAGCTTCCTGAACCAGTAGGTGTAAAACTTCAGATGATAATTTTGAAAAATTGAATAGCTGTTATATTAACATTGTTTTTTTTTATTATTGTTTAATCATGATGTGTTTGTAGAAGATGCTCTAGATACTTATAACAAATTGAATGATTATCAGGAAATAAACTAGATTACTTTACCTATCATCCCATCTTCGTTTTAGGGAAAAGGAAAAGCGCCTTCCTCTGTTTCCAGTACAGAAGAAAAAGAAAATGCTGGTGAGATGTGTAAAGAAAAATAAATTTGTAAATCTCATTAAAAGAAATTAGTACAGAAAAATTACATTGTTTCTGTTCAATTTCCTACTATTAACTCCTGCATCAGTTCAGACATTGTTGTGGTACTCTATGATCATGATTTTCTGCACTCGGATGCCTTTGATTTCTTCTTTTTTTTTTTTTTAACCCTTGTCCATCAATTCCAGCTGATTCGCGTCGCCCTCGGTCCCTCTCTCGCTCATTTGAAGAATATTCAGACATGTATGAAGAGTACAAGCCTCCCAAGAAATATGTTAAACCTCCTGTGAAGGAGGACAAAGGGCCAAAAACTGTTATTGTGGTAAGTCAATGGTGGTACATATATTCCTCAAAATTTGTCACTAAGGTAACTATTTGTTATCTTTGTCTGCAGCTGGTGCTGTCATCTGGTGTCAAGAGATGTCTGACCCTAAGTCTAACACATTACATATTCATAAACATCATATCCAGTGGTAATTCACGTCTTTCCATTTAACAATATTATATATATAAGCACATAGAATAGAATAATTATCTATTAAGTATTATTTTATGTAAATTGATCTTTTAATACTCTACAACTAAATGCCAGTTAACTTCTTCACTCTTTCCAAATATAATTCATATTGGCCAGTTTACTCACTCACTGACTTTAATCACAGCGGTTTCTATTAATAATCCCCCGTTTTTTGACAAGATTGATTCCCAGAAGTACACAACTTGTTTATTGAAACAATATATATTGATTTTCAACCTCAGTGGTGAAAATACGAAGCCTGAGTAAACTTAATTCTTAGTAAAAAGGAAATGTCTGGGCATTGCCTTGAGTGCAGAAATTCGGTTTTATTTCAGATTAATCATTATTGAATGACCTTCAGTAGTTCCCATCATATAGAATAGAGAATTAAAGTAGTTCACCTATTATTAGTCAAGTTGTAGGTGGATAATATGGAGCAACTTGCAAGACCCCTATGGATGTAGGTCTCCAAGAATGAATTTTTAATGAGAGTTTTCAAATCTTACATAGAAAAGTGTGGAAATCCTTTCAGTTTTGCAGATAGTTAGAGACAGATATATTTACTGTATTTCAGCCTGTATGTTATTTTACTACAAATATTACCCCTTTCAGTTGAGTTTACTCATTTGCATCAATTTATATATTATCGCCCATAGATTTTTATTCAATTTCCAAATTGGGATATGTTTCCTCACCCAAATCAGTCAGGACGAACCATAATAAAATGCCTCAACCTATAGCGTATGGTGCCCAGAAAGTTATTGAGGCTAACTTATGGACTAAAAATATCTCATTAATTGATTTTGGCATTGTTTTAAGAAGCCAACTTACATGCCATAATTTTACTAAACTTTAAATTCATTCAAGATTAAATGGCCAGATCAGCTAAGCATATCATTTGAAACGTTTAATCTCCAAGTTCACATGATGGGAACTGTTCAGTTGAAGTGTGCTTCCCCATATATGTCCCTCCCATGCTCAACCGCCTGTGATCAAAACCGTTTTCTTTGTGTGAAGCATGGCATTTGTGCTGGTGACCTCAGACTGTATTGAGTTTGAGTTGCTATATTGGCTCTTGAGTTTTTGAGTTTTTACAACAAAGTAATTCCAAATAATGTGTTTGAATATGCTAACAGCATGTTAGTTTGTAAGATGTTTCTGAGAAAGGGGGAAATGCCACAGAAGATGTTGATGTAATTGTTACTCCTTTTTCCTTTTCATTTTTTAAGTCTAGAAAGTTTTTATCCGAGATTTACCAAGTAGTTATTTTCAAATTCTAGATTGCAATATTCCCTGCTGACAAAAAATGCATTCTTTAAATTGTAATTTTCTTTCTTTTTTTTCTTTTTAAAAGCTTTTTTTTTACTTGAGCTGTCAACATGAAGCATATTGCAAACCTGAAATATGTAGAATTTTCAAAAGAGAAAATACAAAAATGGTATTTTTTGTATTTTTTAATACATTCTAGCTGTAAGAGTAAATGTTTGACAGCCAAGGGTTCTTTTTTAAATATGATATTCTAAATTTGAAAAGGCCATTTTTAATTGATATTGTTGTAGCAGTTTATGAATGTAACTGAAAGTGGAGTTGTTTTGTTTATTCTTTATTATTCCATTCCTGGTTCATTAACCATAGACTGACACACATAGAACCAGTTCTCCCAATTCTCTGGACAACAATGACCAATCTAATGACCATTCTGAGGACGTGAGTGAGGATGAGAATGCTGGACAAGTGGACACAGGTCCACACATCGTTCAAACTACATATTCATCTACTTCCAATGGCGTAAGTTGGCCTGGTTTTGTTGGCATGTCCAGACGTGCATGTCTACCAATTTGCCCCCTCAGCGTCAGTCATGTTCTTGCATATTAACCACGCATGTTCAAGAGTATACCCTGAGTATACAAAGCTTGTCTTGATGTATGACACCATCTGGTGTCCTCTAAATGCTTCACTAATATCTCATGTATTCATAGCACAAGTAACACGCTAAGAAGCTTGGGAATATTATCCCTGCATAGGTTAGGGCCAGTTTATATTTTTATTTCAGGGTTAAAATCTTTTTGTTGCAGGTTTTATTTATTGACTGCCTCTGGTATTGTTTCTTATGATTATTATTATTCACTTGCACTGTGGGTAGGAACTTGTTGTGAAATGTCATTCACAATCTTAAATTCCAAAATTTCAGAAATTCATTTCAGCTGTTGGTTGAAGAATTTTATTTTCTAATGGAAAATCCTAAAACTTTGTTTTTTCTTTTCAACCATCATTTTGTACAGAGAACTACCTGCAGTGCCGCCTTCTCCCCAAGTTCACTAAAAACATTTTTAATTAATCTCCTGCTTATATACATATTTTGTAAGCCTTCTACTGAGCGTAAAAGACGAGTCTGTTCTCAGGGAAGATTGCAATTAAAGGTGCTGTTTCAAGTCTTTGAACGGGCACCTTAATTTATGCAAATTTTTCTTTCAATTGATTATAATTTTGTTGGCACAGGAAAAACAAAACCTACATTCTGCTTCACTAATGATTTTATTATTTATGCTGGTTTAATAATTAGTTGGCTTAAATCACACACTATTTCTCTCTGCATGACATTGTTTACTATGTTGGTCACCACGTGAATGTTTGCATGTGCAGTTAACACTTCCATATACAGCTTTAAATGGAACATACTTCAGCTCTAACCACAAATTCTGGTTGTCTACTGTCAATAAAAAGTAACTCTGTGCATGTACAGTACTAACTACAAGGAAATACTCCTAAACCTTATCAGCACCCCGAGATTTTACTTAGGACAGTATGGAGCCGACCAAGAGATATATTCTATTGTGAACAGAATATGTTCTTTATAAACCTTTTATGAAGCAGGGATTAAGTTGTTTATTTCATATGTAATGCATTATGGAGGTTGGTTGGGTTCAAAGAATCTCAGAAGGTTAATGGTATGAGCTACTCATGCACAAATTTCATCTGTATTCATTATTATATCTGAGTTTATTCTAAATATTTAATTTACGTTGTTGATCACATTAGTATTAAACTTACAAGGATGGCATTTTGGAGAGATGTCTTTTGTAGTCAGTTTCTTGTATTTTTATGTTTCCAGTTAATTTGATAAGTAGATTTCTCACTGTATATTAAAAGAGGTTAGAATGATGTTTAGCCTGTTTCATTAAATTTTTTGATATATATATAATAGATAATTTGCTAACCCTGTAACTTGATCATTTCAGGGCCTGCATACATTTGGAGCTTCACAGGTGGCAGTACCTAAGAAAGCAGGTGAGACAGCTTATGATATGCTATATCAGACAATTTTGATATCTTTTAACTCATTGTTTTAGCTATCATTTTGGTAGGTTTTGCCAGTGACTGAAAGTTATGATGAAAAGCGGGTAATAGTTTTTGACCTGTTTCCAGACTGAAAGTATGATTGTCCTGTAAAATTGTGATTGTGTTAGCTTAGGCAGAAATTACACACAGCAGAAGCTTCTAGTAACAGGAGTTTGTTGTCACTTGGTGCAGAATGTTTTAGGTGAGCCAGATTAATAAGTATAATTTTGTTCATCAGTACAGACTGATACATTATAGCTAGAACTCCAGTGAAGGCATTCTTGTGGTATTTGCTTTTGAATGAACTTATTTTAACATGAAAGGATTTTGTAAACTTAAACATATTCTCTCATCATTCTGGTGGGAAAATGGTGCTTGTAGTTTGGAGATACAACAATTGTCAGTGCCCAGCCCTGATAGCAGTCTGAATATGGCTACTGTTATCTTATCTTTATTTCAAATTATATGTACACAGTCCTCCAGCACAAAAGAATTTTTAGACAGATCATGTCCAGTTTAACTCTCACACCCATATTGTAACCTGTCACAAGGGTGGACACACAGTTGAAGTAGGCAAGGGTAAATAGTTGCTGTGTTTTCTAGCATTATTGCTTTCATTGATAAGCTTGTAATCCTGTCAAACAGACAGTTTGAAAAGAGGTCAATGCTCAGATGCCAAGTGAGAAATTCTTTAGTTCAAATTAGTCTAATACATGTGATCATGAATGGAAATATAAAGGGGTTTTAATAGCTTGGTATATTAGAAAAAAGTTTTGAAAAATATTTGTTGTATGCAAAAACAGAATTTGCTGATAGATTATTGAAAAATATTTATGGAAAAGTTGAGATAAGTGCTAATGGCAAATGTTTAAGAGACTAAAATTAGTTATTATTTACTGATGGTCTTTTTAACTTTTTGGCATTTAAAAAGGGCAAAAAATAAAATGTGACCCTCGAATATAAATGGGAATTTTTCATAAGAATTTTCTTAATACTTGGCAGTGCGGCAGTTAGAAAGAATGCATTTCAAATAAATTTGATTTTATAATTTACTCAGAACATGTTACCAAGGAGGGGAACCATTATTGCATAAAATAAATGTAAGGCCTGTGAATGGGTTATGCATATTTGTAGGGAATTTGTTTAATAAGAAGAACTGTTTAGGTATTTTCTGTATTTAGAACAGGTTACATAGAGAAATTTCACCTCACAATAAGGAGAAGATATGCCATCTATTCAACTTGCTAGGTCATCACACAAAGTTCTGAAATGATCCATATTACATAGGTCAAGTGCATTTTTGCCTATTTGTGAAAAGAGAGTTTTACATAAAAATTACTACATTGTGAATTGTGAATGCATTTTCTTGTACATGGTTGGTGCACACAGAACTGGGGTACAGTAAAACTGGTTTTATAGATAAATCTACCATATGTTGCAGTACCTTTGTAGGGAATGAGCAGCTTTTTAACAGTTTACTGATTTGCCAGTTTACAAAATTTTTGTGTGTGTGCATTTATATATATATACACACACACTGATGACACTATGTGGTCAGCTGAAGCCGTCGTCCATCTAAATATTTATTATTGTAAATTGGACATTATTCAAGAGCTTTACAAAGGAGGCTATTGTGATGCTGGCTACTGAGCCATAAGGTTGTTGTGTATATTGGAATGGCTCCTTAAATGGTTGCTGTGTCACCAGAAACATCAACATGGAATATCTGTGTTTCATGTTGCCTTTTTCCAAATGTCCTTGTGCTAAGACACATCCTGGTGCCAAGAAGACAGTAAGGAAACCCTCTGCAACAGGTGAGGTCATCACTGGAGGACCCTCATTCCTCTTTGTCAGGTCAGGTTCCTTGCAAGCATTGTTATTACATGATGGAAATTTAAGTAAGAAAATGATTTTACCTAGTATTGAGGATAAGATACTGGTTATGGGTTGATTCTGCTGTAAATTGAAAATATAATTTCCATTTTCAAACAGACTCCATTAGACCTTTTAAGGTTTCTTCATTTATATGTCGTCAGTTTATTTATTCACTGTTTTCCTGTAATATTATAAGTTGCAGGCAGTGCTGAAGTAAAATGATACATTCTAGATAAGGCCGTTGCAGTTACAAAGTGAATTTATTAGTGTCAAAAGGAATTTTTTGATTGCATTTATTTCTAAAGACCACTAGTCTAATGAATCAAGATATAATCAGCTGGAAATAAAACTATGTTAATGTACATAAAAGTGGAAAAGCAATAAACTAGTACCGTATGCACTCATGTCAAAGTTTTTACAACTTATTTGGCCATTGTTTTGCAAAATGGTCCAAACACTTGAATCCATTTCCTTAAAAAGTGTCTTTTTCACTTTGTATAAGGTTTCATTTAGAGTACTTGTAGATGTTAGAATTTCAGTGTTTTTCATTATCATTATTATGTTATTATCTTTATTATTTGATTGGTTTTTGGGGGTGTGTATGGGAAACATTATGACATAACAAAGGTTGTCTTCTTTACAAGATCTTGTACTTTGTACTGCTTGGAATTTAATCTAAATGCTATGAATTACAATTAACTGGATTAATCAGATTAAGGTATGACATCGTGGTATTCTGACATTGGAAGCACTCATTATACTCTTTCGTTAAATTGAGGTCACTTAATTTAGAACAGGTGATGCTAGTAAATAAAGCTATTGATAAAAATGGGAAAGGAAACACAGGCAGGGGTAGGTGAAAAGATGCACCTGCAGAAAATAAAAGAGTATAAATAAGGCAACCAGATGCAAACATTTGTTCAGCGACTTGCGGATCAATATGCAGCTATAAATGTTGCAGAAATTCTTATCAGTCTTGTGCATGTAACTTTCCTGTAATTCCCACACACGCCATGTTACCTGGTTATGGAAAACCTGCAATCTATGATGACATTGGAATATCAATTATTCACCTGGAGAAGTGTTAGGCAAAAATAAGGCATTGGACAATCAATAATTAGTGGCACCTTATTTAGTTGTTGGTGTCACTGGAGGGAAAGAGAGAGAGAGCAGTTAAATCTATTTGTGATGAGCAACTGCCTCAGTAATTTGTACTACTGCCTTGAGGAAGTTTATTCTGGGGACCCCATGTGACTGCCTCTGTATATAGACAACACCAGCCCAGACCACTTCAGCTTTTGTGAATCATTGACTCCAGTTGTAATTGTTCTATACCTGGTGGTGTGGTGGAGTTTGACCCTCTTATTGGGAGGAACTCACCTCAATGTGTAACTACTGGAATGTTGACTTCCTAATGGCTCTGAAAGGGCCAGATCAAGGTAAAGCATTAATTAGAACGGAAACTTGGAAGATATAAAACAATCATTTGTGTTTTCTAGGCAGTAGTTGGGTATAGGGGAGCACACTGGGAGAAGACAGGCCATACCTGTAACAATGTTATCTGAAACTGATGCAGATAATGTCTGTGTACATTGAATGGTGGGACAGATGAACTCTGATCTCGGCTAATATCATGGTTGGCCACGGGCAAATCGGATCATTATTGGACTAAATCCAAATAGATTATTGCTGTTCAGATAAATAAAAAATAATGCAGATATTATTTTCAATATATTGTGTTGCCCTTGACAATTGTGCTTAAAAAAGGGGGTTATCAATCATAAGATAAGTGTAAGAGATAGGAGACAAAAAGTATGGTTTGTAGTTGTGAGGTTAATTAGTGCCAAGACCCCAAATGAAAAAGGATAATATTTTAACAATTAATGAGGTTATACTTTGATTTATTGCCAGTAATTGCATGTCATGTTCACCAGCAGTTCTACTTATAACTTCATTTAACAAGATCTCCTTGGAATACTGTGGACTCCATTAATTTTACACCAACAGGTGTCCTAATCAGCATGATGTCATAGATTCAATATTTTGTGATGTCACACCCATGTATGCACTGTTATTAGTACTAACTTTAGTGGAGATGTATGCAAATAGTTACTCTGGATTTAAAAGAAAAAGAATTTATGAAATATTTAAGGAACATCACATGATTCACTAAGATGGTTGATATTATATTACTCTGTAGACATGTTTACACGCACAACCTAAAATAGAAATGACCTAATATCAGCATTGCTGCATTGTGAATACTACCTCAAATCAATTTCCAGGCACATTAAAACAATCTTTAAAAACATTCATGAAATGAAATGGTACAATAGGGGTTTTATCATAAAAGCTCAGGGACAATTAATGCTGTGTATCCAGCAGTCATTCTCATGGAGGGGATGGGGGGGGGTCTGTTAAAAAAGGACGATTATATGTATCTTATTGTTTTGGGGAAAACTATTTTATTGCTGATAAAAAATGTGGGAAAGTTGAGTATTTGTGTCCATTGATTGAGAGTAAGAATGAAGTCTTTGCTTTGTTTATAGTAGTTTCTGTTATGTTAATGTAGCAGATGCCTTATAGGTGTTGCCATTTTAAAATTGTGAGCCAAAAAATTCAGGCTATCATGTACATGGGGTTGTAACAAAATAATGTACAATGTGTATTTAAGTTATCTTTATTGTGTAAAGTGCTCTTTTGAGCTCGTTGTGTCTGGATGTGTATGTGCGTGTGTGTTTCAAGTGCTGCGACCTACATGACTGGCAATATAAAACAAGTTGTAGATTAACTTGGGTTTTCATGGGGTATTATATCTTGGAAAATTTACAGAATGGATATGACATTGCGGATTACTAATAACATGCATGCGCAGGCCTGTCTAGTATAATGTTTTTTGAGTTCCATATAAAGCAATTGTTCTATGTAGAGCGTTCCAATTACACAGAGACTCACTGAATCCAATTAAATTTAAAGATAAACATGCCTCCAACAGGTATTGATTAAAATACAGAAAAACTAGTGATTATATGAGGAAACTTAGGAAACTGTTAAGAGGAGGCATGTTAATCTTAGTTAATGTCAGAGTGTATTCAGAACAGAGGACTAACTGATCCGCCAACTAAATATGGCCGACCCCACTTCAAAAGCGATGCCGCTAATTCCTGATGGTCTCCCCACCATATTTAGTGGGCGGATCAGTTAGCCTGCAGATTATCTGTTGTGAATAAGCTCTTATTTTCATTGAGAATGAGTCCATAGATATACACATTTAGGTGTCTACATGTCAGCAGTCTCCACTGAAATTTGTGCTCTGTGCATGCTCAGTTTAAAGTTATGTGCATGGGCATCTACTTCCCCATTTGAATGTTATTTCAGCAGTGGCGCCTCTCATGCATTTCACGTTACCAATCTTAGCTGCCACAAGTGTGCTCAATTTGATATAAGCATAAGTGGATGCTGTTTGTAAACTGTGTCTCTCAATGGGTAACGCAATGTTTCCCAGGTTTATATCTCATTTGGAAGCAGGCAACTTTATGCAAGTTTTGCAAAAAAAAAAGGAGCAGAGATATTTAATAAATGTTTCTCAAAAGATGGTTTTTAAGCAGAATCATTAGTTTAACATCACATGTTTTCTGAAACCCCATTGATCCCCTCCATAGCTCTTTGGTCTTTGATTGATTTGTGATTTATGATGTGTTAATCTTAAGCAAAGCACGCCCATGTCTCTCATTGTTAACATTTCTGTCCTTGCAAAGGGTTTCAATTATTTCTTTTATTGCAAGTTGGCTAGGTAGTAAGATACTACAGATATTAAATTAGAGCACGCATGGACAGTGAAGGGAAGAGTTTGGAAGTTTATTTAGGTACAAAACTGTGCAGATAATCTTATGGGTAAATAATATCTTTTCAGAAAAATCAGTGTAGTACCATTACACATGATGAATCAGCCAATTTTTAGATCTTATGACAACTTTTATGGAGGTTGCAAATGTAACATTTTTTACGAAAAATGACAACTTAAATGATTTATGATAAAAACTTGAGATGACTTGATGTAAATTCTTTATGAAGAAATACTCTATTTATATTTGATAATTATACATATATGTCATTTTGTATATCATTACATATAAGGTATTAACTTTTTTTTTTTTCTTTTCAGATCGGACCAGTCTGAGTTCACAGCCTGATGACACACCCAGGGAGCTGGTCAGATGTGAGTGTTGTTGACATTGTAAACACTGGCTTTGAAATCACCTTTAAATTGTAAAATCTTATATTTTGTGTAAAGTTTAAATGTTTGTATAAAGTTTAATTTGCATATATGTGATTATTTTCTTTTAATCCCTGAATTATAATGTCCATTTTAATGATGATTTCTGCATTTTTGATCATTTTTCCATTTTTTATTTAACCGCTTAGTTCTTGGTGTGAATGATAAGTTTGTTGGAACATTTAACAGTTTGTCATTAATTTTGCTGGGGAGACTCCTAAAAATCTGTAAAGAACAAGATGGCATTCCCCATTTTGTTTGCTGAGCTGTAGCATGAAGCACACCATGGATGTGCTGTAGCTAGCAGGTGTTCCTGATTATAATATAACACATCCTGGGTAAAGGCATATGCTCAGTTAATTCAACATTTGTGCTTTCATCAATTGTTCTTGAGAAGTTTGTATAGAAATATTTTTGTTTGCATGAATATTGATTTTGGAATTATTTTGATTTTGAGCAAAATTTCCTGGAACTTTTATCTTTTCTAAAAAACTGAGGGTAGAAATTTAAGAGGATACATTAAGAATTCATCAAAAACCTTAAAATATGTACAGGAACAAACTTTTTACCATAAAAACAATTTAACTAGAATTTGAAACTGGAGAAGAACATGAAAGGTACTTTACAGCCACAATCCTTATTGGTATATATCTGAGATAGTAGTGGCTGTACACATTATGATTATGGCCCAGTAGTCTGTGCCATTTAAACCCACGCCTCCCAGTCAATGTATTATACAGCTGACTCATAGGAAAGGTTAGCAGTCAGTTTGGAAGCTTCTCCACTGTAGTATTTGCCAAGTAAAATAGAAAAAGGTAAGCAGAATATGAGGTTCAGGAGCAGATATTGCTAAACTTTGGCCATTGCTTTATGAAATTAAAAATCTTAGTTTTGGAAATTTAAGCATTTTTGGAAAGCTTGTCTGTTTTTTTTAAAGTAAAAGCTTTAGTGGTATACTTGCTTATGGAGGAGCAAATTAAGTTTATGAAGCAGACAGTGCAACATTTATCATGGAAGAACTGCTCCCAGAAGTAGGGGTCAGCAAAAGTTCTGGGATTTGCTTTTTAGGTTGGGGAGAGGGACAGTAAAAAGGATTATAAATACTAAAGAGAAGAATGGTTTATGTGTCCTCTTTTTCTGGAAAATGTCTAATTCAGTTTGAAACTGTAAATTCTCTTAAAAGTGTAGGAAAATGCAACTTTCTTGGAGCATGCCTTATATGTACTGGAATCTATTCCAAGGGGAACTTATAAACTGAGTGGAGGTGTTTGCATATTATGCCCCGTGCATGTAAACCTAGCCCTGGAAATTTGTCACTGTTATGTACAGAAATATTAATTATGACCATGATAAAAGGTTCTTTTTTTAAGGATGTAGCCACGCAATATGATCATGCATGATTGCAAACACATACTTATTTATCTAATGAATAGAGAGAGTTTGCCAAGTGTTTTTCCGTGTTAGTCTTTCCACTGTCTGGAACAGCCACTGTAATAAACCTTGTCAATTGGGTGTATTTTTCAACAGAAATGCAAGTGTTAAGAGTATGTTTTTGTAATGTGTCATCTGTAGGTTATCCTGGAAACGGGCATTTTAAGGCCAGATATGAATTTTTTACCTTTCTCCCTTGTCTGTTATGACTGTGCCATCATAGTATAACATGATTGCTGTTTTGAATTACAAACATTCCAAACTGATTGGGTTTGCCTAAGCCTGGGGCCTTTTAGTTTTATTTCTAGTTCTTTCAAGTGAGAATTACACATAGCACAGGTAAGAAAATGATTTTTGCAAAACTTAGAGGCTATTTATCCGGAATCCAGGTATTCTGTTTCCTTCATGGGGAAGTTTGTGCATTTCATAATGTAGACAGAGGAATGTGAACTATTTGCTAGAATGTGAATCATTAAGGTAGGAGTAGGTAGGTAGTGAAATACCACTTCAGAAGTCAACACTGACAGAGTGAGATACTACATGTCAAGACGTAATAGGTCTGTTAAGGATCATCTAATAAAATATCACTAACTGTCATTCTACTCCTTCAACTCTGCCATTCCTTATATTTTTAATTGCACATATAGAAATGGTCTACTGGCATTTTCAGGTGCATTTGTGACCATGTCTGTAGATGAAAGAAATGTAGGAATATTCTGTGATTATATATCAGAATATCCACTTATGAAACTTGTACTTAAGCATATTAATTTTATGTATTAAGATTAGAAATTAACGTGCCACAGATGTTCTCTCCTTGTCATTCTGACAGAGGTGGGCGACATTTACATGCTCTGTTTCAGGTTTTCTGCACTTTTTTGCATATTTTTCCAGCCTATAAATAATGTTGCTTTATACATGTCTTTATCTCCCAGCTGACCTTATATATTGATAGGGACTCAGTAGGGCAACTGGAATACAACTTCTTCCTTACGCAGCTCAAAAGCAAACCTATCTTCTCCCGTCTTAAAGAAATGTTCTTCTCCATGTATCTGAAAGAAATAGGCTGGCTGGCATTTTGGTGGTGTAGTGATTGCTGGATTTGTCTGGGATCACAGACTGCACACCAGGCAATAGAAAAACAGGGTTACAGTTTATCTCGGTGCTACTGGGGATTCTACAAATTATACGCTTTTTTTTTTCAGCCCAGACTCTTGGATGGTTTGAATTTGTGGCTGCTTAAAGTGAAGTAATTAAAAAATAATTTTGTATCATGTAGTGAAAAAGAAATATTCGAATCAAACAAGAAAATGCTTTACTGACTATTTGGCTTTGCTAGGATCTGGCTATTAGTCTGAATAAAACCTGGCTTTTTTCGTGATTAATGCTTGGCCATGGTTGGTGTAAAAAAATACCTGTGTAGGCTGTGTGCTGGATTTCATAGGAACTCAGGTGAAAACAACTCATATCCCCTAACAGCTGATCATTTGTTATCGCCACTCTTTGCCAACTTAATTTCGCAGGAAGGAGACTGGAGTGGATGGTTTGGCACCAAGACCTTAAGCTCTTTGTTGAGTCTCACAAAGTAGTTAAAAGTTATTATTATT